AGTCACCACTCCAAGGCATATTACAGTTAAAAGATTAACTGTACAGAACAAGGAAAGAATATTGAAAGCTGCAAGAGAGAAGTTCCAAGTACCAAATAAAGGAAATCCATCAAAACGATAGCATATTTCCCAACCAAATCCCCAGAAGCCATGAAAGAAAATAACTGCTAAACCAGATTACTGTATCCAATAACGCTATCCTTCACAACTGAAGGAAAATACAAACCCTCTATGATACACAAAAGCTAAAGCAATTCATGAGCACTAAGCCTATAATGCAGAAGATACTTAAAGAAATCCTACACACAGAAGAGGAACATGAAAACATGAGAAAGAATAAATCTCACTAAACAAGCAAATAATGATTAAGAAAGAATTAAACACTACAAAGCAACAAAATGGTAGCAATTACTACATATTTTTTAATAACTCTGAATTGTAATGGTTTAAAAATCTGCAATCAAAGACACAGACTCGCTGATGGGATTAAAAAACAAGACCCAACCATTTGTTGCCTACAAAAAATATACCTCACTGACAAAGACAAATAAAGGCTTAAAGAGAAAACATGAAAAAAGATAGAACAAGCAAAAGGAGCCCTCAAACAAGCAGAAATAGCTATGTTCATATTTGACAAAGCAGACTTTAAACTTAGAAAAGACAAACCAGGTCACTACATATTGATAAAGGGAACAATCTATCAGGAAGATATAACAATTGTAAATATGTATCTACTGGACATTATCACAGCTAATTTAATAAAGAAAACTATTGGACATAAAAGCAGATAGACTCCACAATTAATTGTGGATGACTTTAATACTCTACTCTCACCACTAGACATGTCATCCAGAAATGAAATCAACAAAGAAACTTATAACACTATATATTTCAACCAATAGCCTTAGAATATAAATTATTTTCAGCAATCTATAGAATTGTGAACAAGATAGATTATATTTAGGACATAAATTAAGTCTTAGAAAATATAAGAAAAATAAAATTCCTTCTATATTGTATGAGACCACAATGGAATAAAACAAGACACCAATAGCAAGACAAACTACAGAACATACACAAAAACATGGAGACTGAACAACACACTTTTGAATGTTCAGTGGGTTACTGAAAAAATAGAGGGAAAATTTTAAAAATCATACAATCAAATGGAAATGAAAACACAACTTATCACAAGTTTGGGACACAGTAAAGGCAGTGCTAAGAGGAAATTTCATGGCTATGAGTGCCTACATTAAAAAACCTGGAGATCTCAAATAACTTCACAGTGCACCTTAAGGACTTAGAAAAACAACAAGCCAAACCCAAAATCAGTAAATGGAAAGAATTAATAAAGGGCAGAAATTAGTGAAATGGAGACTAAAAGAATACAAAGAATCAATCAAAAAGTTGGTTCTTTGAAAAGATAAACTGGATTGAAAAGCCATTAACAGAAGAAAAAGGGAGTAGACTCCAAAAATAAAAGTACAGATAAAGAAGGGATTATCAAACAAATAACACTGAAATTCAGAGGATCATTAGGGAATACTTCAAAAACACTAGATAGATCAAAAGATCTCCTATGTTCGTGGATCAACAGAATTAATATTGTGAAAATTACAGAAGGCAATCTATAGATTCAATGCAATCCTCATCAAAATTCCAGTGAAATTCTAAAGAAAATTCTACTCTAAAATACATATGGAAGCATAAAATCACTCCCTAAATAGCTAAAGCAATCCTAAGCAAAAAGAAAGCAATGATGGAGGTATCACAATATTCAGTTCAAATCTATACTACAGAGCCACAATAACAAAAGCAACATGGTATTGGCACAAAAACAGACACATGGATCAATGTAATAGAAGACCCAGAAATAAGCCCATCCAAAAACATATGTTGAAAACAAGACAGCCCCTTCAACAAGTGGTGTTTAGAAAAATGGATATGCACATGTACAAACTAGATCACTTTTAACCTGCACAAAAACATCAGCTCAACATGGATAAAAGATCTTAATTTAAGACCTGAACCTTGAGAACTGCTCCAAGAAAACTATTGACTATACAGGCATAGGCAAGGACTTCCTAAATAGAACTCAAGAAATAAGAGCAAGAATTGACAAATTAGATTGCATCAAATTAAAAAGCTTCTGCACATCAAGAAAACAATTACCAGAATCAAGAGACAGTCTACAGAGTGCTAGAATAGTTGTAAGCTGTTCATCTGAGGATGAACTAATATCCAGAATACATGAACACCTCAAAAAGTTAAAAAGAATAAACAATCTAATAAAGTCATAGATGAAATGAACACACAGTTCTCAGAAGTACAAACGGCTAATAAATACATGAAGAAATATTCAACATCCTTAGCCAAAAAGGAAATGCAAATCAAAACAACACTGAGATTCCATCTCACATAAATATAGCTATCATCATGAAATCAAAGAACAGATGCTAGTGAGGATATGAGGAAAAGGGAACCCTTTTACACTGTTGGTGGGAATCAAAATTGGGTCCACCAGTATTGAAATCAGTAGGGAGGATCCTCAAAAAATCAAAAATAGGACTTCCATATGACCCAGCCATACCACTCTTAGGCATATACCTGAAGAAATGCAAGTTAGCATGCAATAGAGATAGCCACACACCCATGTTTATGACAGCACTATTCACAATAGTCAGGTTATGGAATCAGCATAGTGCCCATCAACCAATGACTGTGATATATCTATGTCTACACACACACACACACACACACACACACACACACACACATACACACACACACACACATACACACACACACACACACACACACACACACACACACACACACACACACACACACAACACACACACACACACACATACACAAACACAAAGAATGAAATTGGTTATGGGTGGTGGTGCACTTCTGGAGTCCCAACTACAAGAGAGGCAGAGACGGGACAATTAAGGTTTGAGGCAAACCTAGGCAAAAAGTTAGGGAGATCCTCTCAACAAATAAGTCAGGCATTGTGGCATATACTTATAATTCCAGCTATGTGAGAGGTGGATGTAAAAGGAGTATGAGCTGAGGCCAGTTCCAAGTAAAAGCATAAGATCCTATCTGAAAAATAAAGCAAAGAGGGCTAAGGACATCACTAAAGTGGGAATACTTGCCTAGCAAGCATAAGGAAATGACTTTAAACTCCAGTACTGGCAAAAACAATAAAAACAAAAAAAAGGAATGAAATTGTTGTTTGCAGAAAAATAGATGGAACTAGAGATCATCATATTAAGCAAAATAAGACAGATTCAGATAGACAAATATTGCATGTTTTCTCTAATACGTGGAATCTAGACCTAAAATATATACAACATGAATATAGATGAGAGATTGTTGACGGGGGTGAAGAAACCAGATCTGAGGAGAGCAAAAGGAGAGGGTGATGAGGGGTGAATACAATGAAGAATGTTACATGCATGTATAAAAACCATTGCCAGGTGCCAGTGGCTCACGCCTATAATCCTAGCTACTCAGGAGGCAGAGATCAGGAGGATCATGGTTCAAAGCCAGCCTGGGCAAATAGTTCATAGGCCCCTATCTTGAAAAACCCTATCATAAAAAACCGGGCTGGTGGAGTGGCTCAAGGTAAAGTCCCTGAGTTCAAGTCCCAGTACAGTAAAACAACAACAAAAACAAAAAAGAAATTAAATATTGTTTAAAAAAAAGGAGAGGGAGGCTAAGGGTATGGCTCAAATTGTAGAGTACCTGCCTAGCAAATAAGTCCCTGAGTTTAAATCTCAAAATACAAATAAATAAATAAAAATTTTAAAAACGGAGGTGCCAAGAAGTATAAGAAAGAATAAAAGCAGGAATGAATATGATCAAAGTGTACTACATGCATGTATAGAAGTATCAAATGAATCTCCTTTGTACAATTAAGTACACTTAGAAAAAAAGCAAATAAAGCTGAGCACGGTCCTCTTGAGAACACTGACATTTTACAGGTAAGCATGATCAGCATTAGAGATGCTCAAGTATGCTGCTCAAAAGGAGGTAGGATACATTATTTAAGCAAATTTTAAAATTACAATTATATATATCCCTATACACTATCAGAAGTACAAAAAATGTGCCAGGAGTGGTAATACATGCCTATAATCCCAGCTACTACGACACACACAAGGGATAGAGCACTTGCGTAGCCAGTGGGAGGCCTTGGGCTCTGATCCTCAGTTTCACAAAAACTGAGGATCGCTAAATTAAAGACAAAGAGGTAGTAATGAAGATATGGAACTATAGTGGAATTCACAGAAATTCAGCAATTAAAATAAAAATTGGATGAAACTGTGTAGGAAGAGAACAAGGAGAAAAAATAGCCTAAGACTGCTTCATGGGAAATGCCAAAAACTAGGGTAGAGAATGATAAGCCTACAAAGGTGACTATGTGGGGAAGAGTAAAAAAGAAAGGTAAAACAAGACCACGCAATCCATGTAGAAAACCAGATATAGATACAGACACATATGGCCCAGAGTAACTTAAGACTTTCATAATAAAAAATTTACCAATTGGGACTTGGCAACTACATTTTTAAAGCTATTTTCTGTTTCTATAGGCAAAAATATTTAGCTCCAGTAGGACAAATAAAGAGATAGCACAAAAACTATGTAACCCTTATATAAAGAAACACGTAAAATAAAATTAACTTTTCCATTAGGTAAGTTTCATTCATTAAAAAACCCAGTACAGTTTCCACTGGGTAAAAGGCAGTGTCAATAAGGATAAAATAGTAAGTTTAATAAGTTTTCCAAAATCAGTATTATTACATTCTAATGTAAGACAGATGTTTACAAAATAATAACACAAAAAAAAAAAATGGAATAGCTTCTTCGTATAAATGGAAGTTAGGCAATTTCAAGAAGGCCAAATGGATCATATAATTCTTCTGAGTTCACTAAATTAATTTGCCATTAATTTGTTTATAAAAGTACAAACCTAAAAAGAATCTTACTTTCAGGTGTTTCTTTCTGCCATTGACTGAGTTCAGCGGTCAAACATTTCATTTGCATAATTAATAATGAGAGCTAAGAAGAAGAGTAAGAGAATCAAAACAAAGGCATTTCTTGTGAAATATTCATAGCCATTTATAGGTGAAAATATATACAATCTTAATACTTTAATATTAGTTAATAGCATAAATAGCTAACAAAACAGCACCAGTAAATCACAAAAAAGTTATTAGCATAAACAGGATTCTTCTAAAATGTTAACTAAAAAAAATATTAACTACAGCACATAAATTGCCTATTATACCAATAATATACTATTAAAAATGATGAATTCTGCTTTATACTCAAACAAAAAGAACCTAAGCAAATAAATTTTGTTTCCTAAACAAATATATAAGATGCTGACAGAGCAAGACCAAGTCTCAAAAAGAAAAGGATGTTACTTCTTATCAACATTTTAGTCAACTTTCCCTTAAAAATGTTCTTTTCCTCTCCATGTCCTTTAAGAAAAATTGTAACTATTTTTAGTTGAGTAGCTACAAATCTAAATACATGTATGGAGATTATAAAATGAAACCGGTCCCATAAGCCACATATAAAAACCAATTGCATTACATACCTTTATAGCTCATTCTATCTTAATAATTAAAAATCTTTAAGAAAAATCTATTTACGATAGGACTGTAAGTCCATAAATGCTCAAAGTTAAATTGCAGTTCATGTGTGTGTGTGTGTGTATACAGACAGGTATATATATATATATATATACTATTTATAATTCTTATTGGTACCCAGACAGATTAAAAAATGACATTTTTAAAATGCAATGTATTTTATTGCAGTGTTTACACAGGGCACCAAGTATTATCATTTGTACCCCATGGTAACTCAAAGACCTGCTCTGTATTATAAAATTGTCTACTGAAACATCAGAAGAGAAAAAAATTGTAGTCTTTAAAGCTTTAATTATATGAACATTCATTTACAGATACTTAAAATCTTTAAAGTAGTTTAATTATCTATTTCCTTTAGACAAATAAGTGGAAAAGTTTTTTGTGAACTGTAAAGCAATTCATAAATGTATTTAAACAAGGTAAGCTGTCATATGATGATAAAGAATCCATTTCCTTCTTCTCCTACTAGGCTGGAACATACGAAATTATTCATATTCAATTTTAACCCGTAAAAGCCTGTAAGTTCATAGTTTAACCTCATATTATATCGATGAAACACAGATCTTAACTTGTCAAAGTCCAGCAAATCAAACAACCAAATTAGTTCTGATCTTGCTATAAACAACCCTTCCTAAAAATGGTAGTATTTCTAAAGTAATTAAATATGAAAGTCTGAGAAATTCTTCTATTTTCTCAGTTAAAATGTTTCCTTCAGAAAATAGATTGAGTCTTTTTTTTGTTTTTGTTTCTTGTGGAACTTGAGTTTGAACTCAGGGCCTCATACTTGCTAGGCAGGTACTCTATCACTTGAGCCACTCCACCAGCCCTATTCTGTGTGAGGTACTTTTGAGATAGGGTCTCAGGAACTATTTGCTGGGGGCTGGCCTCCAACTGCGATCCTCTTGATCTCTGCCTTCCAAGTACCTAGGATTATAATACTAAAGGTGTGAAGCTACTAAGCATGTAGAAATTGACAGGCCTGAAACTGCTACTTTTAGAAAGGTCTGCTATTATCACTTGAGCCATGTCCCTAGTCCATTATTACCAATTCTTAGATGAAGGACCCGGCATAACAATCATTTCCAAAAGAATTAGTTTTTGCCTTTCTTTATGTTTCTTTTTCTTTTTTTTTTTTATAATCATGGGCTTTTACTTTTATATTATTAAAATTATACTTTATGATTTCAAATTGGGACTGAAGTAGCACCTTCAAGTTAGTCTTTTACATTCTTCTACCAGTTTTGTGAAACTTTCATTGGAATCAACTGTTAATTTCACTTGTCCTTAGAATTGTTATTACTAAAATGTTTTTAACTTTTTTTGTTTTTCTTTTTTTGAAACAGGTTCTCAGTATCAAGCCCAGCCTGGCCTAGAACTCACTATATAGATAGGGTTGGCTTGAAACTCACAATCACAATCTGGGGTTGGCTTGAAACTCACAATCAATTGCCTCAACCTCCCAAGTAGTAGGATTACAGGTGTGAGTCTGTTTCTAACTTCTTATATGAGAAAACAAAACTAACTTTTCTTTCATAATGTCTAAATTGATATTACTAACTAAGTTTTCTCCTATCCCTAGTCTATACAAATAGTTTCCTAGCTTTTCTTGGAAGAGTTTTTGGTAATTCACCATGAATTTATGTTATATATGATGACAATACAGATCCACTTGTATTTTTTTCCACATGGATTTACAGTTGCATGACTATCACTATTAATCAATTCATTCCTTTCTCACAGATTTGAATGATCGTATCTGTCACACTTTATTTTTTGGGGCAGTACTGAGGGGTTCAAACTCAGGGCCTTACTAGGCAGGTGCTCAACTAATTGAGTCATGACCCCAAGACCTTTTTGCTTTAGGTATTTTTTCAAATAGGGTCTCACACTTATGCCAGGGCAACCAGGACTACTATCCTATTTATGATTCCTGCATAGCTGGGATGACAGGCTGTACCACTACACTCAGCTTTTATTGATTGAGATGGGGTCTCATAACTTTTTGCCTAGGCTGTCCTCAAATCACGATTGTCCAGATCACCAACTACTGAACACTGAGTAGCTAGGATTATAGACGTGAGCCACTGCACACAGCTCACACTGTTTGATTTTAGTGTTTTTTCAGATTAGGGTGTCCTGTATTTGCTCCAAGGCCCTATGATCCTCCTGTCTCTGCCAAGTTGAATATTTTTAAATTCTTAATTTGATCCACTGATCTATTCCTACATCAATACACAACTCTCTGATTATTTTAATGGATATCTTAGCCCTTTTTAAAAAGCCTACAATAAAATCAATTAAGGGTCCATGTAGTAAAATATCTTTGGTTATTATACCTAACACAAAGTAGAGCTTTTTTTGCTCCATTTTTTTATTGCTTTAATTTTTTTAACAAGGTATCATAATAGCAACCAACAAGCAATTCATTCAACTATTATAAGACAAATAATAAAGAAAATGCTTTTTTATTTGTAACAGCTTGATCCAAACATTTTCTTCCAACTCTTATATTAGAAAGAGCATGAAGCCATGAGACCATGGCTCAAGTGGTAGAGTGCCTACTTAGCAAATGTAAGACCCTGAGTTCAAACCCCAGTACCATTAAAAAGAAACAAAAAACAAAAAAACCCCAGCAAACTAAAAAAAGAATAGGGAGCTTACTAACTGTTTAAAGCATACAAGTATTAACAACACTATTTTATTAGGGACAAATATAAACAAATATGCTTCTTTTCCAAAAAGAATGAATTCAATTTACCTATTTTGAGGAGGAAAAAAAAAGTTCATACCTGAGCATTTGAATTAGTGAGTGTCTCAGTTCCAATAAGTGACAATTTATTCTGACACTTCATTAAAAAAAAAAAAAAAGTTACACACATAACCCACAGACAATTTCCCCATTTTCTCCTTTCATATACCATTCCCCGTAACAACATGAAAATATCTGATGTAAAGAGTCTGTTTAATTCCTGTCTTTCTAAACAAGAGGATCAAGAAGGCAGTGAAAGCAGGTCCCAAAGTGAATACATCTAAAGGAAAAGGGGGCACTAGAATGAAAGAAAAAGAAAAACTAACAGCAAGTGTGAATTATAAGCTATATATAATGGGAAAAACGGGAGAGAAGGGAACAAGAGGGAAAGTACTAGAGGAAAATAATGAAATAAGTAAAAAGTTAAGATCATAAGAAAAAAAAGCCTCCAACTGATATTGTTTCTGTGCCATTAAAAAACCCAAAACTGCTAATATTGTGGAGGTAAAATATGAGGAATTTAAATCTTATTTCTAGCTGCAATATTTTTCTACAAAAAGTTTTAAGGTTATTTTTAAATCCAAATTTCTTTACTGAAATGCCCCCAAAAGACTATCTAGCTAATACATTGATGATTATCTAGTTAATACATTAATGATATTTTTAAATGATGGGGGAAAAAAAAGATTCCATTAATATGCTCTGGTCTGAAGCTTGAAACTTTACTGGAAAGAATATGATGCTAAAAATACCTATGGTCTATATCACATACTATATTATTTTAAGTGGCACAAAGTTTTCCCAAATAATTATAGTATTTTGATAGAACCCAACATGGCTCTATCTCACTAAAACAGAAAATATCTTGGGTTCAATTTTCTAAATTAATTCATGTTTCACTTACAATTATGGGTTCTTCACATTTGTATACAGTCTATTTTGAGGTCTAATCCCACCACCAGCCACCATGAACGAGGTATCCACGGCAATTCCCTCCAATTTCACATTCATTAACTCTATGTAGTTATGGTCCTACCTCATTAATATCACTTGAATCTCTTCTTCAACTTGCAATGCTAGTATCTGCCTTCATTACTTCTTAACAGGACTATTACTAGAGGCCCCTACATGTTCTTTCCACCTGTAGTCTCAATTCTTCTACACCTTATTTTCTTCCGTATTTACAATTCTTTACTGGATTCCCATAGAACACACTCAACAAAATCCTTCATATTCTTGCTCCTGATTAACTTTCCAGTCAATTTACATTTTCTATAATATTCTACTTAGAGTTCTCTAAATGCTTCAAACTTTATACATTTCAAGATTCCCACTTTGTACAGCTCTTCCACTTTCACAGGCCCTTATTCATCATTTAGAAATGAAATCAGTAATTACTTCTAATAGAAGGCTATCCTTAACTCCTTCAGCCTAGGGTAAGCATTCCTCCAACTACAGTTTTTATACTTCTACCACAATACTAATAATATGGTATTACATACAATATTATATATGGATATTACCTCCATAGGGTATATAATATATATAACATAATAAATATAACATAATCTCCTTGAAAGCAAGAATTGCCATATTTTTTTTCTCTTTCTATAGCTTATCCAGTATAAGTTTCTTGAAAGAATACTTACAGGTCTAAAAGCTATATAAATAATTAACACATTTAATAATAGCTTTGGGGAACTAGCATATTATTTTTTTCCTAACCCTAATTACTACTGAAATTGATTTAGACCTTATACTATTTAACTGATACATCACTATTATCTTGATACTTACTTTTTCCATGTCCTTCCATATTTCTTCACATTCTTTAATAAGTTCTTCTTCAGTATCAATAACAACTTCCATATCTGTAGTGCTATCTGGATCTAAATCTTGCTGATTCGCTGACATGTCCTTAATAGTTTTCTTACCCTTATAAGAAAAACTGCAGGAAAAAATTACTAATTTAGTAACTATTCGTTGAACACTTATTATCTTCTAGATACTCATTTCGGTGCTAAGAATATAGCAGTGATGAAAACAGACAAAAATTCTTCCCACTGAAAGGGAAACATTAATACATTGCTGTTGGGAGAGACAATAGGCTAGTATAACCATTATGGAAAACAGTATGGACTTTTCTCAAAAAACTAGAATCAGCAATTGCACTGAGTATATATCCAAAGGACAGGAAGACAGTATGTTGAAGAGGTATCTGCACTCTCATGTTTACTATAGCACTATGTAAGATAGCCCAGATGTGGAACCAACCTAAGTGTCTATTCACAGTTGAATGGCTAATGAAAATGTGGTATATATACAGGATGGAATATTATAAAGACATAAAAAGAATGAAATCTGTCATTTGTAGCAACAGGGACAAGCCTGGAAGGCAGTATGTTAAGTGAAAGAAGTGAGGCAAAGAAAAATAAATACCACTTATTCTCACTTATATATGAAGCTAAAAAAACTGATCTCATAGAAGTAAAGAACAGAATAGTGGCTACCAGAAACTGGGAAAGACAAGAAGGGGAAGGATACAGGATGCTTAATGGGCACAGGGATGCAGCTGTTAAGGAGGAATGTCTTCTATTGTTCTATAATATAGTAGGTCAACTATGGTTGGCAACAATTAATTATACATTTCAAAATAGCTAGTAAGAGAATTTTAAAAGTTTCTAGCACAAGGAAATTATAAACATTTCATGTCATTGTGATATTTGTTAACTGTGTACATGAGTTGAAATGACATACTATATCATATGCACAATATGTAGGATTACGTGTCAATTAAAAATTAAAAAAACGAAAAAGAAATGCCACTATTTAAACTAGTATGGAATGAAACTGCTATGAACTAAAAAAATAAGCAAAACCAAAAAACCAACTCCTGTGTGGAGGACACAATAACAACCCTCACCTCCTCCCACAAGCCACAAAATAGTCAATAAGCCCCCTCTCTCACACAAATACAGATATTTGATATAAATATGAATATGTACATCTCTATATCTAAACACACACATATACTAAGGCATGCCAAAGGATTTATAATTGCCATGGAGAAAAGCAAGGCAGGCAAGAAACATAGGGAATGCTAGGGCAGGTAAAGGCTGCTTAAGATAAATGTACACGAGGTTCATTTATTACACTATAATTTATTAAATAATTTATTATTATTATTGGGGGAGGCAGTACTAGGGTTTGAAGTCAGGACCCTGTACTCACTAGGCAAATACTTTACCACTTAAACTACATCCCCAGCTTTTTGCTTTATGTTACTTCAGATACAGTCTTGCTTTTTCCCCATGCCAGTCTGTAATCATGATCCTTCTACCTACACCTATGGTGTATCTGGACTCACACGGAACTTTTTCAAGTTTTCTATTGCTCAGTAAGTAAGTTCACAACAGAGAAATTCTAAAACAGATCAAACAGATGGGAAAATGCATCAAGTTCATATACTAGAAGACTCAATATTATAAAGATGTTAATTCTCCCCAAATTGACCTACTGAATCTTAAGCAAACATGCTCCACCATGCCTGGCTTATTTGTTGACTTTAGAGTCTTGCTAATTTTTGCCCAGGATCCTCCCAATCTTCACCTCTTGAGTAGGTGGATTATAGGTATAAGCCACGCACTGTAGGTGGTCAAGGTTCATCCATTTTAATGAGAAAGTGAGCAGAATATTAAGAGTATAGATGCAAGTAGATGAATAGATATGTTGGTAGGAGCCTGTGGAAGTTCTGTTTGGACTGTCCCTCCTTACTCAGTTAAATGACAACTAAGGTTATCAGCTGTGAATGAAAGTGGGGAAAAAGTACAAGAGAGTTAAGAACAGAGGAAAAGAAATGTATAAAACAGATAATATAAGAGAATGGGAGAGGATAAAGTAGTAGGATTATTGACTAAACATTACAGGCCCACTTGTAATAAGCAGTCATGAACTTAAAGTGAAATGAGAAGATGACAGTATTTTCTTACAAAGTATAATGACAGAGACAAGTCAAAAAATAGCCATACCAGTGAGTAGCTAAGATAAGATGAAAAATATAATCATTTGAAGTCAAGTTATTAGAAGGATCACCTGTAAGGATATTAAAATCACTAAGAATTATGATACTGAATGGCAAAAGACAATGATGCAGGAACAAAAAATCTTCAAGTAATAACAAGTGACAATCTTACTAGATGACTGCTGCAAAGGCGAGTGGGAGGTAGCACAGTCTCATGGCATGAAATCTAAAGCTGAGCAATCTTAGGAAGTAGACAATGAGGTCTACCCCACAACACTGAATGTAAGTCAGAATAAACACTCCCGAAAAAGTATTTTTATTCATATTGATCTTTCTCAAGTTTTCTAGTGCTCAATCAGTAAGTTCACAACAGAGAAATTCTAAAACAGATCAAATAGATGGAAAAATATATCAAGTTCATATACTAAAAGACTCAATATTATAAAGATGTTAATTCTTCCCAAATTGACCTACTGAATCTTAATCAAAACCCTAAAGTTTTTATTTTTATGGCAGTTGACAAGAAAACTCTTAAAATTTATATGGAAGTGCAAAGTACTTAAAACAGCAAAAACTCTCATGAAAAATAAGAGGGGAGAACTTAATCAGATATTAAACTTGTATAACTATAGAAGTTATAAATAGTATATTAACTATACTATTAAGTGTGGAACTGGCATATAAATAGGTAAACTCAAAAGAAAACAACACAAAGTCTTTCTTGATGTTCTAGACTTATCTGTATCTGAACTTTTAACATATGACACACACTATGCAAATCAAGGAGAAATAATAATCCAAACAGGAGTATATTTTATATATTTCTAATGTATATTTCAATCCATATACATCTACCTCATTCTTTTTAACAAAATGCATAGTATTTGGGAGATAAAATAAGCCTACACGCATACATCAATCTTTATAACATTCCTTTTTTCCTCAAAAAATTCAAAACATAAATTTTTTTTTCAAACAACCTTATACTAGGAAAACTAAGCACAACTAAGTAAAATCTCTACAAAAAAACTGTCCTAAATATTGCATGAACAGAGTATTAACAAAGTTAAGGGCTGCTGAGTGGCTAAAGTGGCACAGTGCCTGCCTAGCAAGCATGAGGCCCTGAGTTCAAATCCCAGTACTGCCAAAAAAACATACACTTAGACAAAATATTTTAATGTATGTGGCAAACCAACATGCAATTTCTTTCATGTATGATGGTGCCTATAAATTAAGAAAAAACCAACCACACACCATAAAATAAACCAAACAAAAAAACTAAAGTGATTTCCATGAAAGACAAAAATATCAATTACAATGGAAGGAGGGGAAGGAAAAGGTTATAATAATTCATGAACTATGCATTTATTTTGCATGGATTTTTTTTTTGTGTGGTTGTGTGTATATTTTATTTCATAGTAAAAAGGAAAACAACAAAACCAATCCAACAGAAGTAAGTTAAAGACACAAATGGAAAATTTAGCAAAAATAACAAATACCTTTTAAATATACAAAAAATACATTCTTAACCCCATACCCCATAATTTACAAAACTGAAAAGTAAATAAGCATTAGTTTTCATTATGATTGGCAATGATATAAAACTTAATAGAAACTATATTGTCCAACAAATGGAACCAGATCCAACTGCCTATAGGATACTAAGTAATAGCCATTAAAATTTTAAATACACTTATCTTTTGACCCTGTAATTCTACTCCTAGGATAACCTATAGATAGAAATGCGTTCAAAAGTCTATGTAAGTAGGTAGTTGTACAATATTACCTACAAAAAACACTTTAAACTATGAACTCTACAACCAGATTGTCTAGGTCTAAACCCCACTTTGATACTTACATGCTATGGTACCTTGGACAAGTCACTTAAACTTTCTGTGCCTCAGTTTCTTTATCTGTAAAATGAAAGTAATAAATATTATACATCCCATAGAGTAATGACAATTAAATGAGTTAATATATATAAAGCCTAGATCTGTATATAACATGTAAAGAGCTATACCATTGTTAGTATTAAAATTACAATGAACAATGTGAACATCAGTAAGAAGGCCATTTCAATAACTGATATATCCAAAAATGTTTATGTTAAAATCTTAACTGCTATACCTAAGGTATAGTTTAAATTAACAAACTGTCATTAACAATTTTTAAAACTTTTCAAAGATATTATATAAATATTTGTTTTAAATCTAACTTAACTCATAATTTAAGTGCAAACCAACCTTTTCCCATTTTGTGGTATACTGATTACTAAAAAGTCTTGACAATTCATTGTAGCATTAGAATACAAATATATAAAAACATTTATTTATGAATTTGCTCTTTACATATTGGAAGGATACAAGTAATCAATTTCCTACAACTTGGGTGTTGGCCCTCACCAGAATCTAAAAATGCTGGCATGTTGATTTTTAGACATTCAACCTCCAGAACTCTAAGAAATAAATTTATCTCAAAACACACACAGCCACACTTAAGGGTTTAACTTTATTCTTTTCCCACATTTTTTATCTTTAAATATATTTTTCTAAAAAGAGACCTCAACTTTTTGAGGTCCCCAGGTAGAATTAAGTATAATACCTAAATCATTTAATGAAGAACATCACTACATTTAGGGATAACACTATGCCATGCCAACTTAAACTCACATATTGATAACAGATTAATATTTATGAAATAAAAATAAAGTACTCAAGGAATTCAAAGATAAATTCACGTTTTCATTAAGATGTTCTCCACGTGTACCACTGACCAGATACTGTAGCTACAGTTGTGTAGGTGAAAGTCTCTGTCCTCCTGAAACTTACATTCTTTTGGAGAGACAGTATGACCTATGGACAATTAAACACACGATGATTTTCGGTAGTCAGAGGAAATATGGAGTGGTGAACTACACAATATAGACAAGAGCCTTCAGGACTCAGAACAGAAAGGTTAGAGAAACCTACCCGGAAGAATTAAGAGATTATCCTTACAATTTTCTCCTCGGCTCTGAAAGCTGGGCAGCTAGAAAGGTAAAGGCCACATTGCTAGAGATGCTTTCAAGGCATAAAAACCTAAGACAGGAGGCAAGATTGAGCAAGGCAAATTTGTGAGACACAAAAGGAATTGTCCCACGGGCTCCTGCCTTAGTGTACCTCCAGACACAAATGAAAAAGTCATTTTCTGGTTTGAAATGGGCAACCGTGAAGCTTTTGAAAGGAGTGTTCTTGTGCTGTGCCCAGCAGGCCTCTGACTACGAACCTCCTGTTTCCTCAGCCTCCCGCACAGCCGCAACGGCAGGCTCGTCGCACCACGCCCAGCCTGTGGGTGGAGATGAGGCCTCCAACCGCTACCCTTCTGATCTCCGTAAGGAGTAAGGAAGGTCGTTTTCAGTGGGTTAAGGGGTTGTGTTTAATGGGTAACAACAGACGAGGTTCGGATAATAAGGTTATTTATTTATTTATTTTTTATTTATTTATTTTAAATACGACTGACCCCCAGCAGGAGGGCAAAGGACAAGACTGCTAATTGACGGCGCGTGAGCGTCCTGCCGGGCTGCCCAGGGTTCCTGCAGGCGGCTGCTTTTCTCCCTTCGCCACCTTCTCCAGCGTGAGAGAGAGAGAATAAAAACGCGTGGGAGAGAAGCCAAGCTCGGCGCATTCACTGGAAACCTGCAGGAGAGTACAACTTTTTTCCTGGTGATGCGCGGAATCCCGGAGAGGACGGCCTTGGCTCTAGAGGGAGAGAAGAGGACACCAAGGCCCAGCTGGCCGCCGAGTGTCCAGCTCTCGGGCGGTAGAGGTCCTCCTTTGCGGCTGGAGCTCCAAGGTCGGTGAGTTCCCGCCCCGGCGGAACACCTCAACCGTTCATCCCTCTCCCGAAACCAGCTCTTACCAGCCCAGAGCCACTGGTACCCAGCCGCCTCGGCCTTCAGATCTCCATACCGTCACCTTCTTTACGCTGCCGGGCACTGACTCAGTGCGCGCGCTGCTTGCTGATTGGATGTCTCCAACCCTGTCCAGCCAATCCAGAAACTCGCCCCAACGCTGACGGCAAGGCTGCGCCGCTGGCTAGGAATCAGTCGCAGAATCCTGCGTCGCGCCTATGATGACGATGCCGATAACATGGCGACGGAAAGTAGTAGCGATCCGCAGTTGAGAAGAAGACGCCGGGACCCAGAGGAACCTGAAAAAACGGAACTCAGTACGAGAGCGCAGGCAGTGGCTGTGGCCCAAGAGAATGACGAGGAGAATGAAGAGCGCTGGGTTGGGCCTTTACCTGTGGAGGCCACACTGGCCAAGAAGAGGAAAGGTAGCTGCAGAGAGAGGCCATGGGCGAGTTGGAGTAGTGCATTTGCTGAGGGAGGGTTGATTGCCAGAAAGCCCGCAAGATTGTGTGATGGTGGGGTTTGTGTCCTCAGAACAGGAAGTCGTCATTCCCCTTCTGGCCACTTGGTTCTTGAACGCCCTCCCCAAGTAGTGATACTTTTGATGCTATGTTGCACTGTTGATAATGATTAAGTACACTAGATGCTAAAGCTGTCACTTGCGCATACTTAGGGGCTTGGCGCCCGTCATCAGTCCTCCCAGCAGGCTTATGAGGTTAGAATTTCTAACTCCAATTAAACAGTGTGGAAGAGACCACTGGCTCTCATTCAGGCTTTACGTGGGAACTGGATTACTGGGTTGGGGCACGGGAGGAAGGCGATTCCTATTTAGAATCATAAAAATGATGGAAAGAGAATTTTTACCCTAAGTACTAATGAATTTTCAGATCTAAGAAATTTCCTTAAGCTCCCTGGATCACACTGTTTTGTTCATTTAAAACTGAAGTCCGTGGTTTTGCCATACCTTTGAGACACATTGAGCTGAAGCATTTTGCCACCAACGTGGAATAACAAATATTTAACAACAACAACAACAAAAGAGTGGGGGCATGGGACAGATTAAATTTCCTTATTCAAGTTTTTTGTATAATGTTTTCCTTAAACGTTTAAGACAAAAATGTAGTTTTCTGAGCTCAAATCTGACTTACAGCTCTCCTCTACTCACTACTGTTCAGTGATTTTACTCCCTAACAGCACAGTTCACACCCGTTATGATAGGATCTTTATTACTCTCCTTTATTTTTTGGCTATACTCAGGGCCTCCACCTTGAGCCACTTCACCATCCCTTTTTTGTGAAGGGTTTTTTCGAGATAGGATCTTGCGAACTCTTTGCCGAGGCTGATTTCGAACAGCAATCCTCCTATTCACTGCCTCCTGAGTAGCTAGGGTTACAGGCATGAGCCACCGGCGCTATCTCCATTGCTCTCTTCTTGCAACCCCTTCCTTCCTTTGTGCTTGGTCCATACCACACCACTTGAAAAGGGGCCATCTGCTTTGTCCTGTGGATGCTCGCCCAAGAATCATAGTATCTTACGCCATAATAACTTTTATCGCTGAGCTAAATTTTAACCTTGAGCCCTTACCTATATTATTTCTGAGAAGCCTGTGACTTTTCCAGTCTTTACTCATTTATCATAACTCTGAGGTAGTGTTTAGCACACCTAGTTTACAGTAGCCTTCAAATTTTATGTATTTAAGGACTGCAGGTGTGGCTCAAGTGGTAGAGCACCTGCCTAACAAACACAAGGCTCTGAGTTCAAACCCCAGTACCGCCAAAAAAGAAAAAAGTTATATACTCAAATTTTGGAAAAGCCACTTTTTTGTGCTTTTTTGCAATGTATATGTGCAATACAATGCATTTTATTGTAATACTCTTAAAGTAGATTACCCTTTCTACTGCCTGGTCCTCCAGTTAAATGTTTCCACAGCAACATTTTCCTTCATGGCACTTGCTGCTTTCCAACTGATGTGTCTCTCTGCCATTAAGAGTAAACATGTGAGGGGCTGGGATGTAGCTCGGTGGTACAGCGCTTGCCGAGCATGCTGGAGGCCCTGGGTTCGATCCCAGCACCAAAAAAGAAAAGACAAGAAGGTGGGGGCAGGGGGGAGAAATGACCCAAGCCTTGTACGCACATATGAATAAAAAAAAAAAAGTAAACATGTGAGAAGAGGATCATGCCTGTTTGCTCCAGTACTTTCTACAGTGCTTTGCATAAACATATTTAAATGAGTATTATAATGCTTATGCTCTTGCTTAATTATCTTATTGTATTTGAATACTTCTGCTTTTTTTTTTTAGTGAAGGAAATGGGGAGTCTATGGCCATACCACCCTGAACACGCCCAATCTCATATGACGGAAATGGGGAAATCCAAAAATATTGAAATACTTACTTTAGTGTTATGAAATAAGTATACTTAAATTTAACATAATTGAGACAGATGAAATTATTAGGTGTGAAAATCTCTATCTCTAATTAGCTACTTATTATTTTTAAGACAGCCAATAATGTATTCTGTGCGAAGAAAATATTAAAACTAAAAAAAAATAAGAATTCTTAGAAAAATATCAAAAATTTGATCTAGGGCTGAGGATGTGTCTCAGTTAGTAGAGCACTCGAGTAGCATGTATATGGCCCTGGGTTCAACCCCCAGTACCACCTAAAAGAAAAGAAAATTTTGTCTGGAAGAACAGTTGTTTAATAATTTCAGCTTTTTAGAAATGGGGCTATCCCCTTTAATATATTCTTTGAACACTGGACTTTTATACATATATTTTTACAAAGACACAATATGTGATTATATGACACTACCTTTGTTTTTGTTTTTATTTTTATTTTTGCTCCTAGAAAAAAATCTGACAAGCACTCAAATGTATATACTATAGGATTTTCTAAGTTCTAAATGTCTAAGCATTTTATTGTGTTTACATTTTCAAACTCAGTATCGATGACTAAAAAGAGGATCAGTGCCTTAAAAGTAAACTGAGACATTTTACAGATGGCCATTGGCCTCTTATTTAAATTAGCACTAGTAACTGGGATCTGCATGGTTAGGAAGGTGATTGTGATATTTTCATAAGTTGTTTTTGTTGTTGTTTTAGGGGGGTTTTTTTTTTTTTGGTGGTACTGGGGTTTGAACTCAGACTTGTGCTTGTTATGGTACTTAAACCATATCCCCATACTGTTTTACTTTAGTTATTTTTTGAATAGGGTCTCACATTTATTCCCTGGATGGCCTACACCCAAATCCTCTTATTTATGCTTCCCAAACAGCTGGGATAACAGGTACATGCTGCCACAGCCAACTTTTATTGATTGAGATGGGGTCTCAAGAACTTTTTGCCCAAACTGGCCTCTAACCACAATCGCCTGATTTCTGCCTCCTTAGTAGGTATGATTACCACAGTGAGCTACCTCACTTGGCCATTATTATTATTTTTAATGGACTCTTCATGTTAAGCCAAAAACCCCTCAGTTCTTAAATTTTTGGACCAGTTATATAACTCCTGGGAACATGTCATAACTGAATAATGGTGCCATATTCAGTCCTCTAAAATTATAAAAGTTATAGCTGACATAAAATATACTGGATATTTTTTAATCTTTATGCATAAATTGAGAGAAATTTAAAAATCTAGACTAAAATTCAACATAGAATTTAGAAAATTCTAAATAAGGAAAATAAAAAATGTTCATTACTTTGTTAAAAAATAATTTTTTTATGTTTCTTTTCCTCAGTTCTGGAGTTTGAAAGAGTCTATCTCGATAACCTCCCCAGCGCATCCATGTATGAGCGCAGCTACATGCACAGAGATGTCATAACCCATGTGGTGTGCACCAAGTAAGTCTGTTTCATCTTTGAAGTTTGAATTTTGTGTGAATGTATTAGAAGTAATTTTAGGATTTTATAGTTTTTTATTTAATGCCATAAGCTCTATAATACTTTAAGTTAAATAAGGCCCTACATGTTCTTTCAAAATACATTCTCTAAAAGAGAATCTCCTGGTATTCTGTCTTTTGGAGATAAACACCAAGAGGAAGATGAACCAGGTAGTGTCTAGCTTCCCTGAAGAAGAGGGTTCTGAAAATAGTAATAGGTGGTAGTTGGTGTCTTTGGTACTAATAGAGAAAATGGTGGGACCTACAACATCCTGGAACTATCAAAAGACCTTCAAGTTAGATGAAGGGGGATTTGGAGAAGGATAATAATGGTAGAAATGTTCTACTATTTGTTGAGCTGATAGTGTGTCCAGGTATAGTGCTAAAGCCTTTTCATAAATTGTCCATTTTTCTTAAAAACATCTGGTTATGATATTATGCCAGGGGATTTCTGTTCCTTATAATAAGGACTTCAAACTTGTGGAACAAGAGAGTAACAACAAACTTAATGTTTTTTTAAAGGAGCACTCTGGCAGTGGTAAGATGAACAGATTGAAACAGGGCAATAATAGGTATGGACAGAACAGTTAGGAGGCTGGTATAGAAATCTGTGTGAGGTACAATGGTAGCTTGGACAATGCTGGCAGTGAATATGGAAATAGATGCATTACTTTACTCTGGATTGCTCTAATCTTGATCTCTTGAAGACAAATTGCATATTTCATGTAGAGTATACTAACCAAATATTAACATTTTTTCATAGTCTAAACTTGTCAGGGTATAAAGCAATTCATAGATACAACCATTGATACTACTCTCACAAGTTTGATTTATTTTGTTTTTTAACAAGACGCTGTGGAGTTTTAACAAGAAGATTATAGGTTTTGTGGTTAGGCCGAACTGAAAACCACTCAGTAGCTATGGACCTGGGGCAAGTAAATTTAACATTTTAAAACTTACTCCCTTATTTGTAAAATAATGATAAAAATACTCATGTAACAGGGTTGTTAAGGTTAATTAAGTTAATGTGTATACTCAACATATACTAAATTTCAATAAATGATTTCTGTTTTTATGTACTGTATAGGAAACTGTTCTGTTTAAAATCTTTTTGACTCTTAAAACAACCAAATGCCTTGGATAGAATATGAGACGTGAAAATTTTCTGTATATGAAAGAGGTAGTTTAGTTTTTTTTATCAACTTCTGAAAAATAGTACATTTTCCCCTCTGAAAAATAGTACATTTTCCCGTGAAACTGCTGCCTTATATGGGGAAATTTTTTGTGATAGTCACATTATATTAGTCAGTTTTATCGATGCTGTAACCAAATACCTGAGAAAACAACTTAAAAGAGCAAGGAATTACTTAAGCTCACAGTTTCAGAGCCATAGTCCTGTAGGGTAATTTTAAAAATAAGAAAGCCTAGTCTTATGCTTACAGAGTGGGTTCAAGTGGTAGGCTACCTGCGTAGCAAAAAGGCTCTGAGTTCAACTCACAGTACCAGTCCTAAAGTCTTGCTGGGCATGGTGGCAGACACCTATAATGTCAGTTACAAGGAAGGTGGAGATGGGAGAATTGTAGTTCTAGGCCAGTGTAGGCACAAAAAATTTATTCAGAACCTATCAAAAAACAAATCAGGCTATACATGTCTATAATAATCTCAGCTACTCAAGAAGCAGAGGTAAAAGTCTCAAGGCCAGCCCTGGCAGAAGCACAAGATCCTATCAAAAAATAACTAAAGCAAAAAAGGACTGGGGGTGTGGTTCACTTGGTAGAGAACTTGCACACAAGGCTATGAGTTCAAACCCCAGTACTGAAATCCTAAAGTGTTGGTCGCAACTACTCAGGAGGCAGAGATAGGTGGATGGAACTTCAAGGCAGCTCATCCAAAAGTTAGTAAGACCCAGTCTCAAAAAATAAGTTAGGCATGGTGGTACACACCTATGATCCCAGTTACTCAGGTAGATGTAGGAGAATTAACGTCTGAGACCATTGCAAGAAAAGTGCAATACCCTATCTAAAAAAACAAAACAAACTGAAGCTAAAGGGACTGGGTGTGTGACTCAAATAGTAAAGCACTTGAGAGCAAGAAGTCCTGAGTTCGTACCCCTTCCTCCACATTAACCCCTCAAAAGAAAAGAAAAATCCTTAAGAGATTTTTTTTTTGCTTTTCAAATGATAAACCTTAGTTCAGCACACAATTCTGATTCTAGCTCTTGGGATTAAAATTAGTTGCAGTGTTTTGTATTCATACAGTGGTCTCCATAAAGGAAGAGTTTAAAAAAAAAAATGAGACTGGTGTGGTAGTAGCCATCTATGATTGCAGCACTAAGGAGGCTGAGACAGGAAGATTATAAGCTTGAGGCCAGCCTAGGCTATAGATGAGACCCTGGCTCAAAAATATAAAGGGTGAGGAAAAGAAAAAAACAAATGAACAACAACAACAAAACACTACCAACAAGAAAAACACAACCTGTTATTAACGTCAAAGATTGTGAATGTTTGCTTTGGGAATATTGAGAGACTCACAAATTTATTTTAAAAATTAACTTTAAAATTTTTTATATATGCAGGACAGATTTTATTATTACTGCCAGTCATGATGGACATGTTAAGTTCTGGAAAAAAATAGAAGAGGGAATTGAATTTGTTAAACATTTTCGTAGTCACCTGGGTAAGAATTTCACTTATTTATTTACTTGTTTGTTTTTATTTTTTTTGGTTTTGGGTTTTTTGTTTTTTGTTTTTTTTTTTTTTTGGTACCTCTGTCATAACTGGTATTTACAATGTTTTAATTTGATTTATTTAAATAGGAGTTATTGAGAGTATTGCGGTTAGCTCTGAGGGAGCATTGTTCTGTTCTGTGGGTGATGATAAAGCAATGAAGGTGTTTGATGTGGTGAACTTTGACATGATCAATATGCTGAAGCTTGGGTGAGTCTTTTTTAAAACATACTTTAAAAAGATAGTTTTTTCAAAGTATCTATTTTTTAACTTAGTGAAATAATTTTTATACCAAACTCCACCATTTCTCATAGGTAATTTCTAAATGGAATGTTTTACCAAAGATTGAAAATAATGTATTTTAGGGGTTTGCTTAGGAAGCTTAAGGTGAATCCTTGTGATGATGTTTGGAGGCTTCTTCTCTGGGTTTTTTGGGTTTTTTTTTTTTTTCTTTTAATCAAATGACAGAAATTTCCCAACAGCATAATAACAAAAATTCATATATCCAACTAATACCACATAGTATGTTAATTAGGAGCCACCATGTCTAATTTGTGGCACTTAGAGTTAACTTCCTTGCTCTACTGCACTTACTTTGTGTTCTTATAAGATTTATGCATAATTTTGGAGTTTGCTGGTGATTTTATCCTTTGGAGTTATATTGATAAGCAAAGTTTGTTATTAGATAGGAGAGTAGTAGGACTTTAAGCATGTCTTTTTAATGTAACATGCTTAATTTATACATAGGTAAACGTGTGTCGGCTTGAAAGTTATAGCATTGTCAGAAAGTTTGGGACTTGCCTTAGTCAGCTGATATGGCATAATAAAGACGTTATACTAGGTGATTTAGAAGACAGAGACTTTCTTACAGTTCTAGAGGCTGGGAAATCTAACCTGAAGATTCTAACAGGGTTGATGATGGCTCTCCCAGGCTTCTCACTGTGTCCTCACTAGGTTGTGGGGCGGGGGTGGGGGGTGGGGAGATCTCCTTTCTTCTCTTAGTAGGCCATAGGCCTGTCAGATTAAGAACCCACCCTTCCTTATGACCTCAATTTAAACTTAATAACCTCCTAAATATACTGTTACCTAAAAACCCTACTATGGTCTGCACTGGGTCCATGATTCAAATCAAAATTTTAGAATTTTCATCAGAATCAGATTTTATGGAGTCACTAAAGAAAACAAGTCTCATTATTTAAGGTAAGAACTTATTTTTTTAATCACAAATACATTTGCCTAACTTGACTTTCTATCTTATTCCCCAGCTTGTTTCCCAAGATATTTGCTATTGTTAAAAGTTAAATCCAGTCACAAATACTGAATTAGCCCTTTGAGGATACTCAAATGAGTAGTTTCCAGGAATTGATAGAAATTGTAAATGAAGAGTTCCAAAAAGGTTTTGAGTATCAGCACCACAGTTGGTATAATAGTGTAACTTCTCAGAATGACTATTTTACAGAGGACAACACATATTTGAAATGTATAGGTTTGGTATGTGGATTAAATCTGTCAGAGTTTGTTTGTTTTTCAGGCAGCATGTCCAAAGCTTATATTTTTTAATATTAATATTGATTAGTGCCAGGTGCCAGTGGCTCACACCTATAATGGTAGTTACTTGAGAGGCTGAGATTGGGAGGATCACACTTAGAGGTCAGCCTGGGCAAATAGTTTGTGAGACTCCCATCTCCAAAATAACCAGAGCAAAGCAGATAGGATGTGTGGTTCAAGCGATAGAGCACCTGCTTTGCAAGTGTAGAGCCCTATGTTCAAATGCCAGTCCTACCCCCCACCAAAAAAAAATTGATTAGTATTAAGGATCATGGGATAGGACAATGTTTTTCTATTGAGCATAGTTATAGCTTAAATAGTTTGATTGTAAATGTTTTAAGAATGGATTTATAAAGTATACTATTACATGCTAACCTGCTTAAAAGTGAGTCATACATAAACTCTTCTACAGACATCCAAAATACAATGCCCATAATATCTTAAGGCTCAAGTCTGATTAGATTTCCTTATCTACCCAAGAGAAATAAATAGGTTGCTATAAGCAATTATTTTCTCATGATTTGGTAGATCCTCAAAAGTTATTATCATTATATTGGTGACATCAGAAAAGGAAAATGTAATAAACTATTCTTAGTGGCTCCTTCCCATTCTGTATCTCTTGCTTTTGAACAAAGAACCTAAAATTGTCTATATCATTGGCTAAGATTTGTTGTTGTTGTTTTATTTTTTTGTGAGGGCTGGGGAGGAATGCTTATTATATTGACATTTCGCCCCATCGATTCTTTACTGCTTTAGCTATTTTCCTGGACAATGTGAATGGATCTATTGCCCAGGGGACGCCATATCTTCAGTTGCTGCTTCTGAGAAGAGTACAGGAAAAATTTTCATTTATGATGGTCGAGGAGATAATCAACCACTTCATATATTTGACAAACTCCACACATCACCTCTTACTCAGATACGGCTCAACCCAATTTACAAAGCAGTGGTGTCTTCTGACAAATCTGGGATGATTGAGTACTGGACTGGGCCTCCTCATGAATATAAATTCCCCAAAAATGTGAACTGGGAATATAAAACTGACACAGATTTATATGAATTTGCCAAGTGTAAGGCATATCCAACCAGCATGTGTTTTTCACCTGATGGAAAGAAAATAGCTACCATTGGATCTGATAGAAAAGTTAGAATTTTCAGGTTTTTAACTGGAAAACTCATGAGAGTCTTTGATGAATCATTAAGTGTAAGTGCAATCCAGAATTAATTTTTACTTTTCTAAAAATGTCTTTATTTTGTGCAATTTCTTGAAAAATATTTTCTTCGTATAAACATTTAGATTCATGGTTACTGTCCCTTAGCACGTTAAAAATTCTGTTCAATTGTCTCTTACCTTGCATTGATGCTCTTTAAAATTCTTTTTTAGATTTATTATGTAATATTTTCCAAGCCAGTTAATCTCCTGTTTATGTACCTAGGATTTTTTTATGGTTTTTGGTTTTCCCAGTTTTGTTTGCAAGCTTATTCTCTTAACCTGCTCAACACTCATTCTAAGTTCTCTTCTCTTCTGACTATATTCACTCTTGTCCACATGACCACTTGCAGCTTCTTGAAGCTCTTCCAAGATTGCTTAGGAAAAGAAATATACATATCCTGAGCTTCTTAATCCATTCTGTTTCTTCATTGTCGTCTTTAACATTTGTTGAAGTGATAGAACCCAAGTAAAGAGCTCAGGAGTGAAACTATGACAGAAGTTGAGATTCAGAATAAGCATTTGGCAATAAGCCAAATATTAATTAAACTAATTACTTATAATGTGTTAAATGTAAGTATAAATATTATATACTAATAGTGACTAGTAAATGACTGAAATCTCAAGATTTATGTTAGAGGAGCTTCTAACCAGTTATCTAGTCCTAGCTTAACAGACAAGAAATTGAATATAGTATGAAATTTTGTCTTTTATTATTTTTTAACTGAAATATATGAGGTCACTACATATGCAAGGTGACAGAGACCCTGCTGTAAGGCTAGACTATAATACTGTGAAGATTTCTGATCAAGTGCTTATTAAGTTCAGTAAACATTTATGAAATATTTGTAAATAGAAAGATGGCTACTTGTAGACTCTTTTTTTTTTTTTTTTTTTCCTGCAGTACTGGGGTTTGAACTCAGGGCATACACCTTGAGCCACTCCAGTCCTTTTTTGTGATAGTTTTTTTCACAAACTATTTGCCTAGGAGCTGGCTTCAAACTTGGTCCTCCTGATCTCTGCCTCCTGAGTAGCTAGGATTACAGGTGTGAGCCACCAGCAGTAGACCTTGTATCTTGAAAACTGAGTCTTTTCTCCAGTAGGAATGATCATGAGTCCCTCACTCAAAAATGTAGTCCAGCACTATAGGCTATTCCTGACACACAAATAAGCAATAATGTAACAAATACCAGGCTGTTTGACTTTGATACCAGAGATAGTGAAGCATATTAAGGACTTTAACTTTGTGCCCTGGCATGCGTGCCCTTTATTTTTGTGGAGGGTTTTTTTTTTTTTTTGTAGTTTGTGAAGCCTTTTTATTTTATTTTTTTATTGTTTTTTTTCATTTTTCTTTTATTATTCATATGTGCATACAAGGCTTGGTTCATTTCTCCCCCTTTTTTTTTTTTAATTGTCCTTTCTGTATCTAGAAAAACTGGAGAAGACATTCAGTTAATGATGTGTTATGAGATGAGTTTTTTTTTAAATTGCCACTGTACATATAGTATTTTGAATACATTAGATTGAATAAAATGTCAAAATGTTTTTGTGGCTGGTGCAGTGGCTCAAATGGTAGAGTGCCTGCCTACCAAGCATGAAACCCCACGTTCAAACCTAAGCACCACCAAAAAAAAAGTTTTTGTTTTATGTAGCTACTACAAAATTTTAAATTCTTCTGTGACTTGTATTTTATTTCATTGTAAAGTACTGATCTAAGACTTTCAAAAGACAGTAGATATATCATTTTTGTACAGAAAGCACCACTTATATCAAACAGCTATTTGGTTTTTTTAATTAGAAATATCAGTTACCCTTAGAATAAAATACTTTTCTTGGGTGGTGGTGATGGAGGACCTCATACGTGCTAAGCACTACTCTACCAGTGAGTTACACTCCCAGCCCTGAAATACTGTTTTTTATAACTGACCTTATTAATGTCTTTTTATTCCTCCTTACAGCATCTAGAATCCCTTAAGATAGAACTCTTAATGAATGTTCTGCTTCTGTTTAATTCTCATTGGTTTATTTTGTGTGTATGTGTGTGTGTGTGTGTGTGTGCATCCAACATTTTAGTTAATACATGGTTTATTGCCTAGATGTTTACAGAACTGCAGCAGATGAGGCAACAGCTACCAGACATGGAATTTGGCCGACGAATGGCTGTAGAACGTGAGTTGGAGAAAGTGGATGCTGTAAGATTAATAAATATAGTTTTTGATGAAACTGGACACTTTGTGCTATATGGAACAATGCTGGGCATTAAAGTTATAAATGTGGAGACAAACCGGTAAGTTTTAATATGACGTATGTTTTTTTAAAATGCATTTATGTGGGACCATATCCTCCATCAGGGAAACAATGAGAGTTTTGTTTGTTCCAAGGAAAGTGGAATGGTCCCAAATGTCTAAACTTAACCAAATGTTTTGACTGGATTTTTCTGTGGTCTCTCAGTTGTTTATAATCTTATGTAAAAAGTTTCCACTTATGCTTGTAAAAGAAATGGAAAGAAGATATGCATAGTTTCAAGTTTTTTGTCTTTTTTTTTTTTTTAAACAAGTTTCAGTCTGTGTTTTGCTTATTGATTTAAATTTGCCTAGCTCATGTTAAATGTTGCCAAATATTTTAACCACAAAATTCATAATTATATCCTGCTAGACATAAAATCAGAAGTTACAATGCATGAAACCACAATAAGCCTTTTGTGGAACTAGTCCATTTTGTCTTAGTACAAAATATCCATGATCAGTTACTACCACTGAATGTAAATGAAAAAACTTAAAGAATATTTTAAGGAGGAAAATCTTATGCTGTGCATTCCCACAAAAAAACATATGTTTATAATTCTTGGGAATATAATATCTTTGAGGGGTTGAAGAGGTTAAAACTGTACACTCATCCCTTAATGTCCATAGGGGATTGATATCTCTCGTGGATACCAATCTCTGAGGATGCTAAAGTCCCTCATATAAAATTGCATAATATTTACATATAACCTATGCAGAACCTCCAATGTACTTTAATCTCTTGATTATTTACAACTAATACAATGTAAATGTTACATAAATAGTTGTTTTACTGTATTGTTTAGGGAATAACAACAAGGAAAAAGAGGGCTATTAATTTATGATTTGGGGTTTTGGTTTTTGGTTTCTAAATAGACTTAAACTTTTTAAAAGTTTTAGTTTCACAGCAAAATTAAGAGGAAATTATGGAGTTTTACCATATATTATCTTATCTATACACTTGCATAGCCATCCACATTATCAGCATCTCCCATTGGAGTGGTAATATTTGTTACAACTAAGGAACCTTGACACATCATTATCACCCAATGTCTGTAGTTCACATTAGGGTTAACTCTTGATATGATACATTCTGTGGGTTTGGACAAATATATAGTGAAATGAATCCATTATAATATCAGACAGAATAATTTATTCCTATTCTGCTTGAACCATTCAACCCTCCATACTCTGTAAACCCTGGCAACTGTCAATCTTTTTATTGTATCCATGGTTTTGCCTGTACCAAAATAATCAGAGTTGGAGTCACATAGCTTACAGCCTTTTCAGATTGGTTTCTTTCAGTTAGTAATATGCCCTTAAGGTTCTTCTGTGTTTTTCTAACCTTGACAGCTCATTTCTTTTTAGCACTGAGTAGTATTCCATTGTCTGAATATACCACGATGTATCCATTCATCTACTGCATGACATCTTGGTTGCTTCCAAATGTGGCATTTATAAATAAAGCCATTGTAAATATCCATTTATGGGCTTTTGTGTGGATATAAGTTTCAACTTCTTTTGAGAAATACCAAGGAGTTCAATTGCTGGATCACAGGGTACCACAATATTCAGTTTTATAAGAAACCAACAAAATGTCTACCCAAAGTGATCTTCCCACCAACAGTGAATGAGTGTTACTTTTGCTCCATATCCTCACCAACATTTGGTATTTTCAGTGTTCCTGGATTTGGGTCATCCTAATAAATGTGTTGTGGAATCTTGTTTCAGTTTTCATTTCCCTGAGATCATATGTGCAGCATCTTTTCTTATTCTTACTTGGTATTTGTATATCTTCTTTGGTGAGCTGTTTGTTAGGGCTTCAGCCTATTTTTTAATTGGTTGCTTCTTGTTGACTTTTAAGAGTTCTTTGTATATGGTGCCTAACAGTCAGCCCTTCACCAGATATGTCTTCTGCAAATATTTTCTCTCAGTCACTAGCTTTTCATTCTCTTGATGATTGGATTTTTTAATCCTGAAAATTATTCTTACCTCTCAATTTAAATGGTATCTTCTGGGGGTTGAGAAATACTTAAAATATATATAGCTAATGAATACTTGATTCTTAGCTTTTATCTGTAAAGTCGTCATGATTAGAATTAACTCTGGTAATTTTATTTATAAAAACCATTGTTATATTTTCCAGGTGTGTGAGGATCTTAGGCAAGCAAGAAAATATTAGAGTGATGCAACTGGCTTTGTTTCAGGGAATAGCCAAAAAGCATCGTGCTGCAACTACTATAGAGATGAAAGCTTCTGAGAACCCTGTTCTTCAGAATATTCAAGCTGACCCAACAATAATCTGTACGTCTTTCAAAAAGAATAGATTTTATATGGTATGTGGAAGTACTAGAGATAAGACTGTAATGATTCTTCTACCTTGGTTGAGAGTTATGTTTTCTTGGTTTGTTCCTTCAATGGAAGAGAATGTTGGCAGTAATAGTATACTTTCTAACTAGGAGACAATTTTGTATCTCTGTACTGCCTTCAATCATGTTTTGAAATTTTTTCAACCTGGCTTCCACAGCTGTTTGTATTAAGATGGTGGTTATGGTCATAACTGCATTTAGTTTTTAATTTTCTTTTTTGGCATTGGGGGGCAGTACTGGAGTTTGGACTCAGGGCCTTGTACTCTACCACTTTAGTCACTCCACCAGCCCTTTGTGTTATTTTTGAGCTAGGATCTTGTTTTATGCCCAGGCTGGCCTGGACAGCAGTCCTCCTATTTGTGCTTCCCTGCATAGCTGGGGGTGACAGGCATGAGCCTCCATCAGCCATTGGTTGAGATGGGATCTCTTGCACTTTCTGCCTAGGCTGGTCTTAAACTGTGATCCTCCAGATTTTGGCCTTCCAAGTAACTAGAATTATAGGCTTGAGCCACCACACCCATCTTAAATTTCTTTTTAATGCTTTTATTGTTTTTCAGCTTTTACTCTTGAACTTAATTTATCTCCCCTGAACTTGCATAACTTCCTTCTAAATGCATTTCCTTTTTTTTTTTTTAACCTTTTGACTTTATTATAATGGTGCTACCTTGGAATTATTTATTCCAGAAGACTGTTTTTTTTTTCCCTCTGGAGAACTAAAAGTACTAGATTGGAAGGCTGGGGGTGTAGCTCAGTGGTAGAGTGCTTACCTAGCATGTTAAATTCAGTCTTCAATACCATGAGGAAAAAAAAAAAAGTACTACGATTGGGCTTAAAAGTCATACTGCTAAGCTACTGTGAAGTAACAGTGTCCTAATTATTCTTCAGGCAGAGAAATGGTGAAAGATACAGACCAGTGCCCTAGCATTCTGTCCTTTACACTGTAGTCAGAGAATTTTCTAAGATCCAAATGTGACTGAAACCTTTACAGACTCCCCACTTATCTAGGCTAACTGGTTCTCTTCTTTATATTTATCTTTTTTCATTTTTAATTAATTTGCTGTACTGACCAGATCAAACTTACTCCATTCACAGTAGCTGGAACAGCTTATTCCATTCCACTGGGTCTTTGCATAGGCCATTCCTTCTTCCAGTCACATGCCTCTCCTCCTCCTACTACTCCTACTACTTCAGGTCTCAGCTTGGAAACTTCTTACCACCAACTCTTAAGTTGTGTATGCCTGATTTTGTTCCTCCTGTGTTTTCTCCATCATATTATGTGTCAGACTTTTTGTGTGAAACTCAATAATTTGTTCCTTTTTTTTTTTTTTTTTGGTCTCTGACACTGTCCTCTTCTGTCTTCTTCCCTATTAAATCCACAAAATTTAGTAAAATGACTGACCCGTTATAGTACACATAGTCATTCATCTGATGAGGATTCTCATGGTAAGCTGTTACAATGCTTTCAAGGAAAAGTGCATTTGATAAATGTATAGAATATCAGTTTCTTTACCCCAACCACGTTTTCAATCTAAAATGGTAAATTCTTTAAGATGACAACTTTGCTTATAACTTTCAACATGATTGCTAAAAAATTGTTACTATATATTAAGTAATTTGTTTTCACTAGTATGAAGTAAAATTTCTCATTCTTGATATGTACTAAAAGTACAAAGACTAATTTTCCAACCATTTCATTAAAGAAACAAGTTATATTTTATTTTTCTTTCCCTAGAGTTCTGAGTTTACTTTTAGATGAGTAAATTATTCATACGCTAATTTTAAGGTTTGAAGAAATAAATAAAACATAAAAAGTATTGCTTCCTTATCCAGGTAACATTATTATGAATTTTCTTTCAATTTTTTTTAAGATATACATATCCTTAAGCAAAACTAAGATGATATTGCATATATCTGAATTTTGTTCCCTTGTTTTAAATCCATCATAAAGAAAAAGTATAATTTTAAAAATCTATATGAGCTAAATCATAAGGTAACTTTTGAGAAGTTTTTCTAAATACATAGTTCAATGGATAACACATTTCTTTGGCAACTGGAGAATAAGATATTAAGGTGAAAACATCCTGGCTTGGTTTTTATTTGGAATCTTAGTGGATCAAGGAATGACATTAGGAAAGACAAGGACTGGTGCACCAGCTTTATTTCCTAGAACTCAGTTTGCATCAAGCAGAGCTAGCTTAGAGACTATTTCTACTTAGAGTCAAGTAAAAGAAACAGCCTTGAGAAATCCACAGTTTTCAAATCCGAAAGCTTTTTCTCAATTCTTGTACCCTGAAGAGGTTTTTACAACTTCATTCAAAATTTGCTCTTTTCCTCCCAAGTTTTGGGGTTTGGATAGATCATGTGAGATTCTGGGGGGAAAAAAGTCAAAATCCATTACTAATCCAACTTTGTGAAGCCTGATATACACACACACACCCTTGAAGTGTTAGGCATTATTTCCTATGTATTTTATATACATTCATGTAGGCTTCACATGGTACTTATTCCCATTTATGTATGAGAAAATGGAAAAAAATAATTCTCTTCTCTGTCACCTACTTAGTAAATGGCAGAAACGGACTTCACACCCAGGCAATTTAATAGTGAAAGTGAGTGATAGTGAAAATAGAGAAGAATCAGCAAGAAGTGGCCAGCTCTATAATATACTTGAATGCAGAAGCAAAGAGCTACCATAAATAAATGTTATCTTGTAAACTCAAGAACATTTCTACCCAAAAGAAATTAAATCTCATTTGAAATCATACATGTTCATTATATTTCATAGATTATTTTCATATTAGACAAATGTAAAAGCAATTTAACTGCCTTACATGGCCGATGATAGGAAGTGATTTTTGATGTAAGGATTTACTCTGACTTGAATTTTTAATTTCCATAAATACTTACTGAGAAATGAAATGTTATTTATAAATTTTTATCAGATGAAAACCTATTCATTTGCTCATTTTTTATTTTCCTTCTTGAGTTTACAAAACGAGAACCAGAAGATACAAAAAGTGCAGATTCTGATCGAGATGTTTTTAACGAGAAACCTTCTAAAGAAGAAGTCATGGCAGCTACTCAAGCTGAAGGACCTAAACGAGTTTCAGATAGTGCCATTATCCACACAAGCATGGGAGACATTCACATCAAACTTTTTCCCGTTGAGTATGTATTATTTTTGTTGTCTTACATATATATCAATGTTAATGTTTACATTTGAAATTATGCAAGTGAAAATTATTGTTAATTTGACTTTCAGAACTTTTGAAGAATTTAAATTTAAATTTTGATGGGACTGGGGTTTGAACTCAGGGCTTCATGCTTGCAAAGGAGGCACTCAACCAGTTGAGCCACAACTCCAGTCTGTTTTGCTCTGGTTATGTTGGAGATGGTTCTTGCAAATTATTTGCCCAGGCTGGCTCTGAACCAAGATCCTCCTGATCTCAGGTCCCTTGTAGGTAGGATGCATGAGCCACTGGCACCCAGCCTGTTTTGCCTTGAGATTGGGTCTCACTCACTATGTAGCCCAGCATGGTCTCAAGCTAGTAATCCCCTCTGTCTCAGCCTCACAAGTACTAGAATTACAGGTGTATTCTACTACACCTAGCTTAAGAATTTAAATGATTGACATGGCATGTATTTCTGAGCTTTCTGATAATTATGTTCTGCTAGACAATAGGGAGCATTTTATACATACATTTATAGATTTATTAAGAATAAATATAATAGCTATGAAAGTGCTGAATGTGGAGCTGGGGATGTAGGTCAGTGAGTGATAGAGCACTTGCTTAGCATGCCCAAGGCACTGGGTTCAATCCCAGCACTGCAAGGAAAAGTGGTGAATGTTAAATGTAAGTGTCTAAAAATATATATATTATTACCATTAAATCTACATCCTAACTCTAGGGTTTTTGTTTTTGTTTCTGTTTTGTTTTGTTTGGCAATACTAGGGGTTAAACTTAGGGCCTTAAAATTGCTGGGCAGGTGTTCTATGACTTGAGTCAAGCTGCCAACTCTTTTTGTATTGGTTACTGGTTTTGAGATAGGTTCTTACTTTATGACTAAGTCAGCCTGGACTATAATCCTCCTATTTGTGCTTTCCCATGTAGATGGGAATGACAGACACCTACCACCAGACCCAGCTATCAGTTGAGATGGTGGTCTCTGGAACTTTTTGCTTAGACTGGCACTCCTGATCTCTGCCTCCCAAGTAGCTAGGATTAGAGGTTTGAGCCACCATACCTGAACCCTAGCTCTAGGTTTTGTGGTTTGTTATAACTAGATTTTTTCTCAAAGCAGATCCTTAAGGGAAGGATAGTATTTTTCTTCGTGACACTTGCTAGACATGTACTACCTTTTCTTTAGTCTCAGTAGTTACAGGGTCTTAAAATAAATTCAACATAAACATTAGAGCTTCCTTTTTTTTTTTTTTAAATTGAAATGTATTCTGGACAGATACAACTTTGTGAACTGAATATATAGTAGTGTCAAACACAGTGGAATATTTCTAACCACAATCTAAAAGGTGGTATCTCTTATATAACACCTTTATTAAAAAGTACTTATTTTGGATATAAATTTATTTATACTTTAAGGTGCTTTGGTTGTATCTTTTTAAATTGCCCAATGACCTTGAAATATATAAATACTGTCAAACTCAAATATTAATAAGCAATCATTATATAAAGATAACTACATTAAACAATGAAAATATACTAATACATATCTTTTGAACTTTTGTTTGTCCTGAGATTAGAGGAGGTTATAAAAAAAATGACTGTCCTGAAACATTCAGAAGACATTGAGAATATCATTAGGAAATAGAACTGCTTTCAAGAAATTTATCTTAAGATGCTCTGAGTAAGTTTCATATTTTTAATGTATGTGTTACTAGGTGCCCAAAGACAGTGGAAAACTTTTGTGTTCACAGCAGAAATGGTTATTATAATGGGCATACATTTCACCGTATAATTAAGGTAAGTTATGCAAATTTTGTGTGATTTAAATAGTATGTTGTATGCAAGAGGTTTAAGCCTAAGGAATCCTTCTCTCACACTTTCACTTTGTTAGAAGAGAACAGGGAAATAGAAAGCAGAAAAAAACAAGCAAAAAAAATAGGATGGATAGTCATCAATCTAGAATCAAGGAATCGTGGCATGATTGATTACCTTTTTAGAAACACTGCATCAGTATTTTCTCAGCAGCTAAAGACAAGGGTAAGATAATGACTAAAGGGTTATGTAAAGATAAAACCAATAACCAAGGTAACCTGTTCTTAGTAGCTAGTAGAGTCTAGACCTAGAGGATAAGATTTTAAAACTCACAAGAGCTATGGTAAAGAGCAGAATGAACTTTGTCCCAAAATTTTAAGCAGCATTCCATGGAGAAGATGGGATAGTGATGTGGTTACTGGTTATTGGCAAGTCAGAAATGGAAGGAAGAAAAAATCAAATGTCAAGAGTTCTGAAGGAATTAGTGAAATGGCTCTCCAATCCACAGCATTTGAGGAAAGGAAGGGGAAGAAAATGGAGGCAGTTATGTAAGACATAAGATACTATACAGATCCTAAAACTTATTTATAAATATTAGCTGGTTTTCTATAGATTAAGAAAGATAGAGCATGTCTATGAATGAGAAGACTTTTGTATTTTTGTTTCAATCTTTGAATAGAAAGTGGTGGTTCAGCAACAGAAATATATCACCCAAATTTAAATAAGGGTTTTAATCTAATTTATATTTTAAGGAAATTGGAAGCTGTCACATACCTACCTACCTGTATGGACAGTGTAATAAAATTTTGTGTATGTTTCTGTTAAGGGCTTCATGATTCAGACAGGAGATCCAACAGGTACTGGTATGGGAGGAGAAAGCATATGGGGAGGAGAATTTGAAGATGAATTTCATTCAACATTACGACATGACAGACCATACACACTCAGCATGGCCAATGCTGGATCAAATACTAATGGATCCCAGTTTTTCATAACAGTAGTACCAACGGTGAGTATATAGTATCATTGTTTATAACTCATAGATTCATAAGTTACCATCTAAGCAGAAAAGAATGCTGCATTATATCTGTTCTATGCATTATTTGTATCTGCCAACATATAAAAATGAAAACAATTTAGAGACAAAAATTTAAATTATATAACTAATGAATTCAGTTTCGTAAAACTACTTTCCTGTGCTCAGGATATTGAGTTTCAAGTCTCAATCCTGTCACTATTCCATAGTTTTACATCTGATATAATTTATAGTCAATTGCACTTACTAATTTTTGATGAAATACAATATAAGGTCATACAGCAATGCAGTTCCACAAAATTATAAAAAGGTATACATTTTTTAAAACATTAAGTACCAAACAATGAAGGAAAATATTTGTAACTACTGTCTGACAGGCACATAGTCTCATGAAATAGTCACAATAGTGTCACTGTCCTCAGTTTTCTGTAATAGGTGAAGAAACAAATGGTAAGACACGATTAACTTAACAAAGGTCAAGTAAATAGCAGAGCCACCATTTAAACTCCTACCTAATACCAAAGAACATGCTGCTTAAACTATTCCACACTATCTCTTAACTGTTCATGTAATATTTCTACAATTTCTAATGCCTGTTAGAATTTTTTAAATCTCTTTTTTAATTAGGATGTATTCATTGTACAGGGGGAAATTTGTAGTGACAATTCTGATTAGTTTTACATTGTACATTATTTACTTTGCCCCCATTAACTCTCCCTCTCAGCCCCCTCCCCACCCACTTAAAGCAATTGCAAGGTTTTTTAGTTCTGTTTCATATAGGTATATAAAGTCCACCAATCATATACCATCACCTTAATCTCCTTTAATTTTTAAAATCTAATCAAAGTGACTTACCTTTAGCAATTATCTTCTAGCTCCCTTTGGTCTGAAGGATGTAGATATTTAATTAAACTTTATATTTGTGGGTTCCACATCTGGCAATTGACCAACAGTAGATTGAAAATATTTGGAAAGAAAAATTGGTTCTTTTTTTTTTTTTTTTTTTTTTTTTGCCATTAATACAGCTTAACAACTATATGGTATTTACACTGTACTATGTATTGTAAGTTATGGAGAGATGACTTAAAGTATACAGGAGGTGTGCATACATTGTTAATGGCATGCCATTTTATATAAGGAACTTGAGTATCTGTGGATTTGGTATGGTAACAGACCAATCCCCCGGAGATACTGAAGGATAATTTATGCTTTTACATCTTTTCATATAAACTGGGAATAACCTTTATTGTTAAGGAAGCATTATACTTCTTTTTAAATATATAATAAACTGAAGCATAAATTTAAATTCTCTTTAATTTGCTTACTCAGAGGTGTGATTTAAGAAATAGGTGTTTACCACTATTTTCCATTTGCCCTCCAATACAGCCTTGGCTTGATAATAAGCACACAGTATTTGGAAGAGTAACTAAAGGAATGGAAGTTGTGCAAAGGATCTCCAATGTCAAAGTTAATCCTAAAACAGATAAGCCTTATGAGGATGTCAGCATCATAAATATCACTGTCAAGTAAAATAACATTTTTTCATTGTATTTGCAAATAAAAATACATAATTAAGCAAGATTATTTAACATTAGGAAGCTTAATACTTACTGAATATACAAATCATGTTTTAAAAGATGTAAAACTATATTTTTATTTTCTAATTAAAGGCCTTTTTAAAAACCTCCTTTGATTTTTTTCTTGTAACATTTCTAATCCTAATGAGTTTCTCATGAAACTCATATTTAATGTTAAATTGTTAAGTAATGAAAGAGCTATAATTTGTTCCTTAACTTTTGAAAAACATGCCCTTGTATGTTTAGAGACACACACATACACACCAGAATATGATATTTTGTATCATTCCCTTTCTTTTACAAGCTTTTTCTTTCATACCAATTATTTTTACCTTTTGATCTTTGTTAAGAATAAACAAATTGAAAGCCCCCTTTGGTCAAAAGTGTTATATTTCTTGATATTATGAAACATCCTTTCAAATACAAGAATCAGAATAAATAGCTACTTTAATTCTTATTGTTTTATGGAGGTTCATGTACTCTAACATAAAAATTTTTTCAGTCTTTATGATTTATCTTTAATAAATACTCCATTAAAGATATATGCATAGAATAAAAATTTGGTATCTAGTAATAAGAGATAAGTGGAATTTCAAGCAGTAAAACAATGTAAGTTCAGAGTTTTCATTTCTTCTAACTTACTCATAATTAAGAACCACTATTTCTTGGCTGTGGGTGTGGCTCAAGCAGAAGAGCACTTGCTAGTAAGCACAAGGCTCTGAGTTCAAACTCTAGTAATGGAACCCCACCCCCCCACCCCACATCTGTCTAGTTTCTAGACAGATTCTTCCAGAAACTTACAGGAAGAACATGTTCAACAGAGCTTTATCAGGAAAGTATTTACAGTTTATCAGCAGAATTATTTCCTATATTCATTTTATATTGCAATCTCTTACGAGATGGAAAAATATGCTAAAATTGTGCTGTGATCAATGAACACTACACACTTCTTTTAAAAAGCACTTAAACTTGAGTGTAAAATGACTTTTAAGTGTCTCCTAATTTTAGGTGTTACTTTACCTTAATACATCCCTACACCCTTAATGTAAAGTAATACTGCCAGCAAATATGATGATACCTCCTTCCCCACAAAATAAAAAGTTTATACTTTGAGTCAAAAAATCATTTGACTAATGAATTTTTCAATTACATGTCAAAAATTTAATTTGTTGATAGACCTAAAAATATTCATTGCCATGCCTTTCTTAAAGCATGGTTTGAATTGTTTTAAAACACAATCTTGTATTTACTCATCAGTCCTTTTTATTTATTTTATTATTGTTTTTTGGCGTATTTGAACTCAGGCCCTCACACTTGCTAGGTAGGCGCTCTACCGCTTGAGCCACTCTGCCATTCCTATTTTGTGTTGTGTAATTTTGAGATAGAATCTCACAAACTATTTGCCTGCAATCTTCCTGATCTCTGCCTCCTTAGTAGTTAGGATGACAGGTATAAACCACGTGCGCCCAGCCTGCCAGCTCTTTATTCTTTTAGAGAAGAATCCAGCCACCTTCTTTCCTGTAAATTGAGAATTATCCCAATGTTATATAAAAAGTCTCTTAGCAATATTAGTTCATAGGCAAATAGCCAAATTTTTCAAGTTCTTTAAATTATTATTTTCCTAGCAATGCCGATGATCAAACCAGATTTGCCATATGCTAAGCTTTGAGCTATAACCTTAGCCTGTCAAGCCATTTTTTAAAATGGTCACTTAAAATGCTATATTCTCATGTAAAACAAGGTTAAATTTAAAATATGAAAAACAATAAATACTAAAATTAGCTCCCCCTTCAAAATACAAATAATATAATTTATATGTGACATACACTGCAAATACAAAAGTTATTTCTAAAGCTTTATTAGATAAAATATCTGAAATTTGACTGGAAAGTTAATCCTCCCTTTTATTATTTCTCTTAGTACAAATAATCACTTTTTTCTTTTTTGCAGTATTGGGGATCAAACCCAGAGCTTTGTGCATGCTACAAAAGCACTTTTACCACTGAGTTACATCCCTATCACTGAATAATGATTTTTGAAACTGGTTACTAGCAAAAATACTAGACATATGATTCAAGAAACAGACTTTTAGAATAATGATAGTACTTTATAATTTTAGCATTTTATTTCCATCTATACTGATCATATATGTTGTATAAATAGTGGCTTCTGGTGGTTAAAAAGCATTCCTGAATTACAAACCAGGGCTGTATACTTGACAACCCTGCTTTATGTAATTCATACAATAATATTTAGACTTAGTACAGAAACTCAGAAGTAGGAGGCAAATCCTAATATATTGAAGACATGTTATTCTTAAATTTGACATTTCCCAGGGAAACCAGCACAATCTTAACTAATGATTAGTGAAAGAATACAACTACAAATAGTAATTGGAGCCTGAAAAACGATATTTCTTTAACAAGTCACACACAAACACTACATTATATACATTATGGTAGATCTAGCCACAATTTTTTAAATTATATTCATTTATATGCTAAGAATGTGAATTAAAAAGTTTAGCAAAACTAGTGAAAATAATTTACAAGGAAAGCAAGAAAGCAAGTTCACGTTAGTGTTACATTTTGTTCAGGTACCTAGTAGAGAAAACAGTTCAAAGGGCTCACAGGCAAATGCAACACCTTTATTTTTCACAGTTATTGAAATCAGTCAAATACTAAGTAATTCCAAACTATTGCTTATGCACAAAACCAAAACTTGCAACAGCATGACTTTTTACTTGGAAAATAAACAATGAAATATTGTATTTGCCTATTTACATATTGCCCATTCTTTTTTTTTTAGTGCTTTGTTTTCTGAAAGTTTGTTGTTTTTTAAAATGTACATTTGGGGGAAAAAAAATTAAATCAAACAGTGCCTTCTAAAAGCCACATCTTGTCATCAGACATCATTGTCCTTATAATAATTCAACTAAAAAGATTTAAGACTCAACTTCATACTAAAGTATGAAGACCATGAAAAACAAACTAGCTATTTAAATATAATAAATCATGCTTCATAATAAGAGTATCTCTTAAAAATGAGAAACAGTAAAGAGCACAAAATGTTTTACCTTTTACAACACTGCATAATGTAAACTTTTCAAATGCTTACCATCTTTAGAAATGTTTTTTTCTCTTAAATAATGGAAGCTTTGTCATGAAGAATATTGATGTTTTATTGTCAAGTAAATATACTTACTTGGGGAAATATTTTAAAGTAATTAAGTAATAGGCATTCCCAACAGTCTGAACAACTTCTTTTAAGGTACAAGTAGTTTTCTATTTAGGTCTCTGTATCTGTTATATAAACTGACCCTGGTTCTTTGTGTGAGTTTCTATATTTTACATATAGTCATCTCCATAAAGTATACAGTATTATTTAGGAAGAAACCTAAGTAAGTGTAGTGAAAAACAGAAGGACCTATTTAGAGCTCTGACCTGGCTAGGTTAAGCTAGGAAATAGGGCTTTCATAAGTGAAGATCAAATGACTTTCACAGCTTTATTATTCTTCAATTTAGTATGAGTCTAACAGACTACTTAGATAATGTTTCTGTGTTTTATAGAAAATGCTTTAGGAGAAAGTTTTAATAAAACATTGTATAAAATATTAATTTTTTATAGTCCATAGGTCTTAGCATTAAAGGTGTTCTATTGTAAGGTAATCCTAGCAGTTTAGATTCTATTAAGCAACTGCCATATCTATCAAGTACTGCCAAAATTCAGTGAAAAGGAAGTTTAAAGAAGCTGTACTTCCCTTGTTCCACACAGAGGTTCCATTAGGCACTCAGTTGACTAATGGAACTGAGTTTTTTCTTTTCCACAGAAAGAAAAAACCTCCACTTATCCTTTCTCTGACTACTCTCCCAATATATGGGTCACATATAATCTGAAAAACTTAAATAGCAAATGTACTTTTTAGAAGAAGGTGTATGTGAGAAAGCTCTATTTAGACCAATCTAATCTGCTCAGACATTTAAACTTTGCCACAGAATAATTTTTTAAAAGCAATAGCAGACTTAGTTCCCAGTCCAAGGTTCTTTTACATAAACATCCTAAATTAATTATATTTGAGATGTAGAATTTCTTACAACGTATTATGTGCAAAATAACTCTTAGCCACAAGCTTTAAACAGCTGCTGCATTTAAACTCAAGCCACATCCAACACTCCAGCAGCCACGAGTTGCCGTGAGAGCCAGTCCAACCCTTCATACAGCCCCATACCACTTCGAGCATCACAGCCCTGAATATACCAGCTACGGCCACAGCATAGTTTATGGAGACTGAGAAGTTCAGTGATTTCTTCTACTGACAGTGCTCCAGCAACATCCTGAAAGATACATATTCAGTACAATTTTTTATCTGTCCATTCAAATGATCATTTTTGTAACTATTACTATTTATACAGAAATTTGACAGCATTCTAACAGAAGTTTAAACAAAAGTTAAACCTATGGGCTTGGAGGTGTGGCTAAAGTGGTCTGCCTAGCAAGCATAAGGCCCTGAGTTCAAACATCACTACAAAATGAAACCAACACAGATTTATCTTCAGTAATTATTCTGAGATATAACTTTACAATGAAATTTCATAAGGATAACCTTATAATTAGGCTACCTACCCTAACTGAAATATACTGCCCAAGGCTGGCCTTGAATTGGTGATCCTCCTACTTCCACCTCCTAAAATCTCACTTTTTTTTTTCTTTTTACATTTCCCACTGTAACTGGGATGACAGGTACATGTGACCATGCCCAGCTTTCTTTCCATTGAGATGGGCAGCCACTGTCCTAGAATCATGATCCTCCCAATCTCAGCCTCTGGCACACCTGGGATGTTAGGTTGTGTACCACCATGTCCAGCTATTGATTGAGATGGGGGTCTCATGAACTACTTGCTCAGGCTGGCCTAAAACCACAATTCCCCCATCTCAGCCTCCCAAGTAGTTAGAATTACGGGAATGAGGTACTAGAGCCCAGCCTGAAATCCTACTTTTTAAATCTTACCCAGTATCACTTAACCATTTTTAGAACTCTTCTCTCCCTCCCCTTACACTGCTAGTAATTACTGAAGTTATTTCTTAGTTTTCTTTGTATTAGAATCTTACATATGTGTTCATAGTTCACATACATACAACAAGAATAATGAGTATCAACAATTTATTTTTTGTATACTCCAGGGTATCCAGCCTAGCACTTTCTATGTAGACTGTATTCAAAATACACAGCAGAAATTTTATAAATATTTAGTGAATTGATTCTCTTTGAAGCTATCTAGCTGCCTTATGATCTGGAACACTCAAAACTACTAAAGTATTCAGATGTAAAAATGTATTACCTGTTTGTTAGCAAAAATCAGGAGCAAAGCATCTCGGAGTTCTTTTTCTGTTAACAACTTCGCAAGTTCACTGTGTGATTCGCTAATTCTGTCTCTGTGACTGCTATCAACAACAAATATAACAGCTACCAAAAAAATATTCGATTAGTCACATGTCAAGTTTCAGTAAATTAACCAAATATTGAATTGTGTCATTATTATGGCTAGACATTGTTTACCATCTCTATTTTCATATAAAGGCTGCCTGTTTAGTGGTTGGACCACCTACCAGTAATTAATAGTATGATCTTAAGTAGTTCAAATAACTTCACGTTTAGTTCCCTATGTATAACAAGATTTATGATCGTTGCTCTATCAAATATAAACTGCTCTGTACATCAGTTTTCTTAGTGAATGAAAATGTGCTTCTTAAGATCTACCTACTGATGCTACTTGCTCTTTGAATATTACTTCCTTTAGAAAAAGATAGTCTTTAAAAAATAAAATCATCACCATCTTTATCTTTCCAAAGAAGTCCTCTTCCTAAGCCTTTCAATCACTCCTCATATTCAAAATTCCATTTATATTAATTATAGCTCACCCTAAGCATAATCAAAATTTCAAAGTAAAAATAATTACTTAGCCTCTTATCTAGGTGGAAATTGGATGAAATACAGAACAGGTGTATAAACACAGCTTCATGCTGGGGCATAGGAGGCAAAAGTATAGAGTATAAATAAAAGCTAGGTGGAGTATTATAACACATACAGTTTGGTCAAGAGCAAGCCATTACAGGTTCTCTATAGATGACAACTAATTATAAATGAGGGAGTGGCACTCCTGAGTGATTAGAATGGCTAAATGTTGAACTGAACTGAATTGAGCACCAGAAGCATACACCAAAAATTCAACTCTGCACCACCATACTTACAGTCGAGAGGTAGTACTCTTTTTATATTCTATAATAATGGCTTACCCTGAGTATACCAAAAATACATATACGAGTCTAACTATCATCATTAAAAAAAAAAAATAAGGGGCTGACCACTAATGTATATTCAAGAATTTGACTATTTAAATACCAGTTTTCCTAATTAAATTCTACACAAAAAAACTCATCTTAAAAACTTTTTAAGATGTTATTTTTGACTCTTACCTTGGGTATTAAGGTAATAATGTTTCCACAATGGTCTTAATTTGTGTTTTCCACCTACATCCCAAATAGTGAATTTTAGATTTTTGTATTCTACAGTTTCCACATTAAAACCTGTTTTAAAAAAGAAGTTACTTTTATATTGTACTTATGCTTGCAATGAACGACATCAAACACAGACAACCCCATTTATAATTGTGACTTAGGAATTATCTGCATTTAGCAATACTGACTAAAGCCCAACAAACTGCACTCCTAATCCTGTATGGTGAATGTGCACCATTAACAGCTGCTAGCCCTCTACACTTCCAGAGTTCTTGTGACCTTGGAATCCATGTATCTACTAACTCTGTACTACTACTCCTCCCTAACCACTAACTCTCGGTCAGGAACACTGATCCACTATTCCTTTTAATTCTCCCACCAATACTTGGTTCCATCTTACTATCCACCATCCACATTTCAATCCCACAGCCACTGAATCTTTAATTTTTTTTCTCTGAAATACTATTGTCATGGAACCAGAAAAGACACCTGCAGAGCAATGTCAAATAAGAGCCAGAGAACTCAGCTGTAAACTAGGGTTTTATCTACAAAATGTCCAGGAAGATTAAAAAAAAAAAAAGCATTATTTATACTTACCAATTGTTGGAATGGGCTGCATGAACTCATCTTGTTTTAACTTAAACAAAATAGTGGTTTTTCCAGCACCATCTAATCCTAATGTAACAACTCGAATTTCCATTTTGGGTCCAATGTGAACTCTATTATCCTATAATTTAGAAAATTTTAAACACTTTTTATTTTGATATAGAGTTAGGAAGTAACATCAGTTAAACTATTTATAAAGCGCTTATGTCAATTATTTCCATGTGTCCATCCATCCCTTAACCCATCACAATTTGAGTTGTATTCCTCAAAAATCCCCTAAATCTGATCCTCTCAAGGAAACAAATTCTTCCTCATGTCTAAATATGACCCTAGAAAACCTGACCACTCTTGTTTTAGTATAATTTTTTAAAAAATACATACACCCACTTACTTTTTTCTAGACGTTCTAGTTCAACTGAATCTTCTTTCGATAGACATGTTTTGTACTGTACTAAAAACCTCAAAATTGGGCTAAATTAATTAAAAATAAAAACTGCTATAAAATATCCAGAAATACCTACTGTTAACTAGTTGACTTTACTATGCACAGGCTGGTTAACAACAGGAACAAACATGCAAATATGCCTCTTTTTTTTTTCAGTACTGGTGTTCGAATTCAAGGTCTTGTACTTGCCTTGCAAGCACTCTACTGGTCCTTTTCTTTTGTTAGTTTGTTTTTCACATGAGGTCTTACATTACCTTTGCACTGGCTGGCCTCAAACTATCTTCCTACCTACACCTCTCACGTGACTGAAACCACAGGCATACGTCACTACACCCAGACAAATATGCTTTTTTTAAAAACAAATTTCATACTACACACATAGTGCAACTAACATTTTTCATTCAACAATATACTATGGAATCCTTCAATTTTAATACACATAGACCAAACTTTTTCTGTTACTAGTTTCATTATATTCCATGAGCCACAATTTAATCAATGCCCAACTGACAGATTTTAGAACATTTCTGATTTGTTTTGACATGAATGCTTTCATGGTGGCACATGACTATAATCTCAGCATTAAGGAGAGTGAGACAGGAGGATCGTGAGTTCAAGGCCAGCCTAGGCTACACAGTAAGACTCTGTTTCAAAAATTTAAAAAAAACAAAATGAACAACAGTAAGTCTGCCTTAAATTACATGCAGTTTTGATCAAGCACAGTCAAAAAAAATTCAGCCGGTTGCAGTGGCTTATGCCAATAATTCCAGCTACTCAGGAGGTGGCGATTAGGAAGACTGTGGTTCAAAGCCAGCCCAGCAAAAAGAAAGGCCCCATCTCAACCAGTAAGCCAGGCATTGTGGTTCGTGCCTGTGGTCCCAGCTACACAGGAGGTCAAAGGTAGAACTGCAGTCCAACACCAACCCTGGGCAAACTCTGAGACCCTACTTAAAAAATAAAAGGAGAAAAGGACGGAGGGTGTGGCTCAAGTGGTAGAAAAGCTGATTTCCTGGATATAACAGCAAAAACACAGGAAGCAAAAGCATAAATAGACAAATGGGTCTACAACAAATTTAAAATTTTTGTGCATAACGGGACATGAGCAACACTGCGAAGAATGAATCCACAGAATGGAGGAAACACCTGCAAATCAAAGAGATGATAGGGGATTAACGTGCACAATCAACAACAAAAAATTAACCAATCTACAAATGGGCAGAGAATTTTAATAGACATACAAATGGCCAACAAGCACATAAAAAGATGCACATTATCACTGATCATCAAAGTAATGCAAATCCAAACCAAAATATGTTAAAACATCACACTGGGTAGGATGGTCACTATATGAAAGCAAATGGAAAAAAACAAGTTTTGGTAAAAATGCAGAGAAATTGCAACCCTTGTGAAGCAAAGGTGAGACTGTAATATGGTGGAGCTCTGGAAGACAGCATAACGGTTCCTCAGAAAGTAGAGCAGGACTAGTATGTGATCCATTAATCTCACTTTTGGTTATGGTTATATACCCACAGGAACTGAAAACAGGGTCCTGAAGAGACAGTTGTACACACATGTTCACAGTGGCGCTTAACAATCAACAGGTAGAAGCCACCCAAATGTCCACTGAAAGATGAATGGATAAACAAAATGTGGTGTATAAACACAAAGAAATATTATTTGGCCCTAAAAAGACATGAAACCCTCTTACTATGATACGGATGAACTTGGAGAATATTATGCTAAGTTAAATAAACCTGACACAAAATGACAAATACTGTTTTATTTCTCTTACTTGAGGTATCTAAACTAAACAAATTCATAGAAACATAGAGAATGGTGGTTACCAGGGCTCAAGAGCAGTTGTTTTTAAAAGGTACAGAGATGAAAAGGTTCTGAAAATCTGTTTTAAAACAACAAACTGCAACTGAACTGTAGTCTAAAATTGGGTAAGATTTGTTTTTTTCCCTAGTAGTCCTGAGGTTTGAACTCAGGGCCTCACACTTGCTAGGCAGATACTCTTACACCCTGAACCAGGCCCCCATCCCTTACGCTTTAGTTATTTTTGGACAGGGTCTTGCTTTTGCCTGGGGCTGGCATTGACAATAACCCTCTGATCCTCCTATGCATGCCTCCCATGTAGCTGAGATTACAAGTGCATGCATGCCCCTGACCCAGCTTTTATTGGTTGAGATGGGGGCGGGGGGCAAGCTGGCCTCAAACCATTATCCACCAAATCTCTGCCTCCCAAATAGCTGGGACCACAGACATGAACCACTGTGCCCAATCTATTATGTGATTTTTACGCAATAACAAGATACAATACATGAGATAATTAGGTACCTTGTAGCTGTAAAAAGGACCAAAACATGTCATGTAAACCTTTATGGAACAATCTTTAGGATGTAACAAAAGTTTTGAAAAAAGCAAGGTAGAAAAATGTGTTCTACCTTTAAATTTGAGGAGGGTGAATAAAATATGTACATGTTCTGTATTTTTTGAATGATGAATAAAACTAAGAAAAATTATATACGTTGAACAGAGTAAAAAGTGCCTCAGCTATGCAAATGTTTCACATAATTATACAAGAAACTTTCTATTAAAAAAAAAACTGTCTCTAAAACTAGAAAGCAAAATGGAGTTCATGAACCTTTTTAAATTCAGGGAACCCACTATAAAAAGAGACAAATATATCAAACAAATATAGGCTTTATTTGGATTTTCTCTCAAAAAAACCTATTAATTTTTTGGGAAAGAATCTGGGAAGTCTGAATGCTAACTGCAGAGTAAGATAATATTACTGAAACTATTAGAGATTTGTTGGTATTTTTTAGGTGTGATTTGGGTTAATTTTTAGAAGAGTCCTCACCTTTTGGAGAAGCACACTAAAATATTTCATACATGAAATGATACAATCTTGGGATGAAATAAGATAACATTAGGTTTTGCTTCTGAATACCCCAGGGGACTGCAGGCAGGAGAAGGAGTGGGGAAAGGAATGAAGTAAGTTTACATCTGTGATTGGAACAGGGAAATTTGTTATATTATTTGTTCCTATTTATTTGTTCCTGTTTTCTACTGATAAAAGCTTTCTTTAAAAGCTTGTCATCATGAATTTCCTATTGATCTCTTGAAGGTGATTAACACGAAATATAAATCAATTTTTGTCAAAACATAACTCAGTGATAAATTGATCCATAACACCACAAATGAGACAGAGAGAGACGGACAGAAGAGAAGAGAAACAAAACATAACATACCTAATTATAAAGGACATTATTTTACCTTTGTAAAAGTGACAGGGATGCTGGCGTCCAGCTGGATATGATCTGCAACCTCTGTAAACTGCTGTTGCTGTTTCTGCAATGTTTCTAATAACCTTGTAATTTCCTGTTTTGCCAAGACAACTCTACAATCATCCTAAAAAAGAGAAGAGAATATTTCTCACAAACTTTTCTTAAGAAAGAAACTTACCATTACCAACTTGCAGTAAAAGCCCATTTAACATTACAGTGTTAAAAGTGAATTTTCTTTCTTTCCTTTTTTTTTTTTTTGTGGTACTGGAGTTTGAGTGCAGGACCTACACTTTGAGCCACTCCACCAGCCCTTTTTTTGTGATAGGTTTTTTTCAAGATAGGGTCTCTTGAACTATTTGGCTGGGCTGGCTTTGAACTGCTATCCTACTGATCTCTACCTCCTGAATAGCTAGAAATACAAGCATGAGCCACCAGCATCCAGCTGCTTTTATTTTATTTTTTTAATGTTTGTTTTTTACATAGCATCTTGCAATTTTGCCAGGGTTGTACTAAGACCACAATCCTCCTATCTCTGCCTCCTGAGCAGATGGGATTATAGGCAGGATCTACCACTCCTAGCTCATCTGTTCAGATGGGGGAGGTCTCACTAACTTTTGCCAGAGTTGGCCTCAAACCACAATCCTCCCATTTCTGCCTCCAGAGTAGCTAAGATTACAAATATGAGCAATCATGCCCAGCCATATTCAGGGTACTATAACACACATTACCCAGGCCAATATTATGTCTCACTTGCAATTCTACAATATCCTCCTACCTAAATGATTAAGTCCTTCCTTCCATCTTTACCCTCCTTCAGTCTATTTTTTTTTTTTTTTACAAATTAGCCAGTGATCCTTTCAACAATGGTCAAGTCACTCGTGCTCAAAACTGAAGTCCTTGCGATGGCCTATAGGGACTTCCTGACATATAATTCCTATGAGCTCTAATTTCAGATTTTATTATTCCCTCCTTCATTTTCTCTACTTCAGACTCTTACTATTCCTGAACACAGCAGGCACAGTACCCCAGGACTTTTGCCATTTCCTTTGCAAACAATATTTGTAAATTCTTTTATCCTTAGCTTTTTACCACTTCCTTACATATCATTTACTTACTAAGATATAGTTATGGTTCACTGCCTATCTTCTCTTACTAGAATCCTAATTTCACAAGATCATGGCTTACTATCCTGTTTACTATTATACACTAAGTACCTAAAATGTACACTGCATAGAATAGACACTCAACATATAAATGAATAAATAAATATTCAGCATCCAGCACCATGTGTAGAATTTAGGTGATTTATAATTTTGTTGGAGGGGAAGGATGATAAAGTTTTTTCTTTAAACATGTTCCACTGATTCCACTGTTCAATTTTCCCTATTTTGTAGAACTACTTATTTATTTATTTTGCCCTTTTGGTGGTGGTCCTAGGAGTTGAACTCAGGGCCTTCACACCTGCTAAGCAGGTGCTCTACCACTTGGGCCACGCCCCCAGCCCTTTTTGCTTTAGTTATTTTTTGGATGGGGTATTGAGTTTTGGCTGGCCTGGATTACAATCCTCTTATTTATGCTTCCCTCATAATTCAGATAACAGGCATGTGCCACCAAATCTAGCTACTGGGTAAGATGAAGGTCTTGCTAACTTTTTGCCTGGGCTAGCCTTAAACAGTGATTCTCCTGATCTCCACATCCCAAGCAGCTGGTATTGTAGGCATGAATCACCATGTCCACACCTATTTTCAGGAACTCTTCTTTACTTGTTTTTGGTGGTACTAGGGTTTGAACTCAGGGCCCTGTGCTTGCTAGGCAGGCGCTCCACCACTTGGGCCACTCTACCAGCCCTACTTGCAGGAATACTTAATAGCACTAGTTAGGGTTAAGGTTTTGTGGTCATAAAAAAAGAACAAAACTATCTCTCAACATATACAAACATTAACTCAAAATTAATTGAAGACTTAACTATAAGATTCACAACTATGAAACTACTAGGAAAAAATGGGAAACACATTTCTGGGCATTGGATGGGCAAAGATTTTTTTTTGGGTAACACCCCAGAAACAGAAACACCACAAGTAAAAATAGACAAATGAGATTTGAGTAACCTAAAAAGCTTCTGAACAACCAAGCTAACAATCAACAGAGTAAAGAAACAATCTATAGATCAGCAGAAAATATTTGTAAACTATACATCTGACAGGAACTCAAGCAACTCAATAGCAAAATGAACCACATATAATCTTCACAATTAAAACATGTGCAAAGACATTTCTCAAAGAAGATGTACAAATATCCAGCATCACTACTCATCAGAGAAATCCAAGTCAAGACACAATGAGCTATCATTTCGCTCCAGTTAGAATGCCTAACATCAAAAAGACCAAAGCTGGGGGGAAGAGTGTCCCAAATAATGTATACACATGTAAGTAAATGTAAAAATGATTTTAAAAAAGACCAAAGCTAGCAAGCATCAACAGGGATGTGGAAAAGAGGGAATTCTTACAAACTGTTGGTAAAATTTAATTTGGGGGAGTAGTTTTTGGTTTTGCTGTTTTGGTGTGGGGTTTGGGGGTTTTTTGGTTATTGTTATTGGTTTTGTTTTTTTTTTTTTTTTTGAGTCTACCTATATCTCCCTATGCTGTCACCCAGGTGGGTCTTGAACCCCTAGGCTCAAGTGACCTCACATTTCAGCATCCCAAGTACTGAACCTGGTTATTTAGTGGAAATGTAAATTATTACAACCATTATAGAAAACAGTACGGAAGCTCCTCAAAAATTAAAAATAGAATTGCCATAAGATGCATGAATTCCACTTCTGGTATATTTGGATATTAAGTTAGTACATCACAGAGCAACATCTGCACTCCCATGCTTATCACAGCAGATTCACAATAGCCAAGACATGGAATCAACCAGAGCGTCCATCTACTGTTAAACAGGTAAAGAAAATGTGGTGCACATATGCACAATAGAATACTTCTCAGCCACAAAACGCATGAAACCCTATCGTTTACAGCAAAATAGATGAGCAAGGAGGACATTATGTCAAGTGAAATAAGAAAGGCAAATACCCCATTGTCTCACTCATGGGGAATGTAAGAGCTATTATGGAACCAAAGAACAAAGGTTACAAGAGTCTAGGAAGAGTGTGAGGGGAAGGGGATGACAGGTCAACTGGTACAAAGTTACAATTTGATAGCAGGAAGTTCTGCCGCTGTATTCCATAGTAAGGTGAAAATAGGGTAACAATAATTTACAGATTCACTATTCCTTCTAAAACTCTTAGGGCCAGAATTATTTTAGATTTGGGAGTCTTTCAAATTTTGGAATATTTACATACCCTTTCAGTGACCCTAATTCAAAAATCTAAAATCTAAAATGTCCAAAATCCAAAACCTTGTTTCAGTGGCAAGTCTGTGCCACTGAAATCAAAAAGCTTTGGATTTCAGGTCTGAGGATAAAACTCAGTTGTAGAGTGCTTGCCTAGCATGCACAAAGCCCTAGGTTCAATTCCCAACAATGCAAAGAGTTTCAGATTTCAGAGCACTTTAGATATTGGATTTTGGGATTAGGGATGCTCAACCTGTATTGCATATTTCAATATACGTTTAAGAAAGAATTTTTGAGTGTTCTCACCCTGAAGAAATGGTACATGTTTGAAGTAATGGTTTACTAATCTCTCTAATATTGTCATTATACATTGAAACAACACATAGTAACCTATTAATTGTACAATTACATGTCTATTAATTTTTTTAGCAGTTCTGGGGTTTGAACTCAAGGCTTCCCACTTGTTTGGCTAATTTTTTAAAAAACAGAAAATAGTTAACAGGAAATATGAAACATGAATCAAGGACCTGATTTCATTTACATTAACATAATGAGATAATACCATATCATTAACAATTACTAGTCCTTTTGACAACTTCAGAAACTCTAATACACATTTAAATGTTTCAGTAACTATGAACATACTTTTTCACAAATCTGAAAATACTTTTAAATGGCCAAATAAACATAATTCAAGACATGATTTCAGAATACAAATTGGAAAGGAAGTAGTGAAACTATTCCTAGTTGCCTTTTAGTAATGGCCATATTACCAAAAGCAATCTACGTGTTCAATGCAATTCCCATCAAAATTCCAATGATATTCATCACAGACACTGAAAAATCAACCCTAAAGTTCATTTGGAAACACAAAAGATAGGGAATAGACCAGGCAATACTGATGAAAAAGAGAGGCCCAGGAGGTATCACAATATCTGACTTCAAACTATACTATAGAGCCATGGCAATAAAAATAGCATGGTACTAGCACAAAAACAGACATGAAGACCAGTGGAACAGAAGACCCAGATATGAATCCATGGAGCCACACCCACCTGATTCTTGACAAAGGTGCCAAAAACATACGATGGAGAAAAGACAGTCTCTTCAACAAATTTTGCTAGGAAAACTAGGTATCTGCATGCAGAAAACTGAAATAAGATCTATGTCTGTTACCCTGTACAAATATCAACTCAAAGTAGATCAAGGACCTTAAGATAAGATGTGAAACTGAAGCTAGTGCAACAAAAAAGTAGGGATACACTGGAATTAAGAGGCATAGGCAATAACTTTCTCAATAGAACTCAAAAGTTGACTAAGAAAACTGACAGTTCCATTGACAAATGGGACATGAAATTTAAAAGCTTCTGCACAACAAAAGAAATGGTCTCTAAATTGAAGAGGCTGCCCACAGAATGGAAGAATCTTTGCTAACTACACATCTGAGAAGGGATGATAGCCAAAATACAGAGAGCTCAAAAATCTAAACTCTGAAAAAATCAATGACCCAATGAAGAAATGGGCAAAAGAACTGGACAGAGCTTTTTCAAAGGAAGAAGTCTAAATGGTTAAAAAACACATGACTGCTCAAGATCCCTGGCCATAAAGGAAATGCAAATCAAAATCACAGTCAGAGTCTACCTCACTCCTGTTAGAATGGCTACTATCAAGAACACAAACAACAACAAATGTTGGCGAGGATAGGCGAAAAAAAGGAACCCTCATGCACTACTGCTGGGAATATAAATAAATACAACCACTATGGAAAACAGTATGGAGGCACCTCAAAAAACTGAAAATAGAACTAGGGATATACCCAAAGGAACGTAAGTCAGGTTACAACAAAGGCACTTGTACACCATGTTTATTGCAGCACTATTCACAATAGCTAAGCTATGGAAACAGCCAAGATGCCCCACTACTGATGAATGGATTAAGAAAATGTGGTATTTATATACAATGGAATTTTATTCAGCGACAAAGAAGAATGAAATTTTGTCGTTTGCAGGTAAATGGATGGAACTGGAGAATATCTTCTTAAATGAAGTTATGCAGATGCAGAGGTCAAAAATCACATGTTTTGTCTCACATGTGGAATATAGACCTAATACAAATACAGCAATACAATGAAAAACAGGTGATGCTAAGGAAGGTCACATATGAGGGGAGGAGGGTAAAAGAAGGAAATTAAGAAGGCAAATATGGTTGATGTACTCGCTACACAAGAATGAATATATAATTTTTAACTGGTTGAAACCACCATAATAAGAAAGGGACTAAGGTAGAAAGAACAAAAACAAGAGATAAATCAAATCGGGCTATAACGCATATAAACATGGAAGTGCTACAAGGAAACTCCCTGTGTAGCTATCTTAAATAACCAAAAATGTTTTCTTTCTTTCTTCTTTTCTTATACAAAATCAGAAAACAGGAGGGTGGAACAGGCCCTGCAGGAATGGGAGGTGAGGAAATTGTGGAGGATGAAAATGGTGAAATACATGTATATACATGGAAAAATGATACCTATTGAAACTATTCCAGTAATGGGGGAAAGGGGAGTATGAAGGAGAATGGTTGAGGGGGTGAATTCAAGTAACATATATTTGATACATTGTAAGAACTTTTGTAAATGCCACAATGTACTCCCCACCTAGCACAGAAATAAAAAAATATTAAAAAAGACAATTTCATTCTGATTTTGCTGTGTGATCACCCATCATGAGTTGAATTTATATACAAAAAATTTAGAGCTACGAAGACAAACAACACATATCCAGATAGCATCTAGAACAAATATGCATACTGTGTCATTCAAGGTCACAAGAAAATACAAATCACCCAGTTATTTGAACTGAAAGAATTGTTAACTAGGTACAGTTATTAATTAGATAACTGAAAGAGTAGGTATCATGGAGGTAACAAGTGTAGTAAATAAGTACCACCCATAGAATTGGGGAAATAAAGGGAAGAAGTATTAAAACTTAGAGACTTGCAGGAAGGGCCCCAAGGTGCTGAAATTCAAACCTCTGAGAAACTCTGTCTCCTCACATGACGAGAGACAGTCAAAAGAACTCCAAGCAAAGGAGAACCCATAGGAGACTGCTTCCTGCCTTCCAACTTCCCTTTAGTGTCCCCTATTGACAGCACCTAAAGTGGTGCTTGCTGGCAATACAGACAGATAAGTAGTTTATACATTTCTAGCCCCAGCATCACAAAGCAGATGACAAGACAGGATGCCATACACATCAACTTAAAAATTTAATGTGGTAAGATTAAAACAATGAACAATTCAAGACTGATGTTATAATCAGATGTTTAAGAGAAAAATCTCTACAATGGTAAAAGGTTTAGCCTACCATAATTTGAAATCAACATAATTGATAGCAGTATGTCAGTAAAAATGAGATAAACTCAGCTTTTTCAAGAAATTCCTAGGGTAATAATTACCTTTGTATCTTCCACTTCTGAAAACAGATCCAAAACAGAATGACTGACATTTTTTTAGAATAACTTTGAATCTCATTTATTTAAAAGATAAATCTGTAAACTGTACAACAAATTGCTTATAATGCCTCAACCATCAAAAAACACAATTTTGTGACACTGAAGTTAAGAAACACTGAATTATAACAGAGATACGTAGTACATGCTAGAGAGTCACCCAAAAAAAGAGCAAAGAAGAATGAACTTCAAAGAAGAGCAAACACTTGAGTTGGACCTTGAAGAAGAAGGAAGATTTCAATTAGCAGAAAAAAGAGAGACAGGCATTCTAAGCAGAAAGAATAGCATGGAAAAGAAGAGCAAAGGGGATTGGCGTGATTGAGAAACAAGAAGTTAGAAGACTCCCAGAATCCAGTTTTATGATGGGAAGAACACATGATGGAGAGGACACATATGGTTGGTGGAGCACTGTGAAGTTAGAGACCATGTCCTCAGCATAATGTTAATACATGCAGCAGAACCCAAATATTCACTAAAATTAATAAAACACAGTATTTTTATCAATAATGTGTATCTCTGTATGGTCTGAGGCGAAGCCCAAGCAAAACGTTAACTCCCACCTCAACCAATAAAAGTGGGCATGGTGGCACATACTTGTCATCACCAGCTCCTTGGGAGGCATAGAAAGGAAGATCACCAGCCAGGCCAGTCTGGACAAAAATGTGAGATCCTATCTAAAAAATAACTAAAGCAAAGAGGACTGGGTGCATGGTTCAAGTGGTAGAGCACCTACCTAGCAAGTGCAAGGCCCTGATTTAAGACCAGTGCCATCCAAGAAAAAAAGTCTCTCTGACAATCATCTATTTAATCTTACAAGTATGGCTCTAACCACATTTAAAATATATACCTGCTGCAAAGTCTTTTCACAATGGAGACATGCTGTTGAAACCTGGGACAACAAAATAGTCATATCTTCTTGCTGCTGCCGAAGCCAAATCAGTTTTTCACGAACATGAGCATCAACAACACTTAGAGCCATTTCTTCTTGACGACACAGCGTTTCGTGTAGGTCAGAAAAATAAGCTCGGACACATGATCGGGCATTTTCTGCAGTACCTGGTACCTAAGGAAATAAGTTTTAACCAGGTACAACCTTAAAACGTTTCATATACAAAGTATCAAAAATTTTAATACATCATAGATCTCTCTGCTTCCCATCTTTTTGTTCTCCAGTTCACTTTCTACATTTAAAAGCAATCTTTCTTAATGCAAACCTGATTATGTCACTCCTGTGTCAGTCCTTCAATGGCTCATCACAACCCTTATCCTATATTCCAAACTCTTTAACATGGCTAACAAGATCCTATCTATGATTTGGCCTTTAACTCTCCTATCTTTCTTCTGTCAAGTCCCACTCAAAGCTCCAAACTTCTCCAAGGTTCTATAATATGTCCAATCTTCACTAGCAGCATTTTAGTGTTTTCTTCCCTTTCTGAGACAGCTCACTCACTAGCCTACTCTTCTCCCTCATTGAATGCCTTACAATTCTAGTTTAAATCTTACTTCTTCTAGACAGCCTTCCCTAACCTACATAAATTGTTACCCCTCTTACACACTGCCAAAGCATCCTGTATTTCCCCACTCACAACAATAACTATAAAACTTGAAACTGTCTGTGTTCCATGCTGGATTACAAGTTCTATGAAGATAGAAACATTTTAAAAAACTAATTTCCAGTTAATAGTGCATCACTGGCACATTAAATTACATAATACTTATTAGAAGGTGAGAATAAAAAAGGTTAAGAAGGGAAAAAAAATCCATACATGTTCTGTGTGAGCCATTCCAATTCCATCTTCCACTATTTGTTCTCCTCCTTCAATGTGCTGAACAATTCCAACTAATTTTCTGGAATAATCTGAGATTTCCTCAGTAAAGGTCCTTATGCAGTGAGCCATATCTAAGATTGATGCTCGGATCTGGTTAGCTTCTGGTTCCAATACTGAATGCTATAAAATGCAACACAGTTATAGAAAAGAATTTATAGTATTGACTAATGACATTAAAACTACTTAAGTCCTCTTTTTAATACAAAAGAATATCAGTCACAAGTGGATCACATTTCAAAAAATACAATATAAGAAGGTAAAAAATTAATACTTCACTTTCACTCCTTTATAAGAACTATACTGCAAAGAAATAATTTAAAATTTGGAAGTCCACTTATCAGTAGTGAACAGACCAAGAAACTAGCTCTAAAATTGTATCATAAATCATAGTTCATCAATAGACATTAAGTATTATCAAAACAATACAATGCATTATGAAAACATGCCTATGAAGATCAGAATTTTTGTTTCCTGCTGAAAGGAATCATGAGGACTCTCTTAATTTTTTTATGACATACAGAAATTAAATTTCTCATTTCTTTCCATGCTACCAAGCCCAATCCTTTTATTCTTCTTTAATCCTTCTCTTAGCTTAAAGAACCAGGTCAGTGAAAGCAAATGGTAGACTGGAAAAAAAGCTAGAGTCATCCAATTTAATTAAATTCATACCTTGTGACCTTGGTGTTTTCCATATTCTTTGCAGACACAGCACATGAGTGGGCTAGTTTGACAACCTTCTTCCAAGCAAACAAACTCAATGGCATGAACTTGGTGCTGAGAGCACATGGTTTTCTCATGAGGTTTATCAGCTAGAGGGACTCGCCTGTGCTTTGCTAATGTCTTCGTAGAATGAGTAACTTGAGAACACTCTGAACACAAGTGAGTTGCACACACAGTGCAATACACAGATGCAACGTGAGCTTCATCTTCATCACAACGAATGATGCTCTGATAAAAAAAATTAATGCCTTTAAACTGAGCCCACTCATTATATATAACGAGACAAACAGTAAAATATAAAATCCCATTGTCTTTTATTTTTACCAGCCTTCATACATGACGTTAAAAGGGAAAACTCCTTAATTCAATTATGCCAAGTAGAGTTCATTTGCGCAAACAAAAACAAAGCAAAGCAAAGTAAAGCAAAATGATTCACAAACTGGGAAGTGACCAGAAGAAGCTCTGAGAACTTTCATTCACTTTGTGATCAAGAGCATGTATAGAAAAATAGAAGTGAGGCATAGGCAATAACTTAATTGGCTAAAGCTTAGTCAATCAACCAGTCAATTGGTTCAAGCTTAATTTGCTAACTGGCCATGGAGCCTCCTTTAACCAAGCAAAGTTTAGTTTCTGTGATTAACTAAGCTGATTAAATTCTGCATTATATGATCTGTTGGATCCATACTGGTGCCCAGTCCAAATCCATACCCTCCTACAATTTTTTTTAATAGTAAAGATACAGTGGTAATTAAGTAAAAAGGTCATTTGCTACTCATCTAAAATGAGCATTCAATCTTCAGATAAGTGAGAAGCTAGCTTCAAGACTGATTACCAATACACATTATGAACTTGGGACCCAAAATTAAACTATTCTCCTGAATACAGTGTGTGTCTGCACCTCTCTGTGTCTCTCTCCCTCCCTCCCTGTCCCTCCTTCCTCTCCCCTCGCTCTCTTTTTGCGCTATTGGGACTAGAAGCCTGGGCCTCTTGCATGCCACTGAGCCTTCCAACCCTCTCATGGACTCACAGACAATGCAAAGATCTCTTCCATCAAATTTACACAAGAAATTGAATCATATAGAGGTTAGAAGTCTTTTTTCTGCTTTAATTATTTGTCAGAATGAGGGAATCAGCACAATGCTATTCAAATAATCTGAAACTATGAGGCAGAATTAGCTGTGAAGTTAATGAAAACACAGATGTCCAGATTCAACCTGGAAAATTCTTCCCTCAATCAATTGTGAGGAGTTCTAGACTTCTGTATTTTTTTCTAAACATACACAAGTATTTTCTAATAACTTCATAGGCAAGTCTGATTAAAAAAAACCCCACACATTCAAGTAAATAAAAAAATAAAACCTACATTATATGTAAGCTTCTAAATATTTGTAATTCTCATGAAGTACTAAAAACCACTTCTTTTGTTTGTTTACAATGTTGAGGACCAAACCCAGAGCCTTGAGTACGCTAAGCAAGCACTCTACCACGGACCTATATTCTAAGACTTTATAAAATATATTTTGAGTGGGTAAAAAATAACATGTTAGATAATCAAGAATGCTTTGAAAACTTTTATGGAGTATCAAAAAGCCACAATTAAAGGAGAAAGATTTAGTATATTTTTCCAAAAATAAAAATTAGAAAATACATTCATGGTTTCATTCACTATCACATTAAACAAAAAATGAACCCAAATTTGGATCCAAAGATTGAAACAGTTTTGTTTTGCAATTATGACAAATGTGTCTACTTACCATGAAATATTCATGTCCAATATTTTCTAGACTTGACAAATAATTTACAGGGGCAACATTACATAGTATTATAATGTCTTTTGAAATAAAAGATATAGCATGTGAAAGAAATGAAAAGATTTTAGAAGACAGTAGCTTTAAATTTATTTCACTGATTCACTTTAATATAAAAAAAATCACATCATAAAAGGGAAGTTGAAATCGAGCTAATGGTTTTTTCCTTGATATGAACAATGTGGTTAAAGTGTGCAGATAATTTTTTTTTTTTGGAATGTTACAGTGGGTTGAGCTTACAGCCTCCTTGCTAGGCAGGCACTCTACCACTTGAGCCATTCCTCCAGCCTTTTTTGCCTCCTAAGTAGATAGAATTATAGGTTTGAGCCACCCACAACCAGATGCAGAAAAGACTTGAAGTACTAAACATGTATTTTAATATTGTTAATGGATTTATTTCCCAGTATTTACCAGACTTCTGCATGTCTGCATACACAGAGAACATCTATATATAATTTAGCATTTTTTTTGAAGATACTTAATAGAATCATATAATTCTCTCAGAAGCTATTGCTATCTTTAAGATACTATGTCTCTACATTAAATGACCTGTCATGGAGTTTCTCTCTTTTGTTGTACTTTACTGTTGATCAATTTACTTTTCTGTCCTCTGTTGTAATATAGCTTACAGAGATCTTTGTTACTCTTCCATAATCTTCTAACTCCTTTTCACTTTATCTTTAGAAAGAATTGAACTATGATAAGGAGAAGAGTTTACACATAAAACATGGTTTAGGCATAGCATCTTTTAAAAATTCAGGTTTTAGTTTTACTTTTTCTTTTTTGGTGGTACTTGAGTCTGAACTCATGTCTTCACCCATGTTAAGCAGGTACTCCACCACTTGAACCACTCTGCCAGCCCTGTTTTGTGTTGGGTATTTTTGAGATAGAGTCTCTTGAACTATTTTCCAGGCTGGCCAAGAACCATGATCCTCCTGATCTCTGCATCCTAAGTAGCTAGGATTACAGGTGTCAGCCACTGGCACCTGACTCAGTTTTACTTTTATTTATAGGAACAAGTGTTGCCTTAACAACTAAAATGTAGCAAAAAGTTGTGTTTCTAGAAAGCTATCTAAGGTAAATGAAGTGATATTGTGATAATGGCAAATGTTTTAAAATAAAGGAAAAATGCATCTTATAATAAATATTTCACCAAGTTCAATCAATACCTCTCCAGATATCCCAAAGGCTTCTTCTGCAGCTCCATACTGACCAATATGTCCATTTTGCAGTCGTTCTAAAAGCTCCAGTAGAGCAAAATTTTTTTTCAGTCCCCAGACACCTGAATCTCCTAGGATAATATAAAAAATACTAAATGAAACAAAATGGAAAGTTAGTATTATTCCATACTTCAATAGTCACATAGTTCAGCCATTCACAATGTCTAAACTTTTAAAAATTCAAATCTTTCCCATTTTTTTAATGTCAGAACAACTGCTTTTAGTGTTCTCTACAGAAAATAAAAGAAGTCCTCAGCATTCCAAGTAGAAACATACTTTAATACTCTATTTTTCTATCATTTAACTTTACCAATCCTATTTTATCGTGTTTATTATATATTGTAAAACAGGTGCTTTCAAATATTTTTCTAGCAATCTACAATAAGAAATACATTTTACATCACAACCCAGAACATGCACAACTAAAACAAAAGTTCCACACACTAATGTTTGCTTTTACAACAGTGTGCAACACGCTGGTATTTTTTTTTACTCAGTTTCTTTTTTAAAATGCTATAGGGACTGGGGTTATAGCTCAGTGGTAGAGTACATGCCTAGCGGATGCAAGGATCTGGACTCAATCCACAGAAACGGAAGACAATAAATCCCTTTTAGATAAGACTACGCACATCTGAATAGGACCAATGTTTCTTTTACCCAAAACTGAACATATGAGGTCAGATGAAACAGCATATGTGCATGCTGTCTCTCTCACTCTCATAAACACACACTGTTCCTGAGCCTATGAATAAGCCAGATGTTTCGCAGTCAAAAGTACTACTTGTCCATCATGAGCTTCTGTAACAACAAATACCATCTGACATTGCTGCCACATACTTATTGTTGACGGAATAAATATGTAAATGGATAATGGAGCCACTGCCTGCAGGGCTCCTCTCCCTTGGCGCCTCTTAAAAAAATAGGCTAACTATATTGTCTTCTCAGACTTCTGTTTCCTCCTTTCCAAATACCATTATACAACCAAGTCAAGTATTTCTCCCTTAGCCTTGCTGCCTCCTCACAAGGCTTTCTTCTCAATTTTTAAAAATTTTCCTATGTAGTCTAAGGTACTGCCTAATACATCACTTAATATTCTCTGTGAAGTCAATTTTATACTCTCGATGGCTTAAAATAACAAAGATTTATTTTTTGCTCATGGAGTATCTCAGGATTTGGGGAAGACAAGAAATACTCTGTTTGTTACCCATTGCCCATTGTTGAGGGACACAAGCCATCAAGCTTCCAACCATCTCACTCTATCATTTCTCTGTCACCTCACTCTATCATTTCTCTGTCACCTCACTCTATCATTTCTTGACTTACACTAAGTTAAAGTGTTCTATAATGATGTTATCACTGTCCTACATTAGATGTCTGGCAAATAGACATACTACTTATGCATATCAAAGACAACCAAAACCTTAAAAAAACATTTAGAATCATGTTTGCTAGCATTTTAAAGCTTTCTAGCCTAAAAATATGATATTCTTTTCTCCTTTTTTAGGTGGATAAATTATTTTAAATGTGTTCCATTTGACAGATAGTATTATTATATGAAAATAATTTTAAACAGTGCAACTGACCTGGAAAAAATGGCAGTCAAACTCTTTATTTTGGAAAAATTCCTTCATCAACAGAAATAAACTTATAGAATGTATGTGCTTGTAAACAATTGTTCAAATGTTATTATTTCCAAATCTAGTATGCAAAGTAATAATCTATTTAGAAACATACAAAGCAATATCTTAAAAGTATGTAAGAAACTAGCCGGTCACAGTGGTGGCTCATGCCTATAATCTTAGCAACTCAGAAGACAGAGATCAGGAGGATCACAGTTTAAGTCCAGACTGGTTAAAAAAAAAGTTCGTGAGGTACTATTTTACCAATAAAAAAGCTGGGTGTGGTGATGTGTACCTGTCATCTCAAAAAGGAGGAAAGTGGAAATATGAGGATCACAATCCAGGTTGGCCTGGGCATAAAAGCAAGACATTATCTCAAAAATAACCAAAGTAAAAGGGCTGGGAATGTGGCTCAAGTGGTAAAGTGCCTGCCTAGCAAGTACAGGCCCTGAGTTCAAACCCCAGTACCACCAAAAAAAATACATATATATACACACATACATACATACATACACACACATATATATGAAGATAAAAAAATCCATGACCTCTAAACTCATTTTAATAGAAAATAAGAAGCACTTATCAAAAATACTGATACTAGTAAACAAAAATATGCTAAGACTCAAATGACTTATCTGTATTTTCGTTACTGTCTCATTCATTTGTAAAAATAGTTCATTGGATTAATGCTCTAAGGCACATGGTTTAATATGTGACAAATAGGGTACACACATTTCTTTGGATAAGGGTAGCATACACTTGTGGGTGTCTTAAAGCTCTTCACATACAAGTATTGAACATAAACATCTCAAATGATAAAATAAGATTTGTAATTTAAGAGTAGGCTAGTTTACATTCATAAGACTAATGACCTTAACAGAAAGTCATATTTTTTGAAACTCTTTGGAACTGTACAATTTAAAAAATCAAGTGTAAAGAAATTGTTCTCTACGACATTTGTGTTACATGGATAATTTGCAATCTTAAATCCATACAAATAATTTTCCTACCTAGGTCTGTAACTTGTCGGTCAAATGGGCAACGTATTGCTCTTCCATGAAGAGGTAGTCGAGTAAGACAGTCATGACAGACTGTGTGGCCACAAAGCAGAAGGCGAGGAACTTTGTCTCCTTGCAAAGAAAAGACATCTTCACAAACTCCACACTCCAGAACCTAATATTTGAAATGGAAACATGTGTTCTTTAAACAATTTTAAAGGCATATGTATTTTAGGTTTAAAAAAGAACTGACCAAATACACTGAATCAACCTTGTTGTTTTGTTCCTCCATGGGAAAAAAAATTGTCTAGGTTATAAAACCTAAGTCACTTTTTTAGTCATACCATCTGACAGATCTTGGGAAAATTATATGATATTGAAGTTTCCTTGAAATAGTAAGTGTTAGGGACCAAGATAATGTTGTAAACTAACATCATGTTTATCTTTTGAAAACTGTATCTGTAACAATACATACTTCTACTGAAAGCAATTTCACTGCAACTACCTCACCCCAATAAACCATCATTAATTTTAACAAAAATAATTTAAAATGTGTGCTGGGATGACAATTACTTTTCTAAATGTCAGAGAACTTATAAGAAAAGACTACAAGTAATTTTTAAGTATTTTTGGCATCTGTTTACATCAAATAATGTAAAGACCAAAAGGGTGAGACTTAAATTCTATCTACTATTCTTTATTAACAAGTAAAGCCCTGAGGAAATATTTTGTCTACTGAGTTCCTATTACAGGTATATGAGTTGCCCAAAACCACACAGTCAAAAGAAAGGGGACATACTCAGATTCTCAGGCCCATGAGTTTATGTTTTAAAAATAGTCAACAAACTCCATTTAAAATATTGAAGCACTTTCAGTACTTATATGCCTAAGTATATATGTAGTGTTTCACGATTTCAATTAATTTTTTAAAAACACCCACAATGAACTACTCTATTATATGGCAAACTTCTGTGTCTGCCATTCAAGACCTGCTACAATCTGGTCCATATCTTACTGCTTCATTGCCATAGCCTTGAAAAGCCTATGCTTCAAATGTATCAAATAGCTTGTTAATCCCCAGAACACCACAAAAGTTTCTTGATTGTCTTTAAACTAATGCTGAAGAAATAGCTAAGCAAACATTTTCCTACTGAACTTTTTTTTTTGTCACTTTATTAAAACACCAGTTTCTAAGTAAATTTTATCTCTTGTTTTACCCACAGCTCAGTCTAATTGAATGACTGCTCTATCCTCTAGGCCTCCATGTCTTCTAGAAGCGTGTCTGCTATAGCACCCAAACACTTCAATACCTTCACTGGCTTTCCAGTCTGTCTTTACTGTTAGAGTAGCCCACAACAGGGTGGGCTCCAAATACCAAGCACCTATGTGCTTATGTAAATGAAGCCCAAACAAAATAAAATTTTAAACAACTCAGCCCAGAACCATCAAACACACAACACAAAGCAAAAAATAGAAAACACAGGGTGGAATTCACACTAGATCCATTATATTTTAACCTTAATTCTGCAATTAATTTGGACTTAGTAATTAAGATGTAAACATCTTTCATTATTAAAAAAAAAGTGATAATCCAAAATTGCCTTGCATCCTGATATGTGTCAAAAGAAGCTTAAATGTAAGAGTTCACAGAAAAGGAAAAACTTTAAATATATGAAAAGTTCAACCTACCTCTTTAGAGATATTTTTTGTTTTTTTCAAAAAGGTTGGTAACATTTTGTATTACTGAAAGTATAGGAAAAGTAATCTCATACATTGCTGATTACTGTGATATATTTATTGAGTGATAACCGCCTTGATGGAAGCAACTTGGTAATACTTATCAAAAATTTAAATAACTCAATAATTCTAGTTGCAGGAATTCATCCTACAAATATATCAAACATGCTGGGCACCGGTGGATCACACCTGTAATCCTAGCTACTCAGGAGGATCGTGGTTCAAAGCCAGCCTGGGCAAATAGTTCCGTGAGACCCTATCTCAAAAACCCTTCACAAAAACAGAGCTGGTGGAGTGGCTCAAAGTGAAGGCCTTGAGTTCACGCTCTAGTACCACCAAAAAAAAAAAAAAAAAAAGTGACAAGATCTATATGTTACTCCTTACAACACCACTTGGATCATCAAAAAATTGAAAACAAGGGCTGGGGCATGTCTCAAGCGGTAGAGCACCTGCCCAACAAGCACAAGGCCCTCCTAAGTTCAAATCCCAACATCACCAAAAAAAAATTGAAAACAAATATACATCAATACCAAACTGAAAATAAATTGTAGCACCTCCATATGATATAAAAGTATCCAGGGAGCTGGAGGAGTGGCTCAAGCAATAAGAGGGCCTGCCTGGAAAGCATGAGACCCAAGTTCAAACTCCAGTACCACAAAAAAAAAAAAAAAAAAAAAAAAACCTATTCAGACTAGTAAGAAAAACTTAGAGGTTTCTTTTATGTACACATACACAATGATTTCAAATAAATAAAGCAAAGTGAAAAATGATAAATAGGATATATTCATTTTTGAGTAAAGGTGGGGAAAAAGAGAAAAGTATTTTTACATAAGCAGGTATTTTCATAGAAGGATACATAGGAAACCAACTAACATTACAACACTGGTTTCCCCTAAGAAAGGGAAACCACTGAGGAAAAGCTCCACATAAATTGTATTATATACATATACACACATTTCAATTTAGCCTGTATTTCTAAAAAAGAAAAGTTTCACTGTGCTAAATTCAGTTAAACACAGGAGAGATGTTCACAAAGGAATTAGGTATTATAAAATAAATGCAACATTTTTATACATGTTCTCAATACTGTGCTATTATAATAAACTTAATTATGACAAGAAACTTAAATAATTTAAAATCGTGCTGAGTTCATTCATATCTTACTTCTGAATTTTTTTTAAAAACCACTAGTAAAATTCTAGGGATCCAAAAATAATGCATGTGTCAGCTTGGCAAATAATAGGCCAAGAAAGTCTTCCCTCAGTATCTATGAATGGGAACTGATAATAGCATAAGAAATTCAGCCTTAGCTAGGAACAAAAAATTTTAAACCACTTAAATTTAATTTCATAGTTGTCCAAAAGAGCTTTAAGCTTATTGTATGTAAATCAAAATTTAATAAACCAGGCTATTCATTTAAAGGACTAAGAAAGCCCACTAAGCAAAAAAATTTTTTCTGTAATTCATTTTTAATCTTTTTTTTTTGGGGGGGGGACTTGGGTTTGAACTTAGGGCTTCATGCTTGCAAAGCAGGTGCTCTACCACTTGAGCCACATCTCCAGGTCTCATTTTTAAATGTTATTTCACAATATCAGATTTTTGTCTTTCTTTTCCCTAATTATAAAAAAGGCCTATTATCATCAACCTATTCATTTAAAAGGAGGCCAGTTTACACATTATTAGCATGATTTATTTTGACCTTCACCTTTCAATGAACACATCTTGCTTTTTCAAAAAAGACTCTTACTGCACGGTTCAGGAAAATTTACATGTTAAGATGAATATGAACGGTGTGCTTCTAAGATATCAAATTCTTGCTGTAACAAACTGGAGTTACACCAGGCTTTGGTACACTTTTGAGATTATAAAGCAAACAGGGTAACCAAAGTGGAAATAGCAATGATACCCAGTCCAATTATGGAATAAAACTTGAGTTCACAATATAATCTTCAGGTATCTACTTAACAAAAGCACAATTCAAAAAAAAAAAACAAAGTCTCAACCATACAAGATGCCTAATAATTAAATATTCTGTGTACCATCAAAATAATTTCAATATACAAAGGTCAAGTGAACCACCACCACCAATACTGACTGATACTAAGAGGTAGGCATAAATAAATAATTTGCTGTCACATACAACCAAACTTAGGTGAAAATTTCTAGGTGCCTATTCAAGATGGTAAAAGGACTTCAGATATTATCTGGTTTCAGGGGTTCTCAATCCTGGTTGCACACTAATACCTCTTTTGGATATTTAAAAAATACTCTGCTGCCAACATAACCAAAATTACAAGAGTGCATTGAAGAGCTTTTAGGAGTACTCAGTTATCCCAACATGTAGCCAGGAATGAGAATTACCAATCTCTTAGTTCCCAGATGATCCTGGACAGTACCCTCTGAACCACTGAGATCAGTTAACAGTTTCAGAACCTGTCAGTATTACAATGAAAGAGAAGAATCAGTTCCACTTAGTTCGATTGACTTTTTAGGAAGTGCATTTATTTACACATGATAGAATGTCAAACTTCAAGCATAGAATAATGCATGCATCACAGTATTAATGGCCAGTGATGATGCAGCTGGAGACTTCTCATAAGTTTTGAGACTAAGAGGAGCGGGGTAGTTAAAAAATAATAGCTGTCTGATTATACTAGTGCAATCGTGAAAAACAGACTTTAGTAAACCTCGGGCTTTTGCCACAGACTGTGTTAACTTAAATCTGGGTTTCTTCCCACGAAAAACTCGAATTCACATCACCTCCTAAGTAGACACTGACGAGCAGAAACACCTAACGTACCTGCCGATGATAATGGCTCAGCTTAATAAAAATAAGGTCATTAATGCCCGTTGAGCTTTTCTAAAAGCAGAGGACCTGGGGAAAGACCGGTACAGGCCCGCAAATGCCCCCGCTGCAGATGCCGACACATGGCAAAGCAGACCAGGCAACTTCAACCCCGCGGGGACAAGGACCGCGGGGGGACAAGGACTTGCAAAGCCCACGGAGTCTCAGAAGTCGCGCATCCCGCCCAGCCCAGCCTGGGCCGCAGCAACACAACACGAGCGGAGAACCGAAGGGAGGCCGATGGTGGAGCACAGAGCACGCAAGGTTCCTCACCTTCACCACAGCCGTCCCCCGGCTCCCTTGCCGGCCACTGTCTAGACCCGCTCCGGGTTTGTTTACAACCAGGGTAGCCATCCTGGAATGTGCAGCGCCGCAGGTGCACCCTTCAGAGCCCTCAACTGAGAGGCGGGGTTGAGCCACCCAGAGGCCTCCGCGCACACCACAAGTGCGCAGGCTCAGTAGAGGCGAGAGCTGCCCCCCGCCCTCTCCCCAACCCAGCGTCAGTCATTGGTCCTGTTAGTGATGGAACACTTTGCGCATGCGCACTGTTTCCTATCACGCAGTCTGCATTTGATAGATGCAACTAAAAAAATCAAAGGGGAAAGGAATAGAACAGAATTAAAAGTTGAGGTTTAAAATGCTGCTTCTGCAGTGATTTCTCTTCCCCAATTTGCAATCCAGCGGAATGAGAATGGGGTGATCATGTCTCTGCACGCAATGCAATTTTTGCATAAACTACAAATCCCAGCATGCCACTCCACCTTCTTTTCTTTTCCCACACTCCCATATTGTTGGGAAACCATGTACTGTTAAACAATAGTGGTTTGATTACAGATGGAAACCAGATGTTTTATAGATAGTTTTCTAAAAGAGAAGGCCTGGTCTTGGTGAAAATAAGCCACTGGGGCCGTAATGGACATAGCAAAAAGCATTTAAGGTACAACCTGCAAAAGGCCACTGTCGCGAACGCGCTTGACGCGGTCTCTCCGGACGCGCTTCTTCTCTCCGTGTTCTTCCGGGCCAGGTTGAGCCTCGGAGGCCCCCGTAGGGCGCGGGCCGGGAGTGCGGGTCAAAATGGAAGTGAATCCCCCCAAGCAGGAGCATCTGCTGGCGCTGAAAGGTAAGGCATCGCGAGCCCGAGGCTCCTTATTCTGCTTTCTTCCTGACCTCACGAGTGCTGCAGGCCTTGGCCTCGCAGACTGCGTCCTTAGATACCGAATAGCCGGGCGGCGGAACGTCTACCTGCTTCCTAGGTTAAGGCTCCTCTTAGAATGGCTGCAAACGGACGGATCGCCGTCTGCCGTCTGCCGTCTGCAGCAGCACTGCTGTGTTCTCAAGATTTTAGCCTCCAGCGTACTTTTTGGACCCGTGAGGGAGATGTCTGCACCGGCACAAGTGACGGCGGCGTTTAAAGCGCCTTTTCCTCCCGTCTCTCGTCTGACCGAGTGGCACCGACGGCCACCGGGCCTCAGCTTTATCCGCAAAGATGGCATTTCTTGACGGTGCCGAGGCTTTAGAAACGCAAGGTGCTGCGACCCATAACTTAGATTTGTCGAGGCACACTGCGGTGTACTTCAAAGTACTATGCGGTATTGTGTGCGTGGGAAGTAAGTCCAGAATCTCTTCCTATCGTTCATTTCTGTACGCCTCAATTTTGAGTAAGTTTTGAGGATTTCATTAGATCATTACTTAGGGAAGAAAAAAAAAACAGTAGGACGAACTTTTCTGGAATTTCCATTGTTTTATATGTTTTCTTGGATGCCCTAAAGTGTGGTCAGCAGTGCCTTGACCTGAGCTCATTAGATACTTGGATTAGTTTGAATTGCACTTACCTTCTTTAAGGCATCCATTTTGAAGTTCTCCTTATTACTTTTATTACTCCTGCCACATCTTCTATGATGTTGACTCCAAACATTCCAGAAGGTCACAAGTTTCATTTATAACAGAATCGTATACTGATGGCTTAAGTTAAGAAACTTTGCAACTTAGGTAGTACAGCAATAGCACCTGTAGGCTTAGCCTGAGGAGATGATGTAGACTAAAATAGACTGGGCAAAAGGAATTTATTGTACATTCACTATCTCAGTCTCACATCTCTTAAGTAGACTACCTATCTAGAAGGTGATTGAGACAGTATTTCAGCACAAAACCCACCTCCATCTAAGATGCCATATTGTCTCCTAATGGATGAAACTGCGTGTTCAGAGATCATTACCTTACTGACTACTTTGATGGGAATTTGGAACACTTGTAGTTGCTGGGTGTGATCTTTTACAAATTAAATAGAAATTCTAATGATATAAAGTCTAACTCCCATTAGAAATTAATAGTTTTCTGTTACTATTCTTTATTTTCAAAGTAGAAGATACCTATTAAAGTTTCAGCAGACTGAAAGGGCAAGTACTTTACATTTCACTCATAGTTTCTGCTTTATTAATTCTCTTTGGTACCATTCTTCCCCCAGTGTTGTAGTTAATCAAGAATTTTCACAATTTTTAATTTTACTGATAATGTCAGGTATGTCAATTTAAATGGCCATTTAAGTTTACTTTCTTATATATTAACATGTAAAATGTTGAGAGTATCTTAAGAGATAATTTTTTAAAAGGAGCTCTTTCAACTTCAGTTGTCCCTGAGTATAGCACTGAATAAGTTCAGATGACAATGAAAAAATTTCTCCATGTCCTACCTTACAGTGTGAGGGTGTAAGGAAGAAGAAAGAAAAAAAAAATAAGCACAATAATTACGGATTCTTGAAAGAGTATGTTATTACATATTTAGACCTGTATTAAAAATTTTAGATGCTAAGAATTATAGTCATTTATAAATTTGAGAGTTACCATACCTGTTAGTGGGCATTAAAGAATTATGTAATTAGTTATTTCTTAACTCTTTAGAATCAGTCTCTAGTTCCATCTCACCATTGGGAGAACCCTCAGTTAGTTCTCTAATGATTAGGAGAGAAGGGAAGTCAGCTTCTGATTTTTTTTTCTATACTAAGTTAAAATATGAAAGCGCCTGCCTTGTGGCTCTTACAGCTTTGGTTAGGAAGCCCAACTTGCAGATCAGATCCCGAAAGACTCCATTCTTGAGCCTATGTACTGTATGCAGTCACTTTTTATCAATGGGTCAGTTTGGGGGCAACCTGAGGACTCTGTGTTCTGAAAGAAAAATAAATAAATAGAGAGAGACTAGACTTGTCCTTCCTCCAGATTGAAATTCAGGAGCCATGGTACTAGGAGCTCAATACTGCTTTAGTGCCTGGGTTATACAGAGAAGACTGTCACAAAACTGGTTCGTATCTGGATTGAAATGTGAAGTCAAACTGTATTCATGGTTTTAGTGTTCACTATTGAGAATGAGAAATAATCCTTAAGAGGTTTATCTATATATTTGGTAGAATTCATAAAATTTTACAGTATAAGGCAACTAATTTTCTCCCAAATAGATTAAAAATTACAGCTATTTCATTGTCCTCAATTCAGATGTCTCGAAATTTTTAATATTGCATTATGGGAGTATAATATTTTAAGAATCACTAATTTACTTTTTTGTTTCTGCTATAGTTTTAAGACTAAGTTTGCTTAGTCTATTAACATTAGTATTTTCATTCCTTTATTTGTTGAATTAAACATGTTGGCTACTAGTGTTTTTAGGTTAAAAGAGATCTTATTGGGCATCCTACTGAGATCTCGTATCTTGATAAAGGATTTTCAAGTTTGTGGATTACTTCACATTTATGGTAGTATTGTGATAAAATATCATGTTGGGATTGGTTTTTGTTTTTTCCTTTTCTCCCTGCCCGTTTATATACAGGCTATACCTACCATATCTTATTCTTTGTAATACTTCCACTTTAGGTCCTGTTCCCTCTGATTTGACAAGAGAAACAGTCTTGTAATAATAAATTACATTCTAGCTCTGAGGAGTTCTGCTAAGAAATTTTCTCTTCATTAAGAGTTACTGGATTACTGCAAAATGACTACCGAAATAATATTACATTATCGACCATATGAGAATGATCCCATACAACTGACAAAAATTGTAGAAAAAGCAATTCAAGACTTTCCTACTCGTCCACTATCAAGATTTACTCCTTGGTTTCCTCATGATGGGTCGAAACTTCCACTCAAACCTAAAGGATTACCACCTGTAATTTCTGGAGAGGCAGCTAAGGATGTGAAACAGTACTTAAGCGTTTCAGAACGTGGTGTTAAAACACAGAGTTATGATTGCACAGTAGATCTTTTGGAGTTTCAACCCAGTTTGAAAAAGCAGCACTTAATCCAATCATACACACTTAATGAACAGACTGATTCGGGAAATCTGGATGAAAAATCAAAAAAGGAAAAACAGCACAAGAGGAGGTCTTGGAGTGTTTCACTTCCCAGCAACAGTTGTGCTGAAAAGATTTTTCCTTTGTCTAAAAAGTTGCAAGATAGTTTAAAGAACCTAAATTTGCATTCATTATATAGAGCAAGATGGATAATAGAACACACTGTTTGCAACAACCAAACTCTGGAAGACATTTGGATAAAACTCAATCATGTTATCAGACATAATGAACTTCCTTCTTGTAACGCTACAATCCAGAGACATTTAGGCCAGATATGGGTGTTCTGTGATGTAATGTACTGTGAATATGTGGGAAATCTTCTTAAAGGAAAATTAGCTCTTAATGGAAAAATTAATTTATTTGTGCATAAATATGGTGTTATTTTTAGTATGTAATGAAGTCTACTGATTGTTAAAAAGAATTCTCTGAACTGAAATAAATGAATGAATTTATATTAGTTATTACATTTTTAATGACTTTTTTTTGTTTGTGTCCATAATAAAACCTATGTATTCTTTACATTGTAAAGAAATAATTGTGATATAATATATGTACAGCTTCAGTCCCAGAAACAATTAAGTATCAGGTGAATTAACTCAAGAGCTTTTTGAATTCTCCTTAGTAGTAGCAACCTTTTAAGTGAGTTGTAATAAATTGCTTATACTGAAGTTGATGGTAAAATGTCTGTCCTTTCATTCTGTTACTTACTGTGATTGAATCTGATATTGCTGTGAATTAAGATGAATAGTTTGTATTTTTATGAATTCCTTAAATCTGATAGTACTATGCTTTTTCTTTATTACCCTAAGTGTAACAATAGTTTTTTTTAATAGTAAAACTAAAAGCAATTCTGTTGGAAGTGCTATTCAAGTGACATAAATGTAGTTCAGAGTAAGAAACCAGATTCTTGATGATTCCAATGATGTATAATGAATAGTTGATGCCTCATTTTGAAACAAATTGCCAGTTTGTCTAGTGATGAAGTATCTTTAATACTATAACTGAAGGAAAATACCAAATATGGATAGGAAAGCAATTTACTTATTCAGTCCTTTTTTCTTTCTTTTGTGGTGCTAGGAATAGAACCCAGGTTCTCAAACATGCTGGGCAAATGCCCTACGACTGAGCTATGTTCCCAGCCTCAGTAGTTCAAGCTTAATGAATATTAATGCTGACTTACTACTTGGCTGATTATTAGGACATTATAAGCTTCTTAGAAGCAAAATGTCATATTGGGTTTACACAGCACCTCATAAAAATACCTACAATGATTAAAACACAAGGAGTCCATTTTTTTTGTTGTTTTGGTACTGGATTTTGAACTCAGGGCTTCACAATCGGTAGGCAGGCGCTCTACCATTCCAGCCACTTTTGCAACCCAGTAGTCTGCCAGACCTTATAGCTTTGTCTCTATCGAAATACTCTTGATTTTTTTTTTGTACCTTTGTATTGTCTCAAATGAAGACTAGTCTAAAAACAATCATCATGTGCATGAGTGCTTCTAAAAACTGTCAACTAAAAATATACTGGCTGTAGGGGCAGAGTTCAGGCAGCTTCTTGAGGAACTCCTTCCTCTTTCATTTTAAATCTTCTCATTTTGCAATCAAGACTGCTGGAAAAACTTCAAGAAGTCATTTAGTACTGCCAGTCAACTTGCAAATAAAAGTTGGTTAAAGCCAGGCACTGGCGGCTCAGACCTATATTTCTAGTTACTTGGGAAGCTGAGATCCAGAGGATCAAGGCTCAAGGCCAGCCTGGGCAAATAGTTCAAGACACCCTATCTCCAAAATAACTAGAGCAAAATAGACTGGAGGTGTGGCTCAAACACTAGACTGTCTGCTTTGTAAACATGAAGCCCTGAGTTCAAACCCCAGTCCCATCAAAAAAAAAAAAAAAGTTGATGGCTATTATGCAATCTTGCACAGTACATTTGATTTTTACTTTGCAATAAAAGTAAAAATCACAAGATTGTTAATCAAGAATTAGAAGTTAGGAAAATCATATCACAGTTTTGTTGTTTTGAAATGTTTGTACACAACTGAAAATACAAGGTACAGTCAGGAATCATGAGATTCTTCTTTATGAGCAGTTTTTATCCAAGAACAGCAGATTGTTTTCATTGTGGAAGAATGAAATTCAAAACTGGGAAAGATTAGGTTTACTTCAAGTAATGCAATGATCTTAAAAGAAAAGACTTATTTCTTATTTACCTGGGCAGTACTTAAGAATAATCAAGGCCTAAGAATTTAGAGCCCACTATTATTTCATAGAAACCTTTCTAAGAGATATTTAGAACCTTAAAACAGGTGATTCTAGCATGAGTTATTGACAGTAAGGCCCAGCAATATTTCTGGATTCATCTGTTAAATCATAAACATGGAAATACATTAAGGATGCAAAGACAAGTATAGAAGGATAAATCTTTGAAGGCATTTGGTAAAATGCCATCGGCATTTACTCTCCAGGAAATTATCCAATAACAAAAAGATAATTTTTTTGAACATTTTCAAGATGAATTCCTGCATAGTGGATTCACTTCAATTTGTACAAAATGCCAAAAATTAAACCAGGGTTTTTAAATTTGAATGCCTTCAAGGACTAAAACAATAAGGCTATAGAATGTAGTAAAGACTGAACTTGAAGAAGATTGTACCTAAGTTACTTTATTTTTGGCAGTACTAGGGTTTGAACTCAGAGCCTCACACTTGCAAAGCAGCCGCTCCACAACTTCAGCCACATTTGCAATCTACTTTACTCTGGTTATTTTGGAGACAAGGTCTCTTAAGCTGTTTGCCTGGGCTGACCTTGAACCATGATCCTCTTGATCTCTGCCTCCTAAATACCTAGGATTACAAGTGTGGGCCACCAGCACCTGGATCTACCTAAATTGTTAATATTACCAGCCAGTTATATATGTTTGGGTGAATTCAGCAACACTTATAAAAGAGCAGTTCAGGATTGCCTAGAGACTGTATTTCTTTGTTAAAATTCAATTTCTTCTGAAAGCAGAAAAAAAAAATTAGGAAGAAATAGAGGACACCAGTATGTGTTAAAATTGCGTTATACACCTGTAATCCCAGCATTCAGGAGGCCGAAGCAGAAAAATCCCAAATTCAAGGCCAGCCTGGGCTACCTAGCAAGACCTTGTCTTAAAAAAAAAAAAAAAACCAGGGCTGGTGGAATGGCTCAAGTGGTAGAATACCTGCCTAGCAAGCATGAGACCCTGAGTGCAAGGCCTAGTACTGTAAAAATAAATAAATAAAATTAAAAACAAAAGAACAAAAAATGATCTTAAAATCTTAGAGATTTAAATTGAGAGAAACAGCCTCCTATATCTCTTTCAGGGCATCTGTTCATCTTCAGGTTATACTTAAATTATTTTCCTAGTTAAAAGTAAGAATGAGGGTCAGACACCCCTCCCCAACCATTTTACCTGCCCCCCCATCATTGATCTCTAGGTAGTTAATACTCTGTTTGGGATATGGTCCTACTTTGAATTCCATGAGATATTTCTGATAAGACAACATTCCAGGTTTATAACCTCAGGTTTATAATTATTTCAGAAATTTGAACAGTGAAATCATCTGGGTTTAAATGTAGGCTTAGCCAATTATTTGTTATCTAAACATGTGCAAATTACCATCACTAGGGATTATCTGTACCCTGTCTATATGATATATATCAACCTTTTAGAGTATAATGAAAATTAAAGCTGTTACTATTTACAAGGTATTTGGCATCATGCCTGGCACAAGTAAATACTCAGTAAATGCTAGCTATATAAAGTGACTTTAGACATTTTGAAGATATCATTTGTGGACTGTTTCCAAAGTCAGCTACTCAATAGAGCAGGTTATTTAATGGTCTTGGTTCATGAAACAGTACCTTCAAAGTATTGTCTGTTGCTTGGGAACTGGAAAGATGCTAATCCTTTCATTCAGCAAACATCTATAAAGTATACTGTATGACAGAACCTATGTCAAATATAGAGATTACAAACCTGAACATGGTCATAGAGCCTGGGCCTCCTGGAGACTGACAAGGGAGTGCTACAGACAAACAAATATAGTTCATTATAAGTGCAAACTACTGGGAGAGAAACAGGATGACCTGTTATTTCTTTACTGAAAAAGCTAAGACCTTTTTCAGGTAAGAAATGTACCAAACTTTATATGAATGCTATAGATAGTAATCACTAGTTAGGTAGTACGTTTTCATATGCTAGTGTACAGCACTTATATTATGAATTAACCATGTAGGTCTCTATAGTCTTTTAAGTTTTTTGGTTTTGATTTAAATGAATACTTCTACTAGAACATAGAGAAATAGACTTCTATGATTCATTTTATGAAGTTTTTTTTATTTTTAATTTTATGTTTTTGTCTTTATTTGATTTGGTCAAATGACAATCTTTAGAATAATTGAGAAGGATTTAAAAAAAAAATTAGAGGAGCCAGGTGCAGTGGGTCACATCTATATTCCCAGCTGAGGATCCAAAAGATCCAAGTTCAAGCTCAGCATGAACAAAAAGTTAGTAAGACATCCTCTGCCCCTCAACAAGCAAGGCTGATGTGGTGGTGTGCCTGTGGTCCCAGCTATGAGGGAGGCCACAGGTAAGAAAGGGGAAGTCAGGCCAGCCTAAAAACATAATGTAAAGCAAAAAGGGCTGGAGGCATGACTCTAGTGACAGAGTAATTGAAGATCCTGCCTCCACACAATTAGAATATCCTCCCTAGGCTAATTTATTAAATAATTCATTCTGCTTTTCTACTTTTCTGTGGTTTAATACTGGATTTGCACTATTTAACATACACAATTTATTTGCTATTTAGAATTAACTTGTAAATTTTTATTTTTCCCAGAGAAGCTAACCAATTGTTTTATTGCCTTATAATAAATAATCCTTTTCCTTTTGTTGATTTCTTTGCACATCCTGATGATGTTTTTAATAAAAACTAATGTAGATGTATGGTCTTGTGTTAACAAGCTGGTTTGTTGATTGTGGACTTAAATATATTTTAACATATAGTAAGTTCAGTTCTTCATTTTTTCTCACTAATTTCCTTAGTTTATTTTCATCTGTTTGCTTTTCCAGATAAACTTTACACTTTATGTGATATTCTAAAAAACTTAGCTTTGATTGAAATTATATAACCTATATAATAATTGATGTTTTCATAATTTCTATGTAGAATTAATATTACTTAAAGGAACAATTACTGAGCTTCCAGTGACCAATGGCCATAATTTAAAAGTTCACAAAAATCTTTTGGTTTTTTTTTTTTTGAAGTACTGGGGCTTGAACTCAGAGCCTTCACCTTGAGCCACTCCTTTTTATGAAGGGTTTTTCAAGATAGGGTCTCGCAGAACTATTTACCCAGGCTGGCCACAAACCACGATCCTCCTGCTCTCTGCCTGCTGAGTAGCTAGGATTATAGGCATGAGCCTCTGGTGCCCAACCACAAAAGTCTTTTTGGCATTAAATAATCATAATCAAAATGGTACATCTAAACTTGTTTCCCTGCCAGACTAATACTGGCTAATAGTACTTTTTGTTTGTTTGTTTGGTGGTACTAGAGTTTGAACTCAGTGTCTTGTGCTTGCTGGGCAGGTGTTCTACCATGTGATCTGCACCAGCCCTTTTCAGCTTTAGTCATTTTTTGATAGGGTCTTGCATTTTTGTCCAGAGCCAGCCTCAGACCACAGTCATCTCACCTGGGGTAGCAGGTGCAAACTTCCATGCTTAGCTTCTGTGTTGAGATGGAGTCTTGCTAACATTTTGCCCGAGCTGGCCCAGAACCATGATCTTCCCAGTCTATGCAGTCTTCTCAATCTCTACCTCCCAAGTAGCTGGGATTATAGAGTGAGTCAACACACCCAGCCTGTTGATAGTATTTGTAGTGCAGTCATTCCAGATCTTTAAAATAAACCTTATGTTCCTAGTATTCCCTAAGCTTTAAAATTCTTTTCTAGTTTTTCTATAATGAATGTGTTTTATTTACAGTTAATTTTTGTAATGCGTTAAGTTATAAATAAAAGCAAAATTTTTATTACACAGTAACATTTTAGATAAATCTTGATAATCTTAGGGAGTAGTTAATGTTATATTTAGGTTATATTTCATTTTAGTATACCATTACTGAATAATAAACACTGACTTGAGAATATTACCCAAAGCAGTATTAATATTTTACTTTCTTAATTCACAGTGATGCGGTTGACCAAGCCTACTTTATTCACCAATATTCCAGTAACATGTGAAGAGAAGGACTTGCCTGGTATGTATGGCGCTCACTTACTCTATCAGCACCTAGGGAAAAGTGGAAACTCAAGTAGTTACCTGCATTCTCTGCATTCTCCTAGAGTAAGTTTAGCCTTGCCATCTGAGGCTGACACTTGCTGGATTCTTTGTTGTCTGCATTTGTACTGTTCAGAGGATGACCGTCTGAGTAATACAAGTCAAGAGAATGCTGATAGCATATGCTAAATAGACACTTTTAATTTAAAATCATTCATATTCATAACTAGTAAAACATTGCCTTTGTCCTGTGATGTTCCAGCAGTGTATGTGAGCATTCTCTTTACTTAGAGTTGGTGTATTTATAACATGTTTCATATTTCACCACTTGCATTTTTCTTTTGTTTCTGAAATTTACTTCTTGGTGAGATCAGATTTATTATTAATTAATTAATTACTATTTATTTATTTATTTGAGATAGCCCAGGCTGGCCTTGAACTCTCAATCCTCCTGCCTCAGCCTCCTGAGTCCTGGGATTATAGGCATGTGCCAGCTTGCCTGTTCAGAATTTTTTGACATGCTTTTGTTATAGTAAAAATTAGAAATGACATAACACAATGTATCCATGTTGAATTACAATGCCCCCTAAACATGTCAAATATATATCAATTTTAAAAGATTAAAATTTTCATTTTTGAAATGTGGTTTTTGTCAAGATTATTTTTTAAATCTCTTCCAACATTTTTTTTTTTCCTCCCTGTGTTGCTGAGTATCAAACCCAGGCCCTCATGCATGCTGGGCAAGTGCTCCACTACTGAGCTGTACACCTGGCTTCCTAACTATTTCTCTATGTAAATAAAATTATTGAAAAGGTAGATGTTAGAATTTATCTTTTTCCCTGATGCAGGAGATCTCTTTAACCAACTGATGAGAGATGATCCTTCAACTGTAAGTGGTGCAGAAATTTTAATGTTGGGAGAAATGTTGACGTTACCACAAAATTTTGGGTAAGAATGCTATATTCATGTAAGATATACAACAATACCCTAAAGCCATCACAAGTCATGTTTTCAAACAGTAACTATAGAATGGGAAAATGCTCATGATTTAAGAGGTCAAAAATCCTAAAAGTTATACTATGTGATTCTAGTTTTATTTATGTATTGTTAAAGTGACACACATCAAAAAATAAAATGTTAATAGTAGCTCCTAGAACAATAGCATTTTAACTTTTTTAACTTTTTTTTTTTATATTGAGGGCCTTGGGTATGCCAAATGTGCACCCTTACCACTGCGCTACATCCCCAGCCCCTAGATCTTAACTATATTTTTTATTTAATGACCATGTATTTTTTAACTAATTTGATCTAAATGTCTTTTTCAGAAACAACTCTGTTATTCTGCCCCACAGCCCTCCCCACAGACGTTATCAGACTTGTCAACTAATTAGGAACTCTGTTTTTTATTTCTTCTGTTGTTATTAAGCTATATTCTGATTCTAGATTATTAATGAGGTTGAAACCCTGGTTCCACATTTTTGCAACTGAAAAAATTTATAACAAAGGAATTTTTTAGATTTTTTTTTAAGGTTTACAGATGTGGTCATTGCCTAGTGCCTTGAAACATACTGAAAGTGTATTCATGTAACATGTATAAACTATGTAGTTATTTTAAATAACCACTGGTTATTTTTATTGGAATAACTTAGAAAAATAAAATAAATTGGTAAAAGTACTCTAAGGTAAATTAATTTAGATCTTCTAGATTCAGAGCATAAGTTATTTAAAAAATGGAAACTTGATATTTTCTAGCCTATTCAGATACAAATCTGAGGACTCTCTGCATGTCTATGATTTCAGTGACTTTGTTTTGGTGGGATTGGGGTTTGAACTCAGGGCTTCACATTTGCAATGCAGGCACTCTAGTGCTTGAGCCACAGCTCCACTGCATTTTACTCTGGTTATTTTGGAGATGGGGGTCTCACGAACTATTTGCCGAGGCTGGCCTTGAGCCACCATCTCCTGATTTCAGCTTCTCGAATAGCTCTAAGATTACATGCATAAGCCATTGCGCCCATCCTTTAAAGAGAAACTTAGCACCATGCAGTTGAAGGTTTAGGCAGGAATATTTACAGTATTACTAGTTGTTTTTGTTTTTGTTTTTGTCTTTGAAGTGCTAGAGATAGAACCCAGGACCTTTCACATGCTAGTCAAGTACTCCATCACTGAGCATCCCCAACCTTTCAGTGACCATTATCTCTAGGGATGCCAGCAATTTGTTGCATTTTACTTTGAAATAAGTGTTTCTATCTTTTAATAAATTTTTCTCCATTTGAAGTTTTTAGTAATACTCATGCAGAATATTATAAAACCTGAATGAGTTTCCGCTTAAATTTTTATATTATTTCACAGGAATATATTTTTGGGAGAGACCTTTTCCAGTTATATCAGCGTTCATAATGATAGCAATCAAGTTGTAAAAGATATCTTGGTAAAAGTAAGTAAAATTCTTGTTTAGAAAATATTTTATTTAAAAAAACTTTACTTCTATTATGTTTTTGAAATTTCATTGAAATATGTTTGATATGGGAAATTTTAATTGCTGTTAACAAGCACTGATAGATACCTAAAGGTATAAAATATTATTCTAGTTACTAAAACAGTTTTCCTGATCCTTAAGGTGATAGCTTGGATGAGAAGATAACTATTTAATGATAAATAACATTTCAAGTTTTCATTAAGAAATGTGATTGACATAATATTTGAAGGAGTTAGGAGGAAAGATCACTGCAGGGAGGCTTAAACAATGGGCCATTAGTTGAGGCTTTGGAGTAGAAGTTTTTATATTTTCTATTAGGAAAACTGATATGAGCACATTGTATGAATTGGTTTAAAGGAAATAGACCAGTTAGAAGACTTTAGAAGTAACTTTGTAAATAAAGAGATAAAATTTGCTATCTCAGTTACAACTTGAAATGTGTCAAAAGATACAGGGCATAAATAAAGTGAAAATTCAAAGCTGACTTTCAGTGGTGATTTTAGGTCATTAGAACATTTGTTAAAGGGAAGTATTAATTCCAATAAGTTTGAAGGTGATCCATAGAGTTTTAGAATTAAAAACATCTCAGCAAACAGTATTCCAGGTTTCACATACCACCCAACTTCCAGAAGCCAGATGCAAACAGATATATGTCATGTACAAATGGTGTCTCTTCCTTTTAGTAGATAAGGGATTGGCAAAGACTGTAGGCCAAATTTGATCCATTGCCTGCTTAATAAGGCTGTTGAATAGAATAGTTTTTCATATTCAGGTGATTGAAAGGAAACAAAGGAATACTCTATGACATGTGGAAATTATATGAAATTCAAATTTCAGTGTTCATAGATAAAGTGTCCTTGACACACAACCACGCTAATTTGTTGCTGTATTATCTGTGACAGATTTTTAGCTACAATGGCACACTCACTACATGGCCTGAAAAACCTAAAGTATTTGTCATATGACCTTTTAAAGAAAAAATTTGTTAGTCTCTGTGTTCAGTGAAAAGGTCTGACTTTCAGATTTTTGAGGACAGATTTTATTTTCTTGGCATATGATTGGCATTGAGTGAATAGTGCATTTCTTTTTATAAAGTAGATTAATAAATCTACTTATATATATGCAAAGGCATATATACTTTAAGTAACTATTATTATAAAGGTCAAATAATACAATAGTGTGTTCTCAAACATGAATTTATATTTCTGTTGGCTTTATTCAGTTTTGATTTCTCTAAAGCAGTAGTCTTTGGAATAATATAATAGCTATTTATTGAGTTAGTGCAGTGCCCACCAGAAGTCTTCTTAGACTCAAATCATGACATGACATAAGCCACTCTCTCTTACAAGGACATACCTTAGGAAGCATAGCATAATGTTGGTGTGTGTATTTCTTTTTTGTGTTATCTTTTTATCAGGTTTTAGTTGTCCATGTTATAGTTAGTAAATAAAAGATGTAGAAAATTTTCCTTCACTTTCAACCCTTTGAAATAATATGGGGATCACTTAAAGTATCTATGTGCTTTTGAAAGGGTTTATAGAATTGCCACATAATGCCATGTGGCCTGGTGCTTTTCTGAGACAGAGTTCCTTGATAACATTTCCCCTTTGTTTCCTACTCTGATTAAGCTCTCTATCTCCAATACTGTTAACTTTAACTTTTTTTCTAGGAAATAATTCATTTTGTGTAGGTTTTCAAATTCATTTCCAGTCAGGTGTGGTGACATACGCCTGTAGTTCTAGCCCTTGGAAAGCTAAGCAGAGAGGATTGTGAGATCAAGGACAGCCCAGACTGCATAGCAAGACCCCATCTAAAAAAAACCATTTCTATAGAAGTCTGCAAAGTAGTCTCTTAACAGTTTCTTCTGTTTCAGTGTTATTTTCCTCTGGTCATTTTGCTTTCTTTTTTGTTTTCCCTTAATTAATTAAGTTAGCTATCTCTTAGCTGGTATGTTTTTAAAAAAGATTTTTTAAATTACTTGTACCTAATGTTTTTCTATCCACTACCTCATTAGTTTTTGTTTTTCTTTCTTGTGCTTTTGTTTACTTTCCTTTTTTTCTACCTTTTTTAACTTGAACTTAACTCATTTATTTTTATTTTTTAAACTTCTATTGATAAAACTAGATTTCCTCCCCGTGATTCACTGTTTTAGAAGTATCCCCCACTTTCTGTGATGTAACATTTTCATTGTGATTACTTTTTTAAAAATTCTATAATTCTGCTTACTTTTTTTTTTTTTTAACAAAGAACAGAAGTTTATTTCTCACAGTTCTGGAGATTGGGAGTCCAGGTCAAGTAATCAGCAGATTTAATGTCTGATAGGTTCTCATTTCCTAGTTCATAGGTGTCACCTTCCTGCTGTATCCTCACATGATAAAAGGCATGGCAACTTCTTGGGGCTTTTAAAAAATCACATTAATAAAGGACCTCATTAATGACCCCACCTCCAAATGCCATGTCTTTGGTGGTTAGTCTTCAACACATGAATTTGGAGGTGAGGATGAACACAAGCTTTCAGACAATAACAGGTATTGTCTTAATATGAAGATGATGGAATTAGACCAATTGATTATACTGACAGTAATTTTTAACGGAAGGTTTTTCAGAAAGAAAGTCCCATTTTTCTCTTTTAATTCTTACAATCAGTTCTAGTTTTATTGCATTATACCCAGGGCATTTTCATAATATGTATCTTCATATCTTTTTGGCATTACTGGGTTTGAACTCAGGACCTTGAGCTTGCTGGGCAGGTGTTCTACCCTTTGGGCCTCTCCCTCAATCCTTTTTTACTTTAGGTTGTTTTTCGGGCAAGGTTCCCTGGTTTCTGTTAGTGTTTTGTTTTTACCTAGGGCTAACATCAGAACCTGATCCTCCTACCTATAACCTCCCATGTAGCTGAGATCACATATGTTTGTGTACATACACACCCAGCTTATTGATTGAGATGGAGTCTTGCTAACTTTTTGCTTGGGCTGACCTTGAATCGAAATCCTCCCAATCTCCACCTCCCAAATAGCTGCGATTACAGACGTGAGCCACCATGCTTAGCTCATGACATCCCTATTTATGGAACTTGTTGATACTTTGTGACCTGATATTGATTTTTTTTAATGAATTTTTCCCTATATATTTGAGATGGTGTATTTTTTATTGCTTGTAAAGCTAGATGTGAATGTCTATAAGATCTCTCCTATTGATTGTGATCTTTATATCTTTTTTTGTCAACCTGCTCTGTCTTGCCACTAAGAGGGCTTGTTTGTCTCGTACTATTAGTGTATTTCTATCTCCTATCTTGCCTTTAAAGGATAAGTTGCTTGGTGCATATGTTTCATGCTTTTTGGCATGAATCTTATTTGATATCTTTGCTACTACCCTTGCTTTTCCACTGTTTTCACTTGCATGGTATGCCTTTTGCCCATCTCTTTATTTTCAGTTTTCCTAAGTCATTCTATCTTTATTTATATATAACTGCATGTTATTTAACATATAACTATGTTATTTATATAACATGTAATTGCATGACAAATCTAATATTTTAACTGATGACTTAAGCCTATCACATGTATTGATAAACTTGATGTTGCTTTGTTTCACTCATGTCATTAATTATATTACCAATATTAAGTATATTGTGTTGTATTTGCCGTGATTGTTTATTTAGTTTTCATTGTCTTGGTATTTGCTGTTTGTATTTTTCTAGTTTTTACCTTTATTTTTATGCTTTCTAAAATGCCCAGTGCCCTCCTCCCCAGTTCCCTGCTTTCTTACTTAGCTTGTTACTGTAGGCTTTTTAGTTTTAATATTATCCTTTAGCTCTCACCTATTGATTACTTACTTTCTTCTCTCTTCTTCCCCTTCCCCATATTCTCCCATTATTTTGTCTGCACCTTTGTTGGATGAAGTGGATTTCTCAAGTATATTGCTTATTACAAGAATATGAGATCTTGTCACCCTTGATACATACCTGTAATCTAGCACTCAGGAGGCTGAGGGAAAGCCAACCTGGGCTATACAGATCTCTTTTGAGATCCTGTCTCAAAAGAGAGAGAGAGAGAAAGAGATTGATTTTGATGTCTGTCTGATTACCTGCAATTTGAATTTTAGACATTTGCTACCTCTGAGTTGCACTATTTTTATTTTTCTAAGGATGTCTCAGAGGTTTATAGTATACTTCAGCTACCCAGAATCCTTGAATTTTGAAATTGTGGGAAGAATATTGTGGATCTGAACTTTTTATTCCTTTACTGTCATCTTAATGTTGTTCTGAGACAATAAATTTTTATATAATATTACCATATTTAGCTAGTCTATGTGGGGTTTTTTGTTTTTTAATTTGAAAAAAATCTCAGAAGTCTGAAAAATTAGTGTACTACAAAAAGTGTCTCAACAAGCAACAGTATAATTAGTGTTCTATAAATGAAAATAATAAGTAATTCCTACAGTCTATAACAGTGGTTCTCAAACTTCAGAAGGCACCAAAATCATCTGTTTTTTTTTTAAAAAAACCTTTGCTCTCCATCACCAGAGTTTCAGATCTGTGTGGTCTGAAATGGTACCCAAGAATTTACGTTTCAGTTGTCCTCAGGTGATATTGATTCTGTTGGCCTGGGAACCATACTGGTACAAACATTGTCTTATCTAATCATTTACACATTCATCCAGCAAATTTGTCTACCAGGCATAATGCTAGATACCTCTGTTAGAGCAGGAAGCAAAAGACAAGGCTCCTCTGGTGTCTTGAAGCTCATTTTAGATGTTTTAAAGTTTTTTTCTCTATTCCTAGACAGGAACACCATAAGTATGCCAAGATTTCAGTGGCCTCTAAAGACATTTTGATCTTCCACACTTGTGTTTTACGAACTGTTCCCCTTTCCCTGTTCCTCCTGCCTATTCAAATCCCATTCACCCCAAATCCAATTTGCAACACGCAGCCCACTCTGCTATTTAAATTGCATTCCTTTCTCCCAGACCAGCCCTTCATTGCCTCTTTGCTATTTCTGTCCTAAGACATTTACTAGCTTCTACCGAACAGTAGTGATGTACTTATTTGTATGTTGTTACTTGTCTTCCTTTCCTCCTCTCCAGAAAATATAAACTCCCCAGGGACAGGGATTTTGGTCTGTTTTATTCCGTGATGTATCACCAAATCCTAGAACAGTCTCTGGCATATCATAGGTAGTTAGAGAGTAAATGCATGATGCTGGATAGATTATTTGTAATAGCCAAAAGGTGAAAAACAAAAGTGTTGAGTCACATATAATAGATATTTGAGTAAAGATTAATGTTAACAAAAAATGTCTTGGGAGAACTTACAGGAAAACATGTTAAGCAAAAAGCCAATTGGTTTGCGTACTTTTTTTTTCTCTCCTCTAATTAAAAAATTTTTTTTTTAAATTTCAGCTTCATTATTTACTACTTGTATAACCTTGGGGAAGCTGTTACTTTTTCTGCTTGTTTGTTTTTGTGGAACTGGGGTTTGAACGCAGGGCCTCACACTTGCTAGGCAGGCGCTCTACCACTTGAGCCACTCCACCAGCGCTGTTACTTTTTTATATCTTTTTTTTTTCATTGTATGTAAAATAGGAACAATACCACTCCCTATTTCAGGATTGTGGATTAAATAAGTAATATGTTTAGAACAAGACCTTGTATATAGTAACTGCCCTGTAAATGCAAACTACTACTTTTTGTCACTGAATATAACAAACAAGGTAGCACTAACAACTATCCCACTTCAAAATGAGTAGCATTAAAAATGGTAGATTAGAATAAACTGCAAAACCTTTTTTTAAAATAAAACTTTAAAAAGTGCTAGGTCTTCTATTCAAACCTCCTCTAATCCCCATCACATGATAGGAACTTTACTTTGCCTGAATTTTTCTTAATATTTGTCTTGAAGTTTTTTTCATAACTTCATTCATGTATTCAGTATTAAACAAATATTTGTTAACTGCCTACTGTATGCTGGACACCATGCTGTAGTGGTGTGCCAGAGAAAGCAAGACATTCCTGCTCCCATAGACCTTTCTGATAGGGAGGACAGATGAGCAGGTAAACAAAGTCATAAGGAGGTAGTGATAGATGTTACAAAGAAAGTAATCATTCAGTGTGATAGACAGTAACTGAGATGGAGGGATGCTACTATGTAAGACAGAGTGATAAATGTTCAAAGGTAAATCAGAAAGGAGAATTGAGAAGTACTGAGTGGGGAGAAGTGCTACATCAGAAAGGTAGAACTGTCTTAGTTGATGACTTTAATGTCATTCTCTACTTTGATAATTCATTGGTCTCTCACATCTAATAATATTTTTGAATGATTATCTTTTCATGTTATATATTCACACATAAACAACTGCCTGTATTTGTTTTGGTAAAGTCCATCTGTGTATATGTTTAATAAACCATATGATCATACTGATGCTTTGAACTCCAGTCCAACACAAAAGACTTCATTGTAGCTTTTCCCCCTTTCCTTATTTGTACCTTTTTCTCCCAACATATAAAGCCTGTCTTTTGTTACCCATAATATATTTTTGTTTAGTCTTTGTACATACACAAAATTGTTTCAGAATTGTTAACCCATACTCCTATGAAAATAAATACACTAGCTGAGTATAAATGTGTGTACCATTCTTTTTGTCTATAGAGAGCTATGGTGAAGATTTTGTTTTCCAAAATTAGTTCTTTTTTCCCTCCTCTTCCCCCTAGTGTGGCTCAATCTTCACTTGTAATAGAATTAGGGTCATATGTTAATCCTACTTCCTGGTCTTTTTTTTTTTTTTTTTTTGGCAGTACTGGGATTTCAACTCAGGGCCTCAGGCCTGCTAGGCAAATGCTCTACCACTCAAGTCCCTTTTTGCTCTACTTATTTTTTAGATACGGTCTCACACTTTTGGCTTAGACTGGCCTCAGACTACAATCTTCCTACCTACATTCCCCACATAGCTAGGATTATAGGAATGTACCACCACCCTCAACTTGTTCAGCCAAGTAAAACTAACTGAAAGGTTTACACACAGAAGTACTGCTCTTTCTTCATCCTTACTTCCTTATTCTTATTTCCCCTTTTCAATTGTTAGCATATATTAATTTGTACAAAATAATGGATTTCATTATGACATTTTGATAGCTGGGCATAAAGTACTTTGATCATTTTCACCCTTCTTGCCCTTTCTTCTCCTCCTTTCTCCCTCCTGGTCTTGTTCCTCTGCCTAAATATCCAGCTATCCCCCTATCTTTTTCACTCATATGGCCCCCAGGCTGTAAGTAACCAATCTCTGTGGATGTTTTTACCCTTACTTTCAAGGCTGATCTCCAGACAAGTTCTCAGCGTTTAAATCTTTCAGCCTCCAATGCTGCTGTGGCTGAACTTAAACCCGATTGTTGTATTGATGATGTCATCCACCATGAAGTAAAGGAAATTGGAACACACATGTAAGGATTAATTTTACTACTTCTCAAAGACTTATTTATGCCTTTATTTAAAAATTTTGCTTTCTACTTATTGTACCAAAGAAGCCAGTTCAGAAGGAATTTTATTCTCCATGTTTACATGCTTACCCGAAATAAACCTTAAACAAATGTGTTTTTTTTTTTTAAGTATCATATTATTGTTGTGCTGGGGGTAACTTTTACAAAAAAAAAAAAAAACTTTTTACTGTAACTTTTACAAAAGTGCTTATAATACATCTTAGTTAAATTCAACCCCTCTGTCATTCTCCTTCTTAGAATAGTTTCAACAGGTCTCATTTTTACATTTTCATATATAAGTACACAAATGGTTATTTTGAAGGAAGAAAAAACTAATTTATTTTTTGATCTATAGTTTATTTAATCTACAGTTTCATTTTCCCATTAATTTGTTTCTTCAACTATTCATGAGGCTTAAACATTTTCACTTTTTTGTTTTTATTTGAGAAAGGGTCTCACTATGTTAGGTTGGTCTTGAATTCCTGGTCCTCCTGCTTCAGCCTTTTCAGAGCTGAGATTATAGACGTGCACTACCATGTCTGCTCATTTTTGCTAGTCAGTTATGTGACTGTGATATAGCTTGTATTCCTTTCCTCATTATTTGAGTGGCATATTGATGTTTTGCTAATTGACTTATAGGAACACTTTGTATATTAACAATTTAATCATCTTCTCATATTGTTGAAGTGTTTATCCAGCTGTCTGCTTTTTAATTGTTTGTGTTTTTGATTTATTCAGTTAAATTTTTTTACATAATTTTTCCTTTGCATTTATGTTTAAATGAATGTCCTCAAATTTCTTTTAAAATGCATGTATTTTCTAGTTAATATGAACTCTTTTTTTTTTAAACATTCAACTATAGACTATTCTAAGATTTATTTTAGAATGTATTTTCCCTTAGAAGAAAGGTTTCTGATTTTCTAATCCAAAAGTGCTTTGATTCATGTGTTTACGGCCATATCTGCTGAACCTTTTCTTCCCTGCTCTAATCTCATGTGGCTACATTTGCATGTTATTGATATAAATGCCTTCCACATTTGCAAGTAGATCTCTGATTTGTTGAATTCACTATTCACAAGTGAAGTTCAAGATGGTTCCAAATCATTAAGACATCTTTCTATTTCAGCTTGGTGTGTGCTGTGAGTTATACGACTCAGGGTGGAGAAAAAATGTACTTTAGAAAATTCTTCAAATTTCAGGTATTGAATGTGACATGATAGTTTTTAGATGCCTTTTGTTTTCCTGGAATGTAGTTATTCCTGTTTATCTGATTGGAAAACAAGCTCCAATTAAACCAAATAGCTCACTACTTGGGTTTATCTTATCTCTAGTAGTGTAAAATCAGACTAAATTAAGTCAAAGAGGAGCAGAGAACTATCATGACCATGTTTTTGTAATGAAATGAAGACTGATTCAAAAGAGAAAACCTTGTTTTCATGACTTAGCAAAACATGCCAAAGTCTAGAAGAGGGATAAAATGAATATAATGTCCAAATAAAATAAGTATTAAATTTCTAAAGAAATATTTAAATGAGAGATTACTGACTTTTTTGCAAGAGTTTTACATACCCATTAAAAAGTCTTTTAACAATTAAAATTAGAAAATGACTTTGACAAATTTAATCACTGTGGCTTAAAGCAAATAAACAAAATTAGATAAACCACTGACAAAAATTTCCTGATTAATATGCTTTGTTTAACCAGGTTCTCAAACCATTGGATGTGAAAACCAAATTTTACAATGCAGAGGTAAGTATTAGGTACTTACTAGGATTTCAAATTATACATTAAAATCTTACTTGGCTGAAAACCTGAGGTATTACATTTCTTATCCTATTTAAATAAATTGCTAATATGGCTGAATTACTTATCAAAAATGAGCATAAATTTCAATTAAAAGTGAATTATTTCATTTTAAGTCTCTTTTAATCTACTGTTTTCAACCTACATCTAATCAATATGTCATTTCTATCCTCATTGTTAGTTTTCTAAGGCTGTCACCTGTTTGGTTAAATGACTGCCCTGTAATTTCATTTGGTGGTGGTGTTATTGCTCAAAAACACTAGCAATTTGTTGGATATTTATAGTGTGACTCTCCATAGAAAATAAGCTAGTAGATCCAAATTTAATATTCATATGGAAAAAGTGGCAGGTAAAGCTCAGCCAGCACATTAAACTCTTTCCTGGGAAGTCAGTGAACCTTTAGAATTGGAGATAATCTATCTTTTATCCTAACAAAAGATTTAAATTAGAATTTGCCATAGGGAAAATGATTTATTGTTTGGGTTTTATCCCTGCACTTGAGTTGCATAGCAAGATTGTATTTCAAAAATTAAAATGTGAAAAAAGAAGAGAGCTAGTTTCAGAGCCAATTTACTTCTCAAAATCATTTTTTATATCACAGTGATAAATTCGGAGATACCCAAATGCAGTATTTTGTAATGAAAATGGTACCTGTGTTACTCTAAAATCAGATGATTGGAAATTTGCAGTCATATCAAATTTGCCATACATTTCTACCATAAATTCTGAGATCTTATTCAGTGTAAAGTTTGTATTCCAATTAGAAATACTTAGCTGTCAAAGTTAAGGAACCTAGCCTGTAGCAAAGACTTACCAGGAGAAAAGAAGAATGCTTGCAACAAAACTGCCTAGAACAGTATGTAGTAAGTCTAAAAGGAGAGCGATGTAGAACATGTACTGCAGGATCTCAGATGAAAACTGGCAGTAGTCTGAAGTGGAACTGGAGTGCAGTGTTGGGAAGGTAGCCAGGCTAAAGGGGTGTCCCTCCTTGATGGGACTCCACAGCCTCCCCAGAGGGACTCGCTTCTCTGTTGTTAATACCGTACTGGTGAATAATCACACTAGAGCTGTTCAGTTTGTTGGTTGTAAATAGCCTGCCATGTCTGGGAAGGTGTCCTTCTTAGCATGAGGGGAGAATGTTAACTCTATCTGCTACAGTAGATATGTGATAAAATTTAAAAACACATAAGGTTGGGGGAGGATAGGATTTTTTTTTCAATTTTTTTTTTGTTTCTGTAATTGGCCCCAAGGAAAAACATATTATATACCTATTAAAGGGTTGGCAGAGTGGCTCAAGTGGCAGAATGCCTGCCTAGCAAGCATGAGGCCTGGAGTTCAAACCCCAGTACGACCAAAAAGAAAAAAATTATAAAAAGAAATGTTAATTACCTATTAAGTTTTCTTTGTTAAAAATGTACATTAAGATACTTATTGAGCAGTTTAACAATGTTAACATCCAGTGTGATTTGCAAATAGTCTTTTAATAGGTAGTTATTCTGTAATAAAGAAAACAATCTAAATTGCTGTTATGAAACCATGCTCTCTTTTAGTCTTTATGCAGTTATATAATAATCTCTTTTGATAATCATGGTGGCATTTTTATTTGCTACCTTTTTCAGTTAACACTATATGTAAACATAATGTTTAAATTTTGCCAAAAACTAAGCTTAAAAAGTTTTTTTTTTTTGGCAGTACTGAGGATTGAACTCAGGGCCTTGCACTTGTAGGGAGGTGCTCAGCCACTTGAGCCATGGCCCCAGTTCAAAATTATGAACTTTTAAAAATTGCTGTCTCTTTAAAGACCAATAGTGAACAGATAGCATTTAGATCTCTAAGATTTTCTATATTACCTCGCAGACAAGCAAATACTGTTCAGCCACCAGCATGAGGCAGGTTCTGTGTTTCAGGTAGGGCGTAGGAAGTAGTGAGACCACGCTACTGTAAGGACTCAATGCTTATTCCTCTGCTATGGTCCTTGTGCAGTAACTATTATTAGTCCCACATTTATCTCTAACAGGTTTTTTGTGCCCTTTCTAATGATGCTAATAAAGTGTGAATTATCAAAAGGAAACCAAGTTTCATGAAAAACTTTGTTAATAGTTTTTTAAGATAGAAGAGTCAAGAAGATTGGTGAGACTAGAAGCTAGGATGCAAACATTTGGTCACCTGCAGGGTACAAAGCCCATTACCAAGTATAGAAGAGAAATAAGTATAAACTGGTATCTTCCTAAACCTCGGGGATGTCCATCTATTGGAGGAGACTGACATGACAACCACAAATGAGCACAGCACACACCCCAAGTCATGAAGTGTGCTCTGGGACCGATTTCCAGCTATGCAGTTGATGAAGAAAGTGACATTTGACAGTGCCCTTAACAAATAAGCAGCTTAAATGTGTGTATGAATAGACACTAACTATGAAGTCTCTTAACAAGAACAGAATGAATCTCAATTGTCTGAGGCGGACTAGCCCAGCATTTCCCAAAATGTGATCCATGGAGTTCTAATCACCTAAGCAAATCTTTTACAAAAGAATTCCATGATTAGATAAATTTAGGAGTTACTCTATAGTGTATATGTTTTCTGAATGTGGAGAATAGTATATGTCCATCCTTAAGTATCTATTAAGAATTATAACATTGGTACAAATTTTATGGAACTAGAAAAGGATGGGACATACGCTCTGCTCCAAACTGTACCCTTAACTGTTTGCTCCTGTGTAAGTACTCAGCCATAATGTTCCTTTCTGTTCCATTATCATTTAACCCTTAGTTAGTAGTTGTACATTTTTCTAAAAAGTTTGTCATATTTCTTTACATTGCTTCCTGTTTACTTTCTTGTTTTACTAATGCTGTCTTATTTAGTAAGTTTAAAAATGCAGAGATGCATTTTATTTTAAAGTTATTCTCTTTCTTTAACATTTTACTCTGGTTTTTCTAATTTTTCTTTTTTATTTTTCCATTAGAGTGACCTCAGTTCTGTGGTAATTTGATTTTTTATTATAAATTATATGCTTTTCTTACTCACCACTTTTTGACTCTGCCTAATTAATCTCTCTTTACAAAACATAGTGGAAAAACAGTTAGTTGTGAATACCACACATGTGGCTTTAGAAAGACATATATAATTTAAATGTACTTTTAATATTATATCTGTCTTTTCTGTAGGGAAAAAATTGAAACAACTGTATTCTTATTTTTAGTTTCTTCTTCAGGTATTTTTTTTAATGAGGCATGTTAACCTGTGTATTTAGCCTAGGGATTTTCATCATCTTACTATAAAATATCCTGTTTCCTCTAATTCTTTAAGTAAAAAGTATATCTGAAATTCATTTTGACATGCATAGTGATTATACTTTTAAGTCTAGTTCAGGTAAAGATGGCCTTTTGACAAAAGTAAACAGAAGAAAAGAAAATTTTTCTAAGTTGGCTGAAATCATATTTTCTATTTATAATAAACATTTGCTTATATCACATGTGTAAATAACATCAGCCTTAGCACTAAATTCTTGTGTTGATTTTTCAAATGTCAAATTACCTTATACTAACTGTTCAGACTAACTTGATTTTCCATTATGCCGCTTGTTTTTCTTTCATTTTATCTAAGCTCTTCATAAATTTATGAGAAAATTTTATTTTTAAAATTGAAATATGGGTCTGTGGTTATTTTTTAAAGCAATGGATTTATGGGATATATATTTACTTATTTTCTTGAGAAAAAGTAACAGACTGTTGCCCTTGTACATCATTGTATAAATCATTGTATTTGTGTTTTTATTTGAGAGCAAGTCCCAAAGAGTAAAGAATCTGTTTTATTTTAGACACATTAAGTTATAACTTTGTTATCATTTTGCAAATAATGTCCATGATCCTGGCTTTTGAGTTCAAAAAGCTCATTATTCCCTAACTTTGGGGACATACTTTGTTATTTCTATATATCTGTATATTATACTATGTATGAAACCTTTGAAAAAATAATTCTTGAAATCCTTGGTAGCAATTTTTTTTCTTCAGTTATATAAGGAAAAATAACTATCTGACATAAAAATAAAAATATTTCACACAAATAAGCAGGGAATTAAAAATTTATATGAGATCTAATGTTTACCCAATGACAGAAGTATTAATGAATGACATCAGTTTTAAAATCTGTCAGCAGGGCTAGAAAATACTTTGGCCTTATTTAAAAGCTCAAAGGTTATAATCCACATATTCTTTTTTTAGCCCTAAATATACATTTGAAATGAACCAAGAAATCACTAATGACCACTTACAAATTGCTTTAATTTATAAAGTTAAATACTATAAGGGTGGTCACTAAACTATCTAAATCAAAGTAATGCCATGACAGCTGAAATTACACTGTGCTGGAATGTTAAAATAAAGACCTAAATATCTTTATGAAGTCATAAAGGTGTTAAGTATACTCATCAACACCTTACTAACAGATTTACAATTTTTGTGAATGAAATTCCAGCTAAATCCGTATTTTTGGACGCTGATACAAAATAGTTATCCCACATCCATTGTTTGACAAGGTATCAGGTGACTAACACTTGACTTTGCCCCTCTTAATTATGTTAGGATGAAGATTTCTTTTCTTGTATTAATTATGATAACTTTGATTTTCAGGCATGAACTAATCACATTTGTGGTTAATACTTTTTCTTCATATAGATAAGGTATTTTTTGTTGAGGTAATTGTTTTAAACATCATCACATTTGGGTGGATTTTTTTTTTTTTCATATCTTCAGACTGATGAAGTATTTCTTGAAGCCCAGATTCAGAATATTACTACCTCACCCATGTTTATGGAGAAAGTTTCATTGGAGCCATCTATAATGTACAATGTAACAGAATTAAATTCAGTCAACCAAGCTGGAGAATGGTAAATATGATTTTTCAACAGATGCATGCTTTTCTAACATCCATAACTTGAGTTGTTTTGGGGTTTTCTTTCATACTTATGTGTGTGTGTGTGTGTGTGTACACATATACATATATAGTAGACTTTATTTTTTTAGAGAAATTTTAAGTTCACAGTTGGTAGGAAAGTAGAGATCCCACAATACAAACTGTCTTCCCTGCTCACAGTGTCCCTTTTTTGTTTTCTTTTTTTGTTTAAGCTGTGTTTCCAGGCTGGCTGTAAAGCCCAGTGCTCAAGGCTGTCCTGCCTCAGCCTCCCAAGTGCAGGTGCTGTTGTACCCCAGTCTCCTGTCATTGATATCTACTACTAACGTGGCACTGATACCTGGTGTTAGCTAAAATCCACAGTTTCTATTTGAGTCAATGTGTGTGGTGCACATGCTGTGTATTTTGACAAACATATAATGGCATGTATCCAATATTACTCTAGTGCGGAAAATAGTTTCGTTTTCCTAAATATATCCTATGTTCCACCTGTTCAAAACTCCTTCTACATTAAAACAAAGATTCCAGCCTTTTGCATTTTGTGCTTTACTGTTCATAGCATTTCTTCTTTTAATTCTCATAATTGAACCAGGTAAATCTGAAAGCTGTCATCACCCTGCCAGTGATAAAACTGACCATGGGAAGGAACAGTCTAGAAGAAATTACAAAATAGGTGTAGGATGAATGGGAGTTTGGAAAAGAAATAGTCTCTCAACATAAAAAGAAAGGAATATAGGAATAAATGATTTTAATTACTCTGTGAACAGGACATACATGTTCTTTCTACAGCTATTTTGGAAGAGGAAGAACAAAAGTCAAGTTTACATTAGTGAGTGGTTACATATAGGAAAGTCCATAGCCTCCTTTACCTCACTGAGGAAAACAACAGCTTTCCATTCTTTGCAGATCTTTCAGTTCATTTTGAAAATAATTACTTAGTTTAGAATGGGAGTGGGGTTGTAACTCAGTAGTAGAGTGCTTGTCTAGCATACACAAGGCCCTGGGTTCATTCCCAGCACTACAAAAAATAATAGTAATAATAATAAATATATATTCACCTTATTCTAAATTTCTAAACTAGTTTCATTGGTAATTTTAGACAGCAAGCACAAGAGTATTATGGTTTTAAGTTCTGTTGTAATTTTCAGTTGATCTGTAAGGTCGTATATTTTAGGCAATACATCCATTTTATTATAAAGAACCTCAAGGTTTACAGTGTTGATTGAAAACATTTAAAGAAAAATTCTTTCCGTACAAGTCCTTTTCATTTGTATTGAAACCTCTGACCTCTTAGATCTTTGGGTGGCAAATCATCAAGTTCTTTCTAAGAGAAATAATCAGAGCCATGGCTTTTCTTTTAAAAGATGCTCAAGGATTTTCTCCATCTCTGTCTACCTCTCAGTGTGTCAACATTTGGATCAAGAGCCTATCTGCAGCCAATGGATACACGTCAGTACTTATACTGTCTGAAGCCCAAGAAAGAGTTTGCAGAGAAAGCAGGCATCATTAAGGGTGTAACAGTAATTGGAAAACTGGATATAGTGTGGAAAACAAATCTAGGTGAAAGGGGAAGGTTACAAACCAGCCAGCTTCAAAGAATGGTGAGTCTAGGTAAAAACTTCAGTGGAGTTTTTGGGGGGAGGGGCAGACAGAACAACTTAAATTTTCTGAGGTCTATCACTAAAAATCAGAGTAGTATAAGAAGCCCTAATATTGCTAGAGAAAAAGTTTCGTTGATCTCTAGGAAGAAAACTAGTATTGAGAAAAATGAAAAATGTTAATTGATCCTTAGTACGTGTTTGTTTTTTTACTTTGCCAAACAACTTTATCAGTTTTTCCTTCCTTTGGTATTTCATGCTCACCATTCATCTGACTTCTGTTACAGAAGTCTCCTGAAACTGTTAAACTTACTGCATTCACCTATTCAGTTTATTATACCCTTTAAAAAGCTGTTTAATATCTGAGACATTCTGAAACTCCAGTAGGTGCCCTAAAGTTATCGTGTCAGCATTTGTTGAATATTTTACCTAATTTCCTCTCTGAGAGTGGGAATAGCTGCCAGTCCAGTGTTTTTCTCATGCTACAGGATTTTCCATTTATGCTGAATATTGCTTGTTCTAATATATTCTAAAATTCATTTTTCTTTCACTATTTCAGGCAATAATTTTTTTTTAAAAAAGGGATGATGATATCACAGCCTACTTTAAAATGCAGCAGTTATATATAACCCTGCATGGCATGTTCCAAGCCTTCAAGTTTCTATAGTCCATTCTTGCCCATGTGCATTGTTTTTTTTTTACCCTGGCTTATTTCAAAGTGGGGACCACTGCCTCATTAGGCAGTAACCCTACTTATTTAGAGTTACATGTGTAGAAACTGTAGTATCTCTAGAAAACATCCCTTTGAGGTCAGATACCTATTACTTACCTACAAGGAAGGTTCATCTTAACTCTACTGAACCTGGAGTAATTATAACAGTAGAGTGAATCAGAAGTATTTTCCCAGAGCATCAGTTTGGAGCCCCACCATCTGTTGAATGTGCTGGTGTGCTTACTTCATTAAAATCAAAAGGCTTTGTAATAGATGTATGTTAACCATGTTGCTTGTTCTGATAGGCTCCAGGTTACGGAGATGTTAGGCTGTCTTTGGAGGCAATTCCAGATACCGTAAACCTAGAAGAACCTTTTCATATCACTTGTAAAATAACAAACTGCAGGTAATGCCAGTATTTCTGGATGGATGTCTTTTCCTCCTTACCTACTTAAAAGAATTTTTAATCTTTTTAATATTCTCTGCTTTCAGATTTCTTCTTTACATATAGCCTTTTCTGATGTTGATGTTGAATGCTGTAAAGTTCTTTATCTGGTAACATTATATTTCATAATTTTGAGGTCTTATATTAGGTATTTTCTGTATTTTATTTCATCATACTCTATTCGTGGGTTTTACTTACTTTCTATAGAAAACCAAGTCAGAGAAGTGACTTTTCCAAACTTAGAGAGCTAGAAAAGATGGGGCTAGAATTTGAAAGGTGTATTTGACTTCACAGACCATGTTCTTTTCATTGTACTTCCTTCATAGTGAGACTACTAAAGCATGAACAAGTTCTTACAGAATAATACCAATCTAAAGTAGTAAGATAGACTTCTCTGAGGCATACTTGGACCTGAGCTGTAGCTTTAGTATTAAAAACCAAAAATTGGTTAATGAATTTAGTGTAAGGACTAATCATGGGTTAGAAAACAGAGTTTTGATTTTTTGGTTGTTGTTGCTTTTTTTTTGAGACAAGGTCTTGCTGTGTAGTTGGGCATGGCTCAAGTGGTAGAGGGCTTTGTTTATAAAGGGCAAGGCCCTAGGTTCAATCCCTGTAGAAATAAAATATGAAAGCTTTTTGATCTTCAGTTTCCTCATCCATAAAAATATCCCCCATATAGAGCATGCACACAACATACAGATCATACTGGGTTTTTATGGAGTTTGATGAGGAAATTCATATAGAGCATCTAATCTGATTGTTATGTAATAGGCATTTCAAATGCTTGTTGGAGATACAGATAAATATAAAAGCAAATAATCATAAAATCAGTTAGCTTTAGCTGGGCATAGTGTCTTATACCAGTAATCCCAGCTACTCAGGGGGCAGAGATCAGGAAGACCATGGTTAGAGGCCAGCCTGGACAAAAAGTAAGAAAGACCCCATCTCAACAAAAAAACTCTGGGCATGATGGAGCACTACTATAATCTCAGCTATGTGGAAACCATAAGTAGGAGGGTCAAGAGCCAGCGCCACCTGCTTAGGGCAAAAACATGAGACCCTATATGAGAAACAACTGAAGCAAAAAAGGGCTGGAGATGTGATTCAAGTAGTAGAGTGCTTGGCTAGCCAGTGTGGGTCCTGAGTTCAAATCCAAGTACCAATAACAACAAAAAAGTATTAATCATAAAGTCAACATGTCTAAAAAAGTCAGTAAATATTTTAGGATATAAAGCCAACCATGAGAAAAAGAACTAAATGAGTTTGGTGGTAGAGTAAGGAGCCTATCTTTATGAGCCTTTTGGCATACTTTCATTCAAACTTTTTACCTTAACCTCTTTAAGCTGAACTAGTGATACCTATTCAAAGCAGAAGTCTTTTCATGGTAACAATACCATGAGCAAATGTGAGTACTTTTTACTTCTTATGAATCCTGTCAGTTTTCTAAGGAACATACGTTACGTATTAAAGGGACTAGCCCAAGCATAGTTTGTCTTTTTCTTTCCTATAAAGTACCCAATAGAAATCATAAGAGCACATGGCAACAAAATGAACAAAAATGTCTGGAAGTCTCCCAGAGAAATGGCACAGCTGTCACACATCAGCGTCTGGGAGCCAGTGTTTAGGAGCAGAACTAGAAAACGGAACACCTGCAGCCAGATTAGTCTAAGGCCATTTTAAGCCATAAAAGACACCATCTTTCCTTTCCCTGATTGTAATAACGATAGATTAGCTTTTCAGGTCTCTTTCTGGTTTTTAATCTCCTGAACACACAGGAACAAAATTATTAACAAAGTGAAAGAAATATCACAGTATCTCCTTGTGAAATGAATAAGATTTATTCGTGTTTTTCTGATCCCTCAGCAGTGAAAGGACTATGGATCTGGTTTTGGAAATGTGCAATACCAGTTCTATCCACTGGTGTGGTATTTCAGGACGACAGCTGGGAAAGCTGCATCCAAGTTCCTCTCTCTGCCTTGCCCTTACTCTACTATCATCAGTACAGGGACTACAGGTATGTTCTTTTGAGTTGTTTCACTCGTGTGGGGGTAATTTATAGGTTCATCATAGTCATACTTGCTCTGGTAATAATGAAGGAAAACTGAAGCCCCTCCTTTCTCTCAATAGAGCGTCTCTGGCATAAGACTGACGGACACATTCTTAAAGAGGACATACGAATATGACGACATCGCACAAGTCTGCGTGGTGTCTTCAGCCATTGACGTGGAAAGTTAAAGAAAATCTCAGTGTTAGACTTTTCCTGTAGTTTCACAGAACTGCTTTCTCTATTTCTGTCACTTTTGTGAAATGACCAAGTCAATAGGACAGATAAGTATACATTATTTAAATTTCTTTCCTGTAAAACAGGTAAAATATTAAATATTTGCTTTGAAAAGTACTGATTTTATCTTGTGGGTTATATTCTAAGTGAACATTTCTACATTTTCTACACATTCTTAGTTTCATTTTAAATGACCATTGGTCCTTGACTCCAGAAACTCTGCACTTGAGGCCATTTGTCCCCAGCATGTATCCAAAACAGCCATCAGGAAATCTTTTTTTGCAAAGGGCAAGATACCACATATCGTAGGTTTTGCAGGCAAACAATGAACTCTGCTGTCCTGGTGTAAGAGCAGCTGTATTTACAGTAATACCCAGCTGGTCAGATCTGGCCTGTGGGCCATAGGTTGTAGGCCTGAATCTAGAAGATACAGACATTTTTTTAGGGCTTTAGAATTTTTCTAATACTTTATTTACAAATTCTTAACTAGTAGTAGTTGACTACAGTTTTTTTCCTAGTACCTCAGTCAACAGAAAAGGTTTATTGAAAACAACCGTGGTAGTCCTTCTGGAACCTGGTTATTTGCTAACACAGTATGAACTACTTTAGTTATTTTCAAAATTACTGTGTGGGCATGTATCTCTGTGTTTGTGAATACATACAAACATAGTTAACTTACAAACACTGAATAGCATATCAGAATTATTTTTATTTCTTAGATTGATGATTAATCAGTTAACTGATTAATCAGTTTTAACTGATTAAAACTAAAAAGCTTTTTTTTTTTTGCTGTACTGGAGCTTCAACTCAAGGCCATCTCCTTGAGCCACTCCACAAACCCTATTTTTTGTGTTGGGTTTTTTTCGAGATGGGGGGGTCTCATGAACTATTTGCCTGAACTGGCTTTGAACCACGATCCTCCTTATCTCTACCTCCTCAGTAGCTAGGATTACAGGAATGAGCCACCAGTACCCTGCTCTAAAAAGCCTCATTTCTAAGCTTAAAAAACTCGGGTCTTTTCCCATTAAAAAAATGAACCACTTATTTTATTAGCACATATTAAAAAGATTCCCAGTTTGCTATTAGATTTTGAACTGTAAATCATGTATTAATACTATAAAACTGTATCTCTTCAAGTAGTCATACTGTGAGAATCAACTGAACTGGGTCTTTTCTGTCAAAGGGCTACCTCAGTCCATAGACATGAGACTCTACCAACTCAGGTCTTGGGTTTGAGCCCCTTCCCATTCCTCCCCCCATGCCTGGTACCACACTATGGGATATGTCTGTCATTATGTAGATATTAGCTAATTTCCCCAGTTGCCTGTGTGATCTGTGGCACTTCACCTAACTGTAAAGTTTCTGCCTTTAACAGAGAATTGTCATCAGATGTCCTAAAACTCAAACTGCTAGTTTTAAGATAATCATTGTTCAAAGGAATCTCTGCTCCAAGGTCCCCTCAACTCACCAGTTATATACTTGGTGTTGCCATTTCAAGTCAAACAGTCACTTCAGGCCTCAATTTCCCTGGAATCGTAGAATTCCCAACTCATAGGTTACCCTTGTCTTTGAGTATACCAATCAAATTAAGTTTCATGTCCATGCTCTCCAGTCATGTCTGCTCGGCCCCTATGCCCTCCCTTAAACCTCAACCATATTCAATCATGAAGACTGAACCCAGGCTCCCTCCATTAGAACAAGGGGCAGTCCTATGTTAGGGATAAAAACCAAGGCGGTCCTCCCCGCCTGATGGGCTTGCCTGCCTGACTCTGGTTAGAGGCACACACACCCTTCTGCAGAGGTAAATTTTGCCTTCCCTATTAGCTTCCCAGCACATGTATTGTTCATGATTATGGCAGTGCCCCGATATTTCTAACAATACCCATTTATGCCATGAATAAAACATGAAAATTAAGGTTATAAACAGCTCTGCCACATGAATGTAACAAGATGTTCCACTGTTTTGTCAGGAAAACAAAAGTTTATGCTGGAAAACTGCCCTATTTTGGTAAGTTGAAATTTCACAATGTATAATTTTTACATATAAGAGTACATTAAGTCAAATACAAAAATTGGTTTTTGTTAAATGCATATTTATTGCCATGAGAAATTGGTCCAAAACAATACCTATATTCAGAAGAGTTGCCCCTCAAATCATTAATGAAATGTCTGTGCAAAATAAAGTGCAAGCAGTGCAAAATCAAAGTCTGTCATTCTTCCAAAATGATAAAGATTGATAAAATGATGAAATAAGACTTTATAAAAGCCACTGCACTAGGTACTTAGATTGTTTTTCGAGCATCTTCTCATGACTGTTTCACTCTTTGAAAACTTAGAAGTAACATAATGGTCACTTGGAATCTGCTGTATATTTTGATTTAATTACAAAATCTCTTCTGTTTGTAAACAATAACCTAGACACATATTGTTCACACTTAACTAAAAGTTAGATAATGCCATCTTATAAAGAATCTGTGTAAACTACATTATAAAAATTAACAATTTATGGGCACCTACTCTTGGGACCCGTCCCAGCTCTGGTAGCTCTACTCTTAGCCACTCTTCTATGTCAATAAACTCTTCACTGGCAAAAAAAAAAAAAAAAGTACAATTTGATACATTAAATGAAAATGTCATTTGCCTAAAAAGGACATGTTTAGTTTTACATATCATGAAACGTGCTTAGAGGAAGTCAAGCATTCCTAAGTAGAATGTAAAGATTTACCTTAATTCCCTTTGTTTCTCTTATCTACTGTATCTTCTAGACAAGAAGAATACTTAGGGCATTCTTTCTCATTTTAAGAGTAGCTAGCACAATCATACCACATAAAATTTGCTGAAGTTGCTTGCAGTGCAGTGATTCCAAGGTGATGAAGGGACCCTAAGAACAGAAGTGGCTTGAGTAGAACAGAAGTTCATATAAGTGGATAGTTATGATCTAGATTGAATTTGTTATAGGTGCTATATTCATTCCCAAAGAAACAAACTGAGAAACAGAAATGGAAGAAATACACCAATTACTATAATTTATGCGAAAAGAATGGGTATGTTTTACATACAAATATTATCACATGAAGACAGTGTTTTAAAGTGCTTTTTCTTATAATGTCTGATCTTGCTTTTGCCAGAGTACTACTTGCCAAATAAAATGATCTGAAAAGTGTTTTCTCCTCTTTTTCTGGAAGAGATTGTGTAGAAATGATATTATTTCTCCTCAGTTGTTTGGTAGGGTTCACCATCATTTATCTGAGCTTATAATTTTCCAAAAAGAAGGTTTTTCTTAATAAATATAGGTCTATTCAGGATATCTATTCAATGACGTTTGGTGGCTTTTATCTTACAAAGAATTTGTTTCATTATAGTTAGTCATAGTGTTTTCTAAATATTCTTGTAATGTCTTCAGGGTCTTAGTATACCTACTCTTGCTTTTTTTTGCAACGCTGGGGATCGAACACAGGGTCTCACACATGTTAGGAAAGCACTTTACCCCTGAACTACAGCCCCATCCTCTTTCATGTATGATCTTGTGAAACTGTACTTTCTGTTTCCCTGGTCAGTGAGCTAGAGGTTTACTGATATTATTTATCTGAAAACATTTTTAATGCACTGAAAATAGCTACACTAGAAACATTAACTTCTTATTCAACACTGAATAAGAACAACTAATTTTTAATTAAGGATCAACTTTGATTCTTTTATCATAGTCATAAATTTTATGCAATTAGTTCTTTGTTCTTAAATATGAGGAACTGAGTGTAACTTCATGAAAATGAAGATGGTTTAAATAGAGTATAGGAAATTTAATTTCAGAGGATCTCAGATTTAAATCTAGTTCTTCTCTGGCCGGCATCACGGGTTCACATAGGTCTTCACTCTAGCCTGAGCCCAGGTGCTTAGGTATTTGCTGGTCTAATTGAGGAGAGACCTTTAACTTATGGTTAATCTAAATTTGAGTCTTTGGACCTGCATCAGAACCACCTGGTGTGCTATTTAAAATGGTGATTCCTAAACAAAATTAAAGCTGTGAACTCTGAATTTGCATTTTTAATGAACTTCTTCCACTTGATGCTTGTAGTGAAATCACAGAACCACTATCTCACAAAAGGTTAGTTTTTAAACTTCAATATACCAAGTAATTAATCTTGGGAACAGTTACAGTAAGGCTCTTGTCATTTTTACTGGCTTAACTTTAATTTCTGTTTCAGTCTTCCTCATGGCACTTGTAAAATCATACATGTCATCCACATAACCAACTTCATGATTAATAAACAAAATTTCACTTGGAATCAAAACTGTCTTATCCATCACTGCACTTCCCATTCTGATAGTACTTGATGTCATTTCACTTCACTAGCCATAGGCCATGTGGATTCCATGGCATCTAATTTATAATGAAATACTCTAGATAGCCTATTATGTTCAAATTGCAACAAATTAAAGTTAAGCATAGACTGGCACACAGGGCCAAACTATAGCAGAACAAGCAATGTTAGTGATAGAAGCTTGTTTGTTTTTTTTAATCAATGTTTATGGGCACATAATTAAATTCCACTTAGAAAATCCTTAACTTATGGTCAAGCCATTGGCTTATTTAAATATAGGAATATTTGATAGTTTCCAAGGTAAATTCACCACCAGGGAAATTGTGATTTGAACAGTTCTATCGCTGACCTAACCTGTACCATTAAGGATTTCTAAATGTATTTTATTATGTACTTAGTATTACTAGCCATGCTAAAGTATCAATACCAAATGTAGACTAGTTAAGAATTATGCAAAAACCTGAGTACCCTACCTTTACTTTCTATACATTCACATTTCAGAACATCCCCTGTACCAAATGTTGCTTTCCACCAGCTCTCAAGATTCCCTATCACTCATCAGATTAAGCAGCACTGAAGATAGTAGTGGCATCTATGATACATACTCATTACCAACAGCACAGGTCAGAGCTAAACTTAGATAAGTTTCATCTCCCCTCAAAAACTTTTGCTTAAGGGAACCTGGACCTAAAGAACTCACTAATAAATAGCCTACTATTCAATAAATATACTCTGCTGTTAAGTCTAATATACAAATATGATGATAAAAGTTTGAAAGTGTATGGACCCTTGTTTCAGTGCTATATTAGCCCTTAACAAGGCTATTGATCATTTGTTTCCAAAGAAGTTATGTTCAAGTCTGTTTGTGATAAACCTATTGTCTAAACAGATTTATTCCTTAAAAATATACACAAGAGGTTTTCCTCTATTTCCGAACATCAGGTATGGTGCTTTTGTTGTTGTTTTAGTTTTTGTTTTGGCCACTATCTAAAATGGATATTTCAGAGCCATAAATGATTTGTATTGTGGGCAAGAGTCCCTGGTCAAATCAGGAATGTTCTTCAGTGCTGCTGCTGAATGATCTGCTCCGGATGTGGTTTCTAAGTTGCTCTATAAATTCAGGGTTCTGCTGCTGTATCTGCTGAGCAAACTGCTGTCCCCTGTAGTAAAAAGGCAAAGTGAATGAGGGAATTGCCAGTTCCATAGTATCCACGTGAAAGAGCTTCAGAAGGTGTGGGGCTGCCCAAAGGGAAGCGTTGCTTATAACAAGTTTCAGAACCATGACTTTACCAATGCTTCTAGACAGCATTTTTACACTTCAGAGTAATTATAGAAAACAAAACACCCATTGCTTCTCACCCTTTTGGGAAAGTTTGACAGAAGTTACAAAACCCCAAAGTAAAAAATTAGCACCTATATTAGGTAAAATCTATTCTTCCACTGAATAGTCATAAATAAGCCCAAATACAATGCTTATAGAGTCAAGTCTTAACATAGAGCAGGGTATAGTCCCTGTTTGGGGTGTTTATGAAGGTGATCTAACAATTTCTAAAAAGGCAATTCCTGAGACAGCAATTTCAAATGCATGAGTTGATGCAGTAATAATGCCACTCTAAAAATGCATCATTCTAAACAATGATGCCACTCTAAAAATGCATCATTCTAAACAATTACACGGTCATGATCCCAAATAGTAAATGGTACTAAATGGTACTTGTAACTTACAAAACTTCCAATTCAAAACACAAAGTGTCTTAAGTAATTTGGATAGAAGTAAAGGTAACGTGCTCAAGTAATGAAAGATTCAAAGGGTTCCTCTAGTGATGACAAACACTAAAAAAGTTTGAGTAAGTTTCCTAAATGGTCATAATGTTAGCATATATAACGTGATTTTATTATTTTATCTATTTTGTGTGTTTCCAGGACCTCAAGAATGCTAGGCAAGTGATCTACCACTGACTAAACATGGTCTTTTTAAATTTATTTTCATTAACATACATTAATTGTGCAGGGGTACACTGTGACATTTTTGAATAGCTTTGAACATTGGTTAGGTTCACCCCACCATCTCTCACCCTCATCCTTCCCTCCCTGCCCCATGTAAAACAGCTGCAAAAGGTATCATTGTTCTAGTTCACAGATGTATACAAAACACATCAACTGTGATTTTTAAATATGGATGTATGCCTAAATTAATATTTTAAGTAGACATGTGACTGCTGTCTACATCCCTAAGTACATAGTCATGTCTGTAAAAAAGCCTTCTCTTAGATCTTTATTGGTAAAAATGGAAGAACAAATGTTGGTCTTATGAAATTACAATGTACATGCCCTCCATAGTAGCAAATTATCAATCCTAGGGCCCTCTGTAAATGAAGATGATAGTATTGATATCCTCAAGTAAGAAACTGAGGAACCTAATTATACAAAAATCTGAAGTAACAAAAATTTAGGCTGCAAATCAAAATACTAAGTGTAGATGGAGTTCTGCCCTGAATGTTTTGAAACTCTTAGTTCCTAACTTGTATCTCAGTTTCTCTAGTTATTGAATAGGGATGAAAACTGCCTACTTTTCTTCTACTAAGAAGGTACAGGAAGGTCCCTTGGGTAAGGGGAAAATGTTGAATGCATATAATTGTTCTTCTCAGGAGAGAAGACCTGGCCAACAACCCAGGTCTTCTGATGCCTGTCTGAAAACTCTGAAAAGCGGTTCCCATTTATGAACTTTCAGATTTACTAACTTTAAGGAAGCCAATCATTAACAGTAAAAGATTTAAAAAAAAAATAAAAAGGCCTGGATCCTTACCTTAGAAACAAACTGTAACACATAAAGAATGTTTTTTTATTTCTGTTAAGTAACACTTACGCTTGGATGAGGCTAGACAGGTCAGTTAGGCCCCCAACTCCAGCAGCAGGTCCCCCAATGGCATTTGTCATCATTCCTGACATTCTTGTATGCAAGAGATAGATCAGTGAGATTAGCATATATTCTTAACAAGTAGGATAACTGGCCAAGGAAAAGTCAGGTAAATATATCCACATTATGTAATAAGTTAGGCTAAATGTATGTGGCTTTAAGTTTCAACTGATTAGCAGTAAGGGTATATTTTTCATTTGTGAGCTGGTGTGCTCAAATTAACAGGCTGGCAAGTAGAAGAGGAAATGTAATGAGCTCTGTCTCTATACTTACAACTGTTGAACTTGAGGGTTCTGCATTAAACTTGCTGCCTGAAATTCAGAAATAGTATCTCCCATTAAAGGCAGTAATATTTAGGGATCTTCAACAAAGATTTCTTAAAGGTGGAGAATGAAAGTTAAGCAATGTTGTACTAACACTGTAGTTTTAGCATGCTGTACAAAGTAAATGAGAAAGTAAAAAGGTGGAAGTACTAGAAGAACATTAAGAAGTTATGAAAAGAATAAGATCACAGACAATACTATAAACTAGTGATACTGATGGCATTATACTTACTACTACTGGATGAGACCAATTAACCCAAAAGGAAAAACAGAAACTTTAAAGGTATAAAGAATCTCTTACAGTTAAGAGAGTGCCCTTACAAGAGATGTGACTGCTCTGTGTTGCCCTGGAAGCAGAGCACAAAAGCCCATTCTCACTGTGCTACAGATGAGGGTGGACCTCCCTGCCTACTACCTTCACACATGAGCAGTTACAGAACTCTAGTAGCTCTCTCCAAAACTCACTTTAAATTTCTGTCAATCTGTCTTTTTGTTTATTTATTTTGAGGGTAGCGGGGATCAAACCCAGGGCCTTGCACACCCTAAGCATGTGCTATACCACTGAGCTACAGTCCCAGCCCTTTTCAAGAGTCAAAAAATAGGCTTTTAACCCTCACCTCTTGCAATTCCTATATGGTAGCATCATACTTTATTTTGGATCATAGCAGCATGGAGCCTTAGTTAAATATGGAACTAAAAGAACTCCATTTTCACATCCTGTTACAATAGCCAGTCCATCACTGGCTTGCCAGAGAGGATAAGGACAGGTGAAGAACCTCTGTCTTAGCCTCTTCCATAAGCACTTTGCTACCAGCACCACCTCATTTGTTGCTAAAAAGTTTTGGAGCCTATACTCCCAGCTACTTGGGAGGTGGAGGCAGGAGAATCACTTGAGCCCAAAAGTTTGAGGTAAACATGAACAACCATAGCAAGATCCCTTTTCTTTAAAAGTATAGGAAAAAAGTTTTGGAAATACATGGTTCTATGGAAAACAGAGCCAGTAGATCAGAAAGGGAAATACACTTACCATACTAATGAAAGCTGGATTATTTATCAAGCTAGCCATGTCAAAGCTCAATCCAGTTCCTGTCTGTAAAAGAGTTGTATCTGAGAATCATTCTAACCACTTTCATTTAATTTCAGTGAATGTAAATGACAGAAAATACTTCACTCATTTCACATTAACAACTTACGGGACTAGATACCTCTCTTAACTTCTGTTCTGCTATTTTCAGATTTGACTTATAGGAATCATTTTCAGGGTCAAGATCTAATGCCTTTTGATAACTTATAACTGCTTCTTCAAATTTATTCATGGCAGTGAGGGCCAGCCTGAAGGAAATGAGAGGATATGAGAGTTATGCTAAAGAACATCAGAAATCACAAAGTCAAGTGTCTGTCTTAGTGTTAAATTCTAATCAGATTGCACTTAATTTATTCATTGTGCTATGGTTCACAGGAATATTATTAAAACCCCCCTCTAATTCCAAGATTATGTACATCTGAATTCTCTCCATTCTGCTTGCTGACCACCTTGGGTGTCCCATATGAACCATAAACTTAATGATTACAGATAAACGCAACCCACACTTCAATTTTTTAAGCCTACCATGTGATGTAATTTGCATTATGAATGCCTGGAGTGAGCTCCACAAGCATTCATGCTGCTAATAATCTTAAGGTCATGGAAATCTATGATGCTTCCTGTTTTTAAAGATTCTAAACTGTATTTGTGCTTCAAAATATCCCACAATCTTCCTTCCTAATAGAGACTTTGAGCAACAATAAATATCAATTTGCCATATTTTTTTTAAAAAAGGAGGCTGTGGGGTATTCTGAGCAACACATTAGTTGTTAAATAGATAAAATTACCATGCATTATAATTCAAATAATAAATTGTTATCTTGGGTACAAGTCAAATAGTTATTAAATTTCAATGTACACCTACATCTAGTAAAAATGTATTTATTATAAAATTACTTCAGAACTAAACAATAATGGTATGGATAGAAAGATAGTGTTGGGGGTTTGTTTGTTCTGGGTTTGTTTTCAACAAATTAATCCAATTCTTTCTGATTTACCTCACAGATTTCTTATCTGGATAAAATGCAGTGCCAACCACAAAGAAATTCTCACAACCAAATTAGTTTTCTATCAGCCAGCCCTAAACGATACTTTTTATTAGAGTCCCCAATTAACCAATAGTCAGTCAATAAATATTGAAACCCTATTAGGTACCAGGTAGTATTTTATTTTATTATTGGCGAGACTGGGGTTTGAACTGGGTTTTGCACTTGCAAAGCAGGCTCTCTACCACTTGAGCCACACCTCCAGTCCATTTTGCTGTGGTTATTTTGAAGATGGGGTCTCAGGAACTATTTTACCTAGGTTGGCCTCAAACAGCAATCCTCCCATCTCTACCTACCATGTAGCTAAGATTACAGGCATGAGCCACTGGTACCTGGCTACAGGTGGTATTTTAAATATGAAGATTCCACAATGAAAAAGATAAAGTTCCTGACTTTAAGAAAATCTCATTTTATCTGGGGAAGGCAGGCATCAAACGTACAAATAAAAAGGGCACTATTAAGGAGAATAGATAGGGAAAGTTTCCCAAAAGTGGCCACAATGAGAAGACCTGAATGATGTGAAGAAAGCAGTCACAGGGAAATCTGGGAAGCAGGAGTAAACACAAAGGTCCTGAGAAAGATTCAGGTTTGGTATGCTTATAAAGTGCAGGACAAAGGCTGAAGAGGAGGAAGTCCAATAAAAAGTATGAAGAGAGGTGATATCAGAGAAGCACCTGGCATGATAGTTCACAGAAGACCACTATTTGGAGTTCAGACTTAATTCTAGTTGCAATGGTGTGACAAGATCTGGGTGATGCAGACTTAGCATCACTCTGGCTTCTCTACAGAGGACTGCCTTAAGTGGGAAATGGAATGGCAGTAGGGAGACCACTTAGGAAGCACCTGCAGTTGCCTACAGAAGATACGATGATTTGGACTAGGACAATAAGCAAGATAGTGCTCAACACCTGGATGCAAGATATACGTAGAAACTAGAACAGATAGGTCTTGCTGATAGTTAGATGCCCCAGGCATACTAAGAATGAAGGATGATTGTTCAGCTTTTGAACTTTGCACCGGGTAGATGAATGATGGTAAATTTGCTGAGATGTAGAAAACTTAAGAAGGGAACAAAAGTCTGTTTGAAATATGTGAAGTTCAAAATGCCTATTAAATATACAAACAGAGATGAAAAAGCAGTTGAAAACAAGGGTATGGAGTCCAGATATATAACCAAAGAGATCCAACAACATAGTGGTCAGTTCTCATTCACAGAAGATACATTCTGAAGAGTCTTCATGAACCCTGAATTAGCAAATACAAAATAATTGCTCCTAGGGAAAATGCAGGGTTAGATTCCAGTGATACTCATGTCACATTTTCATCAACTGAGCAATACATACTTTGTCTGACATATAGTTTAAAGAAACTATTTAATATACATTGTTTACTCATTAGCACTGAACTCATACTCAACAGCACTAACTCATGCCTGGAGGAAGCTTTTCTCAAACATGTATTTTTCTTCATAAGGCACACACATATTTTCTCTATTAGGCATTTTATAGCCTTCTTGCACTTAGGAACAATAAATAACACTTCAGGCTATACATGGGGGCCTCTGTAAATAGCAAAAGCACAAAGAAAAGGCATAAAGATACAAAAAAAAAAAAAACAAAAAACTTAACACCAAATAGACTGATCCAGAATGAGTTTAAAAAAAAAAAGCCTCAGCTGAGAGAGTATACATCAAGAGATGAATTCTTTACCACTTGTGAATGTTTGTGAATTGTAACAGAGGACAAGAGCCCTGAAAAACTCCATTTTCAGAGGTGGTAAAGGAGGGAGGAATCAGAAAGGGAGACCAGAAAAGAACATCCAGTGACACAGAAGGAAAACAAGGCAAGTATGATGAATCCTAGAGGATGAAATATTTCACACATCAGTTCACTGCACCAAATACGAAAAGATAGGGTAAGATGAAAATATAGAGCTTAATACTGGCTTTGAAAAAAGAGTGACAAAATAATGACCATGAATACAGTGATCTCAATAGAGTGACTGTTTTAGTCATTGCTCTCCACAGAAGAAGAACCAACAGCACACGGAAAGAGATACATCAAAAAAAATTTATTATGAGATACTGGATCATATAATTATGGAAGTTGAGAAGTCCCACTAACTGCCATCTTTAAGCTCAAGTCCCAGGAAAAGTAGTGGTGGAGTTCCAGACCAAATCTGAAGACTTGAAAACCAGAGGAGCTGACAGTATAAGTCCAGATCAGAATCCAAGGACTCAGGGTCCAGAAATGCAGAGGTCCAAGGGCAGAAGATAGATGCACCAGCTCAAGCAGAGAGAGTGAATTCACCCATCTTGTGTCTTTTGTTCTGTTTAGGTATCAAAAGATTTCATCATGCCCACTTACATTGAAGAGGGTGATCTTTACTAAAATCTATAACCTCAAATACTAATCTCTTCCAGTAAGGGCCCTCAGAAACACATCCAGAAAAAATATTTTACCAGCTATCTGGACATCTATTAGCCCAATCAAGTTGATAAATAAAATGAACCAAAAGCCTTTTGGGCTGAAGAAAGAATTAGAAATGAAGAAGATGAGACAAGCTCAAGGGTTCATTGAGAATGGGGAACAGAGATGAGATGGCAGCTGGAGTGTAACACTGGGTAAAAGGATGGTTCTAAGAGATGATTTTTATTGCCTTTTCACATGCCAGCTATTGTATCTATTATAGATAGGGAAACTAGTGCTATAGATGAAAAAGGGGATAATTACAAGTCTGAAGTCAAATGTAGAAAGGGATGAGCTCTTAAGGCATAGTCTTAAGTAAGAACCTCTCCAATTTAACAGACAAAAAAGGCAATATGTGTAGATAGATAGAAATACTAGTAGATTGGTGGACTTAAAATAGGAAGACAAATTACTATTCTTCAAAATAAATATTTTCTCAATTATGTATAAGGCGATATCATCAGCTGAGAATCATCATGGAGATTAGTAAAAATTTGAAGGGAACAATGAGCTGTGATATAATCATTACATCAGAGAATGGAAAAGTGAATTTAAAAGTGAAAATAAAAGGATTTCTGCCAATATTGAGTGCCTATCTGAGATTTGTAGTCATGGCCATGAAATGAATCCACTCCTGTGGTTGTATGATTTTCTCCAACAACCAATCAGTCATGAAAAAAATTAGTTATTTCACTATTCAAGTCACAGAAATTATAGTCATTTCTTCCCTTCTGTTCTATTTTTATCTTGTTAAATAGGTATACAGGGTATACAGTATTAAGCAGAAAATTCAAAGTCAAAAACTCTGATACTACTTGTTACTACTTTGAACATTCTCCCAGAACTTACCCCATCCTCCCATAGGCCTTGCTATACTTTGCATCAATTGCTATTGCTTTTTCACAATCCTTTATTGCATCTGTGTAGTGACTTAATTTGCTTTGAGCAGCAGCCCTAAGAGAAAGAAAAGAGATTATAGGCAGTTTTTAAGGTACTAATTTAGATTTTTTAGATACTAATGAAACTACATTTTTCTTGTTTCAATGTTTAAATAACTCCTGGTAAATTTCTAAGTCAAGTTTATTTCTAAGTCTAAGATAACTACACCATTAATTTTTTTAAATTCAGAAACTTGTGTTCAGGAAAAATATGTAAGCTTCCTTTTACTTTATGCTTTACTGTAGAAAAGACAAAAATGTAAGTCATTCAACTAATTTACCTACTTACTACCTTTCTAATTTGCCCAAACAGAAACCTGAAAACACTAGGGCAGCCAGACTACTAGGAAGGTGCACAGAGTAAGGGGTTGCTGTGAATTGGTCACTATAACAGTCGGGCTAAAGTGAAAACAAAAGTAATACTAAAACCAACTGCACCATCACTTTCTCCTCTTCATTCACTTTTGAGGCAAACTAAACTTTATTTCTTTCAGTTACCCACAAAGCCTCATAACCTACTTCAGCAAATTATATATATATTTATTTAATATGTGTACTTATATAATAGCTATTATATATAATATACATGTTTATATAATACATTTTATACCTATATAAAATACATTTCAACAAAAGGTTGAAAAAGCCAACTTTGGGAAAACAACATTTGCCTAGACTGAAGTCTTTATAATTGTGACTTCTCAATAATGTTTCCAAGGAGGAAGAATGAACTCAGAAGAAACAGGGAAGGAAAACCAATGCTCTTAGTTGGAAGCTCAGAAGATAGCACGGGATGCCAGCAGCCAAGAAACAGGAAGTAGATGAACAACAGTGATCACATCTCTTGAATTAGGCACGAGGACCAAAGTATAGTGATCCCTTAGATTGTCACTGCCAAGGAGAATGCTGTGCTGCAGCCCCTCTACCTCCAACATTGCACAATAGACCCTTGGTATCCACAATCTATGGTTCCAAGGAGACTGCCATTGAGGAAAAACCATGAATGTTCAGAATGCATAGAGTTCCATACTGTACTGCAGATGCTTGACTCATTTCTCCAAAAACACCACCCAACTTCTCAAGACATGCTACCTTTCAACAAATCCCAAATTTTCACTGCCTCACTTAAATTAAGCACATTAACTGTTACCTTGCTTTGGGGGTATTGTTTTCTTTTAGGGAGGTAGATTTTTGCAAAATTAAAATGAGGGAAATACTCAACAGATTATATAATGATTTAAAAACAGTTGATGACAACAGGGGACTGACTAAGAACTTCTCCATATCAACTGAGCTGCGTAATACATACACAAGAATTAAAATTTTTGTTTTTGAAATTTCTTTTGATTTTTAAATATTTTTAACTGTGCTTGTTCAAAAATGTGTATAATACAATGGAATTTTTATGCAGCCATGAAGAAGAACGAAATGCTATCATTCACTGGTAAATGGATGGAATTGAAGAACATCATTCTGAGTGAGGTTAGCCTGGTCCAAAAGACCAAAAATTGTATGTTCTCCTTCATATGCGGACATTAGATCAAGGGCAAACACAACAAGGGGATTGGACTTTGATCACATGATAAAGCGAGAGCACACAAGGGAGGTATGAGGATAGCTAAGACACCTAAAAAACTAGATAGCATTTGTTGCACTCAACACAGAGAAACTAAAGCAAATACTTTAAAGCAACTGAGGCCAATAGGAGAAGGGGACCAGGAACTAGAGAAAAGATTAGTTCGAGAAGAATTAACTTAGAAGGTAACACACATGCACAGGAAATCAATGTGAGTCAACTCCCTGTACAGCTATCCTTATCTCAACTAGCAAAAACCCTTGTTCCTTCCTATTATTGCTTATACTCTCTCTTCAACAAAATTAGAGATAAGAGCAAAATAGTTTCTGCTGGGTAGCGAGGGGGTGGGGGGAAGAGGGAGAGGGTAGGGGGGTAAGAGAGGGGGTGGGTGAAGGGGGGAGAAATGGCCCAAACATTGTATGCACATATGAATAAAATAAAAATAAAAATAAAAAAAAGAAAAGAAATGATGACTTGGGAGCTGCAAAAAAAAAATGTGATAAATCTGTGAATAAGGCAGGCTTACTATAACTCTAAAACATGGGGCCCCTTCTACTAATGAAGGAAAAGAATCACTCCCTGAAAATTTATGCTTGTAAACCCAAATATTAACTTCAGCCTATAGACAATGTCCAATATAAACACCCCATGCTACCCCAAAGTTTCTGACCTCTTAGTCCTCTCCCATTTCATCTGAGAAGCACCACTCTCATTTTTGCTACCTTTTACACCCACATTTGTTGATTTCCATTGTCCTAAATTTTTTGTTTAACCATCTAGTCAACCATATGTCTGCTTTGAAAATAACAGTCACCTTTTTCAGGAACTTACCTGCACTCTAGTAAACACAAACTGATTAAAACACCTGGGTGTTTTGTTCCTCACAGATCCTCAGCATCCCTTAACTATCTCCAATCTCCTCTGCCCTTAGAGATTAGGATTACCTAATACTACTTTCTATATCACATCAAGCTTATTATTGTACTTATCCATGTTGAGTGTGTATAATAATATATCAATTATTTGTTAGGTATCCATGAACCCAATCCTAGATAGAAGAAGCTAAAAGTAACAGTGCCAATCCCAGGAACCCAGTGTTCCTCTCCAGCTACCTTCTTATCTCAGTTTTCCTTTCTCTATACAACCCTGAACATTAAACCTGAGTGTCTGAGTCCAATCAAATTTCTCTCCAAATTAGCTACATCTAGTAGGAAGGAAAAGAAATAAAAACCTGAGTTTAGTTCTGATCAACAGGAAGATATTTAAGTAAGGATTGCCCTCCAGAGACGATCCTGGGTTACTGACATTCCCAATCTAGTGCAAGTATTTCAGTATTCAAGTATTAATAGTAAGTATTTATTAAAGTTATACTGTGTAAAGTCACAATCTTCCAGACAAATTGATTTCTTCCTTTTAGAGTAGCTTAACTCAAAAAGAAATTTGTAAAAAAAAAAAAGAAATTTGTAGAGCAGACTTGACAAGTTTATATATGTCAATGGCTGACACATGCACATGTACTCTAAGAAAGTAGATTTCAAAAATTCATACTTATGCCCAACATAGCCTTCCAAGCCACAATACATTCAGAACCAAAACTCTGTGCCATAGTAACAATACAGAAGAAATGCATGGCCTCAGAGCAGCTCCACTTCCTTCCACTATAGAAAGCTCTCTCTCATGACTTTAGTACAGAGAGCCACAAAGGCTTTGACTCTGCTTGTGTATCCTGCCCAACTGTTTGAGTTGCTTGAAGGAGAACAGTTCAGACAGTGAACTAATGCCTTAAACCCTGTCACCTCAGGTAGTTGAACCAGCAATTATAAACCTACTAAACAAAATTTCTTCTATGGGTTGACATTTACTAGGAGGAAATGAAGAGTTAATGGCCTAAGCTTTATGACAGATTTTTTTTAAGATGATTTACTATGCATAAGTACAGCCCCTGAGGTGGAGGGGGTACATGTCCAGAAAGTGAGCATGATGTCTACTATAAGTCCAGGTCTTATATCTAACTCAGTAGACGAGACAAATCTGACTGCTCATTCACAGACCTCAAGTCTGATCTATCACTGACATCTCATTGTGTAAATCTCCTGAAGCTGATTCAGAAAAACAGCAAATGCACCATCTCACCTCTTCTCTGCCAAGGGTCTTCTTTTACAATCATGCGTGCACATGCACAGAAACAAGACTGAAGGGTAAAAAGGCCAATAGAAGAATGGAGGAAGGTAGGTTTGGAAAAAAAGATGAAGAGAAACAATTATGTGGTTAAAAACAACAAATCTGCCAGGCGCCAATGGCTCATGCCTGTAATTCTAGCTACTAGGAAGGCAAAGATCAGGAGGATCACGGTTTGAAGCCAGCCTGGGAAAATAGTTCCAAGACCCTATTTTGAAAAACGCTTCACAAAAATAGGGCTGGTGGAGTGGTTCAAGGTGAAAACCCTGAGTTCAAGCCCCAGAACCACAAAGAAAAAAAAAATCTGTCCCTAAACATTTGCTTAACACCTTCAGGAAACTAAAAAGAAACACTTGCCTTTAGAAAACTGAAATGTAGACGAGGGTGCTAGTGACTCATGCCTGCAATACTAACTACTTCGAATACTAAAATGAAGAGGGATTTCAGTTCCAAGCTTGCCTAGGCAAAAAAGTTTGTCAGACCCCATCTCAATGGAAGAAAGCAGGACATAGTGGCACATGCCTGTCCTCCCAGCTGTGGTGTTGGGGAGCATAAAATATGAGGATTTGCAGTCTAGGCTCCTATCTCCAAAATAACCTGAGCAAAAAGCACTGGAGGAATGGCTCAAGCAGTAGAACACCTACCTAGCAAGCTTGAAGTATAGAAGAAGGAATGGGGAGGAAGGAAAAAAACCTGAATTGTGATTTCAAAAATATAATCAGAAAATGACTTTTCTCTTAAAATAAACAGGACTTAGCATACTTTGAGCATATAAAATATTATATACCAAAAATCTTCAAAAACAATATTGCCATGTGACTTTCCTTTAAGTTGCTATTTACCAAAAAAAAAAAAAAGTTGCTATTTACCTTATACATTTTAGTTGTGTTTCCTTGTTTTTATTATTTTTATATAGGATTTTATATAAATCCTAAGTAATTGGAAAGAAAAAATAAGTAAACTTAATCCAACATTGAGATAAAGGAAACCAAGAAAAAGCATACTTAAAAAATATAAAACAGCAAAATACAATTCTAGTTTATCAGTAATTACAAAATTATCTTTATGAAACTTAGATTCTCAGCTTAGATACAGAAGATATTACCTGGAACTGTGAGTGGTGGGGTGCTTGCCTAGTATACAGGAGGCTCTGGGACCAATCCCTAGCACTGAAAGCAAGCCAACAAACAAAACTGGTTTTAAAAATAAAATTTTTAATTAAAAAAAAAAAGATCTTTCCAAGATGGCAGCTAGAGGGAGGA